CAAATAGGCTTCTATGTGATTAGTAAATAGGAAGGAGAACACTGGCAATTTAACCAGGTGATACGGGTTTCATTCTTATTTCCCCGAACAAGCTCATGCTTTGCATCAGAAAGTAGCAGTGAGTGAACAGAATATACAAACGCAGCTGAGGGACACACAGACCATACAGGACACACACCCTTCTCAGCTTGGCCTCTTTTCGCAAACATGCACTTTATCTTAAAGCTGCTTATCGTACGTTTTGCCTTATCGTCATTGTTCAGTAGCCTCGCCCTCCCTTGTTCCCGTTTATCGGGCTACCTTTTCTTTTCATTTTTTTAAAGACTAGGTATTATATTTAGTATTTATAGTTAGGAATGTAACATAGCTTTTAAATTGCATTCATATTTTAATTAGGATTGCTATTGATTTGGTAATGTTAGAAAGTTGCCGTAGCTTTTGAGAGTTCACACCTGACCCTATTTTCTCCATAATCTCTGATGTGTTTGGTGCACGATTTTGCAGAAAGCACTGTTTCGAGAAAGCATGTTTCACACTTCAGCTGAAACACATGTATCTGTTGTGCTTCGTCAATATTTAGACAATTATTTCACATTTAACCTCTCTGCACTTAGAATACATCTTCAGTAGGCGGCATCTTCCAGTTATACCTGCCAGAGTTTTTGGTGAAGGGTTGGGGATAAAACAACAGTGCTTTTCAGAAGCTGGTGTTTTCTTAGATTTGACGAAATACTGTGGTATCCAGAAAGTAAAGAACTACACAAGATATTTAGAAAGACAGGCAACCTAGGCCCTGACTGGTGTGGCTTAGTGGGCTGGGCATCCTCCTGCAAACCAAAGGTCACCGGTTCAATTACAGGTCAGGGCGCATGCTCAGGTTGCAGGCTCGGTTCCCGTAGGGGGCGTGCAAGATGCAACGATGTTTCTCTCACACACTGATGTTTCTCTCCCTTTCTCCCTCCCTTTCCCTCTTTCTAAAAATAAATAAAACCTTAAAAAAAGAAAAAGAAATGACAGGCAGCCCAGCAGAGATGTGGCAAAAGACTTGAACAGCCACTTCACAACAGAAAAAAACCTCTGTGGCTAGAAAATATATGAAAAGGAATGTGTCATCTCATAAGGCAGTTGCTCAGTAAATACCTGGGATGCTTTTCTGTACTTATTAGCATGTTGACCAAAGTTTTAAAAACCTGGTAAGTGTTGATGTGGACATGAAAGTATGTCTAAGGTATGATTCCAGTCACATGAAGTCACAAAACAAGCACAGCTAAGAAATGCTTAGAAATGCCTTAGTTAGTTAGTAAAAACATTTTAAGAAAAAGGTAGGAAGTCATCACCAATGTCGAGATGGCGGCTACCTCTGGGGGTCGGGGGAGGGAGAGAGTTTGGGTTGAAGGCGCACAGTAGGGCTTTGGTGTCACGGCGATGTTGTTTCTTCACCTGCATGGGTTCGCTTTCTTACGACTCGTTTAACCTCACATACACACTTTATATATCCTTCTGTAGACTTTGGAATAAAAGTAAAAAGGGGGATGAGCCGTTCTTCTGTCCAGCGTTGTTGGCAGGTCAGGCAACAGGAGCCTTGACCATGGGGGTTAGCGGAGTGGGGGCTACCGATGAACACAGCTAACCGTCACAGTGGCGTGGCCGGGGCCAAGGCCCACCCAGAGGGGCCCCAGAGAGGGCAAGAGGAGAGCAGTTGGAGACGGCGAGTCAACAGAACTTGCTGGAGGCATTTCTGTGTAGGAAAACTATAGTGGTGACTGAAGGGGCAGGAAGCTTTATGTTAAATATATTGAGCGTCGGATAATGCGCATGAATTTTCCGGGATGCTGAAGGCAGCTGGGGCAGGTTGGGGAAGGGGGAGGGTTTTTTATGTGTATGGGATGACATTTGAGGGGAGGAAGTAAAAATTTGTAATACTGGAAACATGTATGTTGGACTCATGCGTAACATCTTGCATTTATTCATGGAAAGAAGCACGAACACCATCTAGCTCAACAGCAACTCTGCAGAAAGGGGGTGAGACCCACAGGGAGCAAGCGTGTGCCTAAAATCCTGCCGTTAACTGTAACCCCCCATGAAAACTCTGAGTTGCTCCTGCCCTTTGGGTCCGTACTCTTTTTATGGTGTTATCTACAACATAGTTGGCTCTTAAATTGGGTTTTATATAAGCATTATATGTTACAGTAGAGTTTATTTGGATAACCTTTCAGTTAGCCTTTTCTGCATTAACAGACCACCCCAGATTTAATGGCTTATAGTGACCATCATGTTTGTATTTCTCATGATTCCACGAGTTGGCTGAGCTCAGCAGGGACCACTCACGTGGCTGTTGTCAGTGGCAGCTCACCTGGGGTTGGAGGGGCTGAGATGGCCCCACTCGTGTCTGGGCCTTGCTGCCGTTTGCTGGCTGGGACCTCTCATCGGTCAGTGGCCTAGACTGGACTTCCATACTGGCAGGGGGAGCATCCCAGCAAGGCCACCGTGGAAGTGGAGACTCCTGAACTTACAGTGTCCTGTCTCCCACATTCAATTGTGCAGACAAGTCATAAATCCAGTCCAGATGCAAGAGGTGAGATGACAGGCCCCATCTCTCCAAAGACAGTGATGCAGAGCATTGTGGCTGTCGTTTTCACTTACCACAGATCATTACAGATTTTGAATTTAATCATTGAGTTTATGTTCTAATGTTAATTTTTACTTACTGTGGGGCTAAAAGCTGTTGATTTGGAGGAATCTAACAATGCAGTTTTAGTCAACACATGAGAAACAAAAATCTGACAATGAAAAGTGTGTTATGTTAAGAAAAAAGAATTTATGTTTTCCAGATTTTGTATCCTTTGTAGTGTAAAGTAGATAAATGATCATTTTTATTAAAAATATGAAGGGGAAATCTATTGAATACAACAGTCTTTGTTGCTTGGAATGAATGTTAGCATAATCATTTTCTGATATCATTACCATTGATGTTTTATCATCACCTTTGTGAATTTTTCTCACATGTTATAGACTATAATAGAACGTAATAACAATTATGAAGTAAGAGCAATAAATATTTTCCCATGAATGAATTATAATAACAGCGTATTGGGAGGCACTGTGCTAATTATATTGGAGTGAACATTTACTCAATTTACTGGACAGCCATCTGTACCGTGTTCCTGTGCTGATGCTCACAGTCTGCCGCTACTTGGGGCCGTCACTCTGAACCAAGCAACACGGGCCCCGAATATTGCCATGCCCTGGGTGGACCCAGGGAAGGCTCGCTAAAGAAACTTCTAAGCCAGGACCTGAAGGATGAGCAGCAGTTAGCTGACGGAAGTGGGAAAGGGAATAGGAAGTCTTCAGGGGAAAGGAATGGCTTGATTAGAGGACTGCTTGGTCTTGGAGGTAACCAAGTGCAAAAAACAGAAGAATTGAAAAAAAATCTACGATGCTAACATCTAGAATGTGGAAGGGGTGGGGCAAGAAAGACACTGGAGAAGTCGAGTCTGGGTTTTATGCCAGGGATCATGAGAAACCAACGATGGGTTTAATGTCTTTGCTGAGATTGTTTTAGAAAAGTCGCAGCTGTGGTCTGGGTAAGGGGTGCAGCCAGGGAGAAGAAAGGAGGCAGGACAGACCACAGCCGATGACAGGGGTTGGGTGAGTGTGAGAGCCAAGGGCAGTGTAGGAATGCTGGAGGCATTCAGGAGCCGGAGTCAACCGGGTTGGGTGACTGGAGGTGGAGTGCAGGGGGGAAGCCAGGGGGACCCGGGGCTCTGGCCTAGAGTGCTCTCAGTGAGGGGGGGTGGCGGGGAGGGCAGGTGTGGGGAGGCCTCCTGGCACAGGACTTGCCGCTACACCCCAACGCTATTTCCAGGTTGAATGCCTTGATCCCTTTTTTGTATCCTCTAGTCTTTGAAATGACATTTTTAACATCAGTTCATATAGTTACCAATTCTTACTCAGTAAGATTCAAAGGGAGCAATACTGCTATAACCTGAATGTATACCTTGGGTCTGAAAGAAAGGTTTTACGGCTGACCTTTGAACGACACAGGCTTGAATTGCACGGGTCCACTGATACGCAGGTTTTTTCAATAAATATACAGTCAGCCATCCACACTCCCAGGTTTTGCATTGGGCATCCAACCCAGGGTTGAAAACAGTGTTTTCCGTCTGCGGCTGGGACTGCACAGATGCGGGGGGCTGTCTGTGTGCATTGTTCTGCACCCTGACATGTAAGGCACTGGAGTGTCCATCTAGTTAGGTGTCCTGGAACAAATCCCCGTGGATACTGAGGGGGGACTGTAGTTAAGTTCGGGGGAGTCAACAGCTATACCTGGATTTTCACCTGTGCGTGTGGAGGGTGGGTGTCAGTGCCCCTGACCCCCCGTGTTGTTCAAGGATCAACTGTACTTCAGTAGGAATTCATTAGTGGCCTGAAATTTAGTGTTCTGTTGCTGAAGTTCATTAAACCGTTTACCTACTGCTTAATTTTTTTAACTGCTTAATTTCATAATTAACATTTGTCCAAGTTTTAAAAATAGAGTTCATTAAAAGAGGTTAATTTTTTTCTATTTTGATTGTTCTGTGCCTCTAGTAAGAACAACACTAGTTTCTTTTCTCCAAGGAAGAAAAAAATGTATAAGATAGCTACGTAAAAATGAATCTGTTATTAGTGGGTTATATTAAGAAATGATAATTGAGGTTTAAAAGAACTTACTGTCGTGCCCTAAGGTCAGCTCTCCTGGACACTGAGATGTTGTAGTCCTTGTGGTTTTGAACTCCACGGCTCTCTGCAGAGTTTATGAAAGACTGACTCCTGCGTCGTTTAGTGTCCTGCTTCCACTTAGGAATGTTAACTCGCCTCAGACGTCTGGTCCTCGTCCTTGTCAGTACAGTGGTCTGTTCCCCCCATGTGTGTTCTCTAGGCTGCACTGTCTATTATTTGCAATATTTTGTAAGTTTAAAAGTACTTTACAACTTTTTTTTTCTTGTTTTTTTTTCCCTTAGGCACCACAAGGGCCCCCAGGGATGGGGAAGTGCCAGGGGTGGACTATAATTTCATTTCTGTTGAGCAGTTCAAAGCCCTGGAAGAGAGTGGAGCATTGTTAGAAAGTGGAACGTATGATGGTATGTCCTCAGATGTTGACAACAGTGACCCAGAACACTATCTGAATTATGATTTTGGACTGGAATTATGATTTTACCAAACAACAAAGTTTTCTATCGGTTTTGGGGAAAATTTGTCTTTTAATTAGGGTATTTGTAATTCACTGGTTAAAATGAGATTAAACAATAATCAAAAGCATTTCATCATATTATTAAGTCAATTAGCCCTGGCTGGTGTGGCTCAGTGGATTGAGTGTCGGCCTGTGAACCAAACGGTCACAGGTTGGATTCCCAATCAGGGCACATGCCTGGATTGCAGGCCAGTTCCCAGTAGAGGACACTCGAGAGGCAGCTACACATTGATGTTTCTCTCTCTTTCTCCCTCCCTTCCTCTCTCTCAAAATAAATAAAATCTTTAAAAAAATAAATCAATGATGAGCAATATACTGAAAATATTAAAATTAACTAGTTTGCATATTTCATAGTAATTCACATGATTTGAACTCAGCAAGTGTTTGTAGATTGCTTTCTATTTGTGATTGAGAATTAAAATACTGTACACTTTTAAAAAATCTATGTATACCTTGGCTAGGTTTGAGAAAGATGAATATAAAATTGGGGAAAAAAACAAGAAGAACAGAAAAATTGGTTTTCTTTTTATATCTCTTTCCTCTACCCACTTGATTCTAAGAAGTACAGATTTAAGATCAAGTTCAGTTTTTAAATGATTCTATGGTAGATCCTGTTATTCCCTAAGTGACACTTCCCTGGCAAGCTTGTCCACTCCCGTAGCACCCTGTGCTGTTGTATCATTGCTTTATCGTGCTGCTACCGTAATTGCCTTTTTCACAAGCTTGGGGAAGGCAGTTATGGTGTCTTTGTTACTCCATATTATCTTCCGTGCCTAAGACGATGTTCAGTAAAATCTCACTTTTATTTCAACATATCCAAGTATGTGTTTGTGTCCCGTCCAAAAGGGTGCTTCTTCACCATTTCTCTCTTTAGCAGCTCGGTGAGTTGAAAATGGTAGAGACACCATTCGCTTCCTTTTCCTTGCAGTTCCCATCTAGTCTGTTACCAAACCCGGTCCTTTCTTCCTTTGCTGCAGCAGCTTTTGCAACGCCTTTCTTCTCACTTCCCCACGTCATGGTAGGCCCGCTGTGAGCTCAAGTCGAGGGCACCGGGTTAGTATCATTTGTTAGTATCATTTCCGTTTGTCCCCTCCATCCTGCCATTGCTACCCAGCTGCCGCCCTCAAGCACAGCTCTGCTCGTGCCCTCTCTCCTCCTGAGAATCTTCAGTGAGTTCTTTTGGCTGCTGAGTTTGACCCAGCTACCCTTTCTGGACTTAGCTCCAACAAATTCTTCCATTTGTTCCCCTTTTTTTGGACCCATTTTTTAAGTATCTGCTATGTGCCAAGCGCTGTCACAGAGACTAGAGATGCTGTGGTGAACAATACCGAAATAATACTGTCTCAATAAATCCTATGCTTAGTGGGAAAGGCAGTCGGAACAAAGTAACTATAAATTGAGGTGTTATGAAGGAAACAAAAACAAGGGATTTAAAGAAAACCATAGGAATGTCTTACTTAGATAAGGTGGCCAGTGAAGACTTCTCAGAGGAAGCAGCAGCTACTTATTTTTTATTTTATGCAAACAGCCTACTCTTTCTTCACCTCTGCCTTAAAGCCAGCCATTGCAATGTGTTTCCCATGTATGTTTTTGTTTGTATGTGTTCTTGCAAAGTGTGTAGTTGTTATTTCCATCCGGACTGTGTTCTAGGTCTCATTCAGTTATAACTGTCTTCACTTGCCGCTGTGCTTTGAGTCCTGCACGTGGCTCTGCTGCATTAGCGTGCAACTCTCTGCTTCCTGGCTGCTGTCTAGCGCTTTGTTGTGAATCCCCTGCATCTCACCCAACTGCACCCCTGCTACTGGGCTTCAGATTGCCTCCAGCTCCCCGTCACCACCCATTAAGTTGCAGCAAACATTTCCGCACATGTCTCCTTACCGACCCATGTGACAGTGTCTGGAAGACAGACCCAGGGCAGACTTGTGGGGTTACATCCTCTGCAGTCTGCGTTCCCACCAGCTGTGCGGGAGGGCCTGCTGCTCCCGTAGCAGCTGGAGTAGTGGCTCCGCGTCCTCAGCAACACCGGGCCTTGTCCAGCTCTGCAGTGTTGCCAGTCTGGTGGTTGCAGAAGTGCTTATCTCATTTAAACTTCGGTGTTTCTGGACGCCAGAGAGCTTGAGCATCTTTTCCTCTGCTTATTAGTTTTGGGGGCTTCTGCAAATTGTCTATTTGTTTGCTTTGTCAATTTTTTAAAAACGGGATCTCAATTGCATTCCAGTTTGCAGACATTCCTTAGATATTTAGATATGTATTTAGGTATTAAATCCTTATCTGATATAGATGTTTTCTCCCATTCTTTTACCTAATAATCTTGTCCTGTGTCTCTTCATTAAACAGAAATCCTTAGTGTGTGTTTGCCCAATTTATCACTGTTCCCCTTAAGACTTGTATTTTTGAAGTTTTGTCTAAGAAGCCCTTCTCTGCCCTGAGGTGACGAAGATACAAGTCTACATTTCCTTCTGCTAAACATAAAAACATGTTACATATTTGACTAAGTAGCATATTACATGTCATTAATTACCATATGCTCAAGTCAAAGGAAATGAAAATTGAAATATCATAAACCATTTCACATCCATCATACTGCCAAAAATTTTAAAGCATGATAATGGAAGGAAATGGAAACTCCTCCCATACACAGCTGGCAAGAGTGTAAAACGAAACAGTCCCTGTGGGGCAGCTAGGCAACAGCTAGTAACTTCGAAGGTGCACGGAGTTCTAGCCCAGCAGTTCCCTCTCAGATGCCTGCCCTGGAGCGACCCTTGTCTGCGGGCCTGTGTAGGTGGAGTAGTCTCTATAGCACCGTGCGAGGCAGGGAGGGGATGGAAACAGCTCTCTTCTGATAGGGGAATGGATAAGATCCCCTTTAATGTGTCCATTAAAAAATGGGCTATTTTACAGCAGTTGAGTGAACTAGAATTGACATGTCAACAAGAATAAGTCTTAGAAATATAACTGTATAAAAAGAAAGTTGCCCTGGCTGGTGTAGCTCAGTGGATTGAGCGCCGGCCTGTGAAACACACGATCGCAGTTCGATTCCCAGTCAGGGCACATGCCTGGGTTGCAGGCCAGTTCCCAGCAGGGGGCGCACAAGAGGCAACCATACATTGATAGTTCTCTCCTTCCCTTCCTGTCTAACAATAAATTAAAAAAAAGAAAGTTGCAAAAGGACACATACACTATATTGTTCAGAGAAAAGTTACGAAATGTTATTAAGAACACTATGAGGCTTTTATGAACAATAGTATTTGTATTTCATGTGTGCATATACACATGTATTTGATGTATACACGTGCAGGGACGTGACACGTGCTGACCTCAGGATAACTCGGAGAGAGCGGGCAGGACGGAGACTGGAAGTTAGGGCTCTAATAGTGTATGTGACCATATATATCTGTCCTGGGGGGGAAAGGGGGGCCCGAAAGAACCTGGCAGAAGTTAATGTCTGGAGGCTGTGTAAATACAAATAAGGAGGTTTTCTAATACTACCCTAATACTGTTGTCTGTGATTTTATGTATGTATTTTGCCATGCGCACCCATAGCTTTTGTGCACGTTATACACAGGATTAGCGTGCCCATTATCATGCCTGTGGCATGCAGTCATTATACCCAAGTATAATACGTATCCGTATTTTTCCTCAAAGGTTTGGGGAAAAAAGTGCGCATTATACACGGCAAAATACGTTATGTCTGAAATATCTAAGAGTTCCATTGTAAAAATGAAAATACCTTCAGAAAAGAAAAAGAAAAAACTCCAAAGCAGCTTCAAAAGGATGAAAAAATTCATTAATAACTATCATCAGAGCTCACAAACTTTGTAATTTTATACCTTGCTGTAATCTGCAACCTTGATGTTTTCTAACAACTCAAGTAAAATAGATAGGTTTACTTACATGCAATGCTTATTATTAAAGCGGATGCTTTTTTTAAAAATAAGGAAACTGCCAGAATTTATTGTGAAGTCTCACAGCGTTATCAATGATTATGAACAACAATCACAATGTCCTGAATCTTTCTAATTTTCACCCTGGAAAAAAGATAAACTTTCTAGAGCTAGATAATGATTGCTAAGAATACACACTAACATGTGTTCCTAGTAAAAGTCCCATCCTTAGGAAAAACGGACCTTGGATTTTTGTCCCAGTCCCTCCCGGTTCCCTGGCAGTGAGATCACGGGGCGTCACGTGGGAGGTGCCGGCGTGTCCTCTTCCCCACCCAGACCTCAGCTGGGGGCGTTTCCCTGCCCTGTGCCCCAGGGAACTGGGAACTGGCTTTCTGTCATCGGTTCCTTGCTTGACTTCCGGGTCAGAAAGTTTGCTGAGGTCCCATTAGTCTGTTTTAATACGAACCTTTGCCTCTGTCTGCACGGCAAGAATAATTCCATTCCAAACCTGGATTTGGAAGCCAGGGAGCAGTGGAGTGGGGGAGAGGCAAGATGTAATTGAAAAGCTTTCTAGTTTGATTTCACTGTTTTGCTTTGAGTATTTTAATAACAGTACCACCTGAAGTCAAATTTCCAAAGAATTTATCTTAATGCTTTCCCCTCCAAAACATGCCCGACCTGTGGTAAACTGTGCTGTTTGTAGATGTGACATGATGTTACGATCAATAGCCCATGCTTTTTCATCTAGGAAAAACCACCCCATTGTACACCCCATTAATTTACTTCATGGGGATGAGTATCTTCATTACCTCCTCAGGAGCCAAGGAATTTGTTTAGAAGATGTGATTTAAAAAACAAAATAGAAGAAGCTCAGTATTTTGCCCCAAAATCTTATTTATCTTTTTATAACATCAGAAGAGTGATTGATGCAAGGTCAAAACTAACAGGAGCCACAAACCACTGATGTAGCTGCATCCACTGAGCGCTTCCCCATTATGTTTGGCTGCCTAATGAGAGCTGCATGACAAGTTGAGAAGATATGCAATTGTTTCATTGTATTCTGGAACATTTATTTTTACTGCAAAAATTACTGATCCTCAAGACTTAACACATTAAAGTATTCTTGCTTTCCTGAGAGTATGCCAATATTGAATTATGCTAATAATGCCTCTATTTGTTCAACAAATTGTCAGATAAAATGATATAATTAGATTCTCAGCAAAACTTTCAAAAATTACTTTTACATAAACAGCCTACATTTCACCACAGCCTGGTTCATTCTTAGCCTTATCCTTTGCCCACATATTTCCTCATTTTAACAAAACAGTTCATTTTGTGACTTAGTTTTCTTCTCCTTTACTCCCACTTTTACACCAATGAGTCTTACACAAGAACACCAGTGCATTTAAATTCACAAATTAGGCTCTCTATTAGAACCCATGCAAAAATGCAAGCCCTCATAGAATAAATAATCTATACACAATAATTCAACTTCCTGGCCTTAGTGCAAATAGTGTTAAAATGTTAGATAATATATGGTGAAGGGCACTTGAAAAACTAGCCACTTTTACTCTTTCTGCCTCTTCCAAGAAGTGCTTTGACCTCCATTTGGCGGGCGGTGGTCATTCAGAAAGTTCAGTGTCAGCCAACAGGAGAGAGACATACACTCGGTCATGTTGTCGTGACTCTCGATTCCACGTGAGTGTTTCCAGCTGCTGTCACTTGGTTCATTTCAGGAAACTTCTACGGCACTCCCAAGCCTCCAGCAGAGCCCAGCCCCTTCCAGCCCGACCCTGTGGATCAGGTCCTCTTTGATAATGAGTTTGACACCGAATCCCAAAGAAAACGAACTACATCTGTCAGCAAGATGGAAAGAATGGACAGCTCTCTCCCCGAAGAGGAGGAAGATGAGGACAAGGAAGCCGTCAATGGCACCAGCACCGCAGGTTTGTAAACAGACGACTGACACCTAAGTGGCCGTCCAGGTGGACGTCAACATGACACTGGGAAGTAGTAAAATTTTTCACAAGGCACGTGCACAGTAAGCGACCAGATTCTAGTATTTTTTGTGGAATAAGCTGTATTTCTGTCAGTCATCTTGTAAGCTGAAGTGAGTTCCCCCAAGTTGGCCATTTTGATAGATCAGTTGTGAGGTATCGTTAGTGATCATGTAAGATGACATTATTCTACTACAGCGATTTCAACCAGTGCACTGCGAGAATTTTTAAAACATGCAACAAGTGACTGTTTAGTCAGGGGCACTGACCTCTTTTCCCTTAAAGTGTCAAATAAAAAAATGGCAACGGGCAACACAACAGTAGCTTTTGGGTGTGAATAAATAAAAATTATACCCATTTTTTGGTCAAATCAGCAAAAAATTTATTTTATTTTTTAAAGATTTCATTTATTTTTAGAGACGGGGAGGAAGAGAGAGAAACATCAGTGTGTGGTTGTCTCTTGAGCACCCTTTACTGGGAACCTGGTCCACAACCCAGGCATGTGCCCTGACTGGGAATCAAGCCAGTGAACCTTTGTTTCTCTGTCTGGCACTCAACCACTGAGCCACACCAGCCAGGGCAGAAAATATATTTTATATGTAGTAATTAGTTTATATGTGCCAGGAGATGAACAAGGTTGAAAATCACTGTCCTACTGCTTAAAAGATTTGAGATTCATTTCTGATGCTGGGATATGGAGATCTTGTTGGCCTAAGTCCTCCTTTACGGGATATGAACAAAATGTAGATGTTTTAAGGTATAGCCTTCAACCAAAACAAAGTACAGAGGTTTGGAAATATGCTGTTAAATGTTATCTGAAAGGTTTGTTAGCCGTACTTTGGCTTTAAATTCAGAATCAGTCAAAGAAAATTTCCAAATTGACTCTTATATTTTTTAGAAAATGCAAAACCAATAGGAGTTTACTGGTGGAGAATCTTCTTTGGAGTACCCCTAAAAATGTGGCGATTGTGTAGGAAACTCTTACACTTCCGGTTGAGATTATGAGCCGGCAACCCCAGAATCACAGTAGAACTAACTTCACTGCCATTTATTACAGTAATTATAATATACTACACTATGAAACACTACAATATAAATAGTTATAATACAAAACGCTACAATGCAAGCTTCATGAGGCTTGGAGTTTTTGCTTATTCTGTTCATTGTTGTATCCCTTGCACCATAGACAGTGCCTGACATATAGTAGAACCTAAAAAATATATGTTATTGGTTCCCGGTAAATGAATGGGTTGGATCATGTCCCCAGATTTGCAGAACCCATTACCACATCATTTTCCTGAAGCTTCCTGATGTTCTCCTTTATCACCATTCGCTTCCCCTCCAGACTGTGAGTCCTGTTTTATGGACGTAACATCTCACGTAGTTCATGTATTACCTTGATATATTTGGGCAAAACAGGTCTGAAAAGGTTTAGGTGGATTCACATCTCGTTCTTTAGGGGTTGTCAAGGGAAATCAGCCTGTTTGTTTTAGTTATTGGGGTTGCATTAGTTAATAAATTATGTAGATTTCAGCCGCACAGTTTAATAACATAGCATCTGTAGGTTGTGTTGAGTGTTCACCACCCCAAGTCACATGTCTCTCCATCACCGTTTATCCCCCACCCCTTTACTTCCTGACCTCTCCCCACCCCCTGTCCTAAAGCCTTTTGATGCTGATGGCAGCTTAGCTCACCCACAAAACTAAGTTTATTAACTTTGTTAAGACTGGGATTAGACTGCGAGTTCGTTCCAGCGTGGCGATTTCTGTGTCCTGGGTAAGCAGGGCAAGGAGGACGTGGCCCGGGCGTGGGCGGGGGTGAGGAGCAGGGGGAGGTAGTGGGATCACAGGGTCATAGAGCTGGCCTGGGTCAAGGAGGGGTGGAGTGCGAATCCCGTAGGGATGAGGGGAGCCGTGAGGTGATGCCGGGGCCTCCACTGACTGGCCTCCACGGTCTGGAGTTACCGCGGTCATGTGGGAAGTTCTGGAAACAAGTTCTGGGTGCACGCAGTGTGAACTCCCTGGGAAGACACCGAGTTTTAGTGTGTTTACCTGCCTGTGGGCTTCGGGGCTCTAAAAGGATGCTAACGCCACGGACAGAGAATTATATTTAACAGTAAGAAGTCCGTGGAGTGTGATTCTTAAACGTTAGTGTCATTTGAAAGGCCAGGGTTGATCGTGTGCCAGGCAGCCCCGGGGTGCAGTGAACAGCACAGACTGGCGTCCTGGCTTTACTGTTCATTTGCTGCCTGACCTGGACTGAATTAACCAGCCTCGCCGTGCCTCGGCTTCCTCATCTATAAAGTGGGAAGAGTAGCAATGCATTCTCCTGGGGGCGAGTGAGGGCCATGAGTTAATACAAGTGAAGAGCTTAACGCAGAGCCTGAAGTAACAGGACCGTGTGGTGCTCTGACGGCTGTCACTGTTGGCTTTCTCTGTGTTACCAGAGGCTCAGTGTGCACCGAATTGATTCTGGGGTCATATTTTGCTTACAGCAGAATGTGGACACAGAGACAAGGGAATCTGCCGTAAATGTGTGGCATGTTGTGAGAAGCGAAGAGCACTGTGGGAAGAGAGTTGATGTGTTTCTACTTTTCACCCTGCTCTGTTTTGAACAGAACACAGGGAGAGGCATTCAGAGTCATCCGACTGGACGAAGATCGTCCCGAGTTACAACCAAACCAACAGCTCCATGGACTTCAGGAACTACACGATGAGAGACGAGACTCTGGAGCCGCTGCCCAAGAACTGGGAGATGGCCTACACGGATGCGGGGATGATCTACTTCATTGAGTAAGCCGCGTCTGCCCTTTCACCGACACGCCCTGGGCCGCGGGACTTGTCGGAAGTTCCGCCTCGCTCCTCAAGGCTTCCGTGTCTCTTCTCTTCCTTTAAAATATTCTTCACGATTGTAGTTATTCTTCAGTGTTATAGTTGATTCTTAATCTGACCTTTTGCCCTGGATGGTGTTTTGTTTTTATTTGACTTAGACAAAGAGATAGTGTATTCAATTTCTGGTTTTAGAAAAACAGGAGGATTAAAAACAGATTTATCACTAATAATGAAAAATGTAAGAAATAAAGAGAGTTTTGCTTTGCTTTTTTTTTTTTAAATCTTCAGGTATGTTGTCCCTCTTAATGAGCATTTCTAGGAAAGTTTGTTATGAACACATCTAGAAGGGAGTTATTGTATGAGGGAAGACACATTTCTTATTTGAGCTAAATATTTTTAGTCCTAGAGTTTGGGTTTGGTATTTTCAGGCAAATAGGATAAGGGAGGAAAATCACCGACCCTCCGAATAATTGGTAAAATACAAATTCACACCCACAACTATGACATGAAAAAAGCACTGTGCATACGCTTACGTTGAGAGAGAGAGAGAATACCCTATGGATTCAGTCAACCTAAAATTTTATATTGCTCACACCTGAGAATATTACATAAATAATTATTGGCAGTTTTATTATGAAGTATTTATATATTCTCATGCAGCTATAGTTTCCATCTTTAAACTAATTTACCCAGAGGTAAAATATCAATGCAGTAAAGTTACAGAATATATAATTAAAACACTGAGGACTGGACACTACACTCAAGAGCACCTCCTCAGAAATGAATCAGGGGCAGGAGATCGGGATGTGTTTCCTCAGTTGGTCCCAAATTCCACATCCTTCGTATAGAATGAGCATCTTGCCGTACCAAGTGAGATTCTGGTATTTAAAAGATGTAGAATTTGTGTGCATGGTGTTCTTTTTGCCACGTGTGGTAAATTATTGATTTTGCTATACATTTATATAAACAGTAATGACATGGATTATACACAACAGACAAAATCAGGTATACTCTTCTCGATGGGCAATGTAAGGAGTTTTTTGAGGGTGATTTACATTTGACTTTCATGCTGACTTTAGAACTAAACCCCCAAGTAAGAGGGTTTAGAGCCACTCACTGCAAGCAGCTAGAAGATCTTCAGAAACTGATTGTGCGACATTGAATCTGAGACAACCTCACCCTGCAAACCGGGAAAAATTAGTAAATTGTGGGGGTGGGGAAATTTGTATAAGAAATGTCTTTGTAGGTAAACATTATCAAAAGGGATTGACTGCCTAAATGTAAGATCTGAAACTATAAAACTTTTAGAAGAAAACACAGGGGGAAAGCTTTATGACATTGAACTTGGCAAGGACTTCTTGGGCATGACACAAAAAGCACAGGCAACAGAAGCTGGAACAGAGAAATGCGGCCGCCTCAAACTTACAGAGCCTGTGCAGCAGAGGGAGGTAGTTGGGGGGGTCCCTCAGGGGCAGGAGGAGACACTTGGAGACCACTATCTAAGAAGGGTTAGTATCCACACCAGAGTGGACTATTATTTGCTGCTGGATAGAGCCCTCTCGTTTGATGTGGCTGAAGTGTTCGGTCCGTGTCACTGGGTGCTGCCAAATGATGCCTCTGTGAGTAAATGAAACTGGGCGGTTGTCTTTAGCTGCTGTGTTTTGGGTATCACCTCATGGGCATCTCTCCCTTCAGAAACAGTGAAATCCTAGTGGGTGGCCTACATCTGCTAACGTAGCAGGGCAAATTTGGGCCCATCAAAACCGAAATTAGCTTTCCTTAAGTACCTGGTTTTCATTTAGTTTTGTAAGATATGCTCGTGTGTGTGTGTGTGTGTGTGTGTGTGTTTTAAACAATGTTGTGTGTGCCGCTGGGCCTCTATGGAGTCTTAATCCTTTTCATGTTGCTAAGTGGATTTAACTGGAGAAATTACCAGACAGAATGGGTAACAGACTTTCTAGAAACAATCCCAGAGTCTCCTACTGAGATTCTCCGTATCCAGAACACAAAGTTCCTACCACTCTGCAGCGTGTGAGCCCCGGCAGCGTGTGGGAGGGGCTGCTGCGCGGGCAGGTCAGGAAGTGGAACAGGTGTGCGAAGAGACGCTCAGTGCCCGGAGGCTGGGCTCCAGTCCCGAAGGCTGGCCGATGCAGGGATTCGTGAGTCCATCTCATGACAAAGACCCCAGAAAAGTTACCTTGTTCACCCGGCTACTCTCACTCTGTTTGACAGTAACTTTTCGTTTGGTTGCCTCCCTGTGTATTTTCTACTGTATTTGGTCTCCCTTTACTCTCCTCATATTTCGGAGACTTAAACCACACCGTAACGCTGGTCGCCTGCCCCGCAGTGTGATGGGTTTGATTCAGCGCTCGTGTCCGCTGCGTGGTGGCCTGGTGTGAGGCTCCCGGGACCTCCCGTGACATTAGACAGACGCTGCTCTTTGAAAGCATCTGCGGCCTACCCCCTAATAAAACGGGGTGTGGGCGGTCTTTTTGTTCCACCTCTTATTTTTCTATTAAATATATGGTCTATGCTGATGAAAACTTAGTGTCATAGAGTTGAGTTTCATTCTACCCATCATTTTTACTCAACATATCGCAGAAACAGACACGGTAAAACTTCTTATTTTATTTGCCTCTACATTGTTTCATTTAACATAGCCCGGGGAGCCCAGAGGCTGTGTTTGGTTGTTCATCTCTGTGTTCCCAGCCCCCAGCACAGTGGCCCCACATCACGGGGGCTCAAGAAATGCAGTGTTTTCCGTAGGGAAGGAGGACAGAATTCAGCCAGCAAGCAGATAAGGTTTTCAGCGATAATACAGAGCAGGGGGCTGTAGCTCACCGTTTGAAACGTTTTGACCGCTTTGAAAAGTGTCCTCTGCACTTGTTATCTCATCCCTGCTTTAGAATCTTCATTCTCAGATATGTGCCTCTATTCTTACATTCCCTTTGAGGCAGTTTTGCAGTAACGGACTGAGAGCAGCGGGATCATTGAATTGGAGGTGGACTATCGGAGCCTGTGGGAGATGAATATTCTCGCATCATACACCGTTTAGTCACTTTCAGCCTTTGCTTTTGATGGTATTTTTCTCCATCTTTATGTTCCCATTTCTAACTGAGATCTTGATTCTGCAGCCACAACACCAAAACAACCACCTGGTTGGATCCTCGTCTCTGTAAGAAAGCCAAAGCCCCCGAGGACTGCGAAGACGGAGGTAGGCGCAGAAGCCTTTTATACCGTGTTCTCCTAACTGCTTCTCACTCTTCTCGTGCGGACGATGAGTTTCCGAGATCCTTAGCAAACCGAGGTGTGCGGGGGCACGTTGGCACTGGGCAGATCTCATCATCGCCACCCGACTGGCAGTCCTGTCCTTGCCTCTAATTTAATGAGAGATTTTACTTCTCTCTTTTTTAAGGGTTATGTGATTAAATCTCTTATAAAAAAATCCTAATACAAATAAATTTGTTGCCTTTTTACATGTACTTTAAAGATACATTTTTAAATAATAGACCAACTTGACAAACTTTAAAAGTTGCAAATAACTATTTTAATAAATTAGGTACATTCTCAACCACAGAGTAGCCTCATCGTGCTTGTTAAGCCTTCAAAAATATATTTAATTGTAGTATCATGAGGCTAGATAGGCTGGTATCTATGGGTAATTTTTAGCCATTCAGAGCAGCATTGGAAACCCCATGAAAGTCTTTAATAAACTGATTGCCCCGCAATTCCTACTGCTTAGTACTAAAATTCTTTACGAAATTCTTTATGAAAATTCTTTATGAATCACTGGATAATATCTTTTGTCTGTCTTGTATGTTTTTTATTGTATTTAGTGGTAGAGTCTTACAAGTAAATGTAGAATTTATCCTAACCAAAATCGTTTGCTCTGCCTTCTTAAGCATAGGGTGCAGATGAAAAGAATTGTGTTCATTTTGTGTCACTCATCAGCAATGACGTACCTTAGTTAAAAAAAAAAAAGTGGCTTAGAATGAGGTTCAGATAGCTCCCCCCATAGATTGAATTCCAGTCCTTTAAAAAACATTAAACAGGATTATTCAGCATGATTGCAGTGTTAAGAGTTTTCCTAGGAACAAGCAATTGGAAAATGGAATGATTTAAAATTCTATTTACAATAACTTTAAAAAAAATTAAATATGGGCAAGCAGATATACTGAAAGATACGCAAGCCTTCTATGTGCAAAACTCAAACACGTCACTGAAAGAAATTAATGAAGACCTAAAATAATTGAAGAGATATACTATGTTCATAGATTGGATGGCATGATATTGTTAATGATGTGAACATCGTTAACATTTTCTCTAAATTGATATCTAAATTAAATACAGTCTTAGTCAAAACCCTATAGCCCTGGCTGGTGTAGCTCAGTGGATTGAGCATGGGCCTGTGAAGCAAAGGGTCATCAATTCAATTCCCAGTCAGGGCACATGCCTGGGTTGCAGGCCAGGTCCCCAGTAGGGGACATATGAGAGGCAACCACACATTGATGTTTCTCTCCCACTCTTTCTCCTATCCTTACCCTCTCTCTAAAAATAAATAAAGAAAATGTTTTAAAAAAAAACCCTATAAGTTCATTCTGAAGAAATTGACCGTGATTCTAAGATACAGAGGTCAATACAAAGGCTCTATTCTATTGTGTGTGTGCACCCCAACTTTGTCCAGTCGTCTAGCAAAGGGCACTTTGATTGCTTCCATGTCTTCACCACTGTGAATGATGCTGCAGTGAACGTAGCGGCTCGTGTATCTTTGCAAATAAAATTTTCAGGCAGGTTCCCAGAAGAGGGGTTGCTGGGTCCTGTGGTAACTCTGTGGTTGCTGGGTCCTGTGGTAACTCTGAGGGGTTGCTGGGTCCTGTGGTCCTTAGTTTCTGAGGAAGCTCCATGCTACCTTCCACAGTGGCTGTAAGTTTATGTTCCCACCAGCAGCCGACGAGGGTTCCTTTTTCTCCACAACCTCTCCGACACTTATTATAAGACATAATTTTTAATCATTTTTATAACATACTTACCTTGTCTGCAACACTTTCAGCAGCAAGTTCTTTGTGCTGAAAGCAGCCAATGTAACCTAAACCGTCTAACACTATAGAATTTGACTTTCTGAGACTGCGAGTGTGGTATTAGTCTCCTCAGACACGTCTTCTTTGCTGGTCTCCATCCTTTTTCCTGCCCACTAATTGTTTTGAGTTCAGTTCTCTGCTGTTTCCTGTTTTCCCTTGGAGAGCGGATTCATTTTCATAGCTTTAACTATCAGTTTACCGCAGTTGGGTCCCTTATCTGAATCTCTAGTATTGTTCTCTGTTCAAAATGCTATTTCTGTATTTCCTATTGACTCTCTTTTTGATTGTCCTACTAGCACTTCAAATAAATGAATTTAAAAGCAAACATTTTTCTCTCAAAGCTGCCCCTCCCTCTCTCCCCCAGCGATGCCATCCGGACTCCCCGCGGCCCCACTAGCTCCTTCCCCTCCTCTCGTTCTTCCCTTCCCCTCTGCTTTGCCGCTGTATTAGCATGAAAAGTTTTGTAGTGCCGCCCACCACTGAGATATTCCAGGGCACATTTTGCGGTGTTTGCGTTTCCACGTGGCTGTCTGTCCATCTGTCCTCTTTCCGCCCGTCCTTTTCCCTTTTCGCCTTTCTCTTCTTCCCTGGGCTCGCCATGCACTTGCGGCGTCTTCAGACTTTTTCCCCCTGGAGCGACTTCTCCAGGGTGTCCCTTCTCCCAGTGGTCTCCAAAATGTTGGCGTTCCAACTCTCTTCTGTTAGAACTTATTTTTCATAATGTTTCTTTTAGGAAAAGAAAGACAAATTAGGCTTTCCTTACTATTTTAGAGACAGGCTGGCAATTCTGTATGTGACTGTATGTGATTATCACATTCACCAACTGCCCAGAGTACTAATTATACTTGTCAAAGGCACTGTGGAGTTTTGCAGTTTACTTTGCCCAGTTTAGTGGATTTAGAGACCATGTTACATAGTTTTGGGGGGTTTTCTTTTGAAGATTTTATTTTAGAGAGAGGGGAAGGGAGGGAGAAAGGTAGAAAAACATCAATGTGTGGTTGCCTATCATGTGCCCCCATCTAGGGACCGGGCCACAACCCAGGCATGTGCCCTGACTGGGAATCAAACCTGTGACCCTTTGGTTCGCAGGCTGGCACTTAATCCACTGAACCACACCATGAGCCACAGCCAGAGCCATGTTACATAGTTTTTAATCCAGACAAAACTAAAATGTGGCTTTAAAGCTTTTCTGCAAAGATAATACCAGTGAAGATAATACAGATGCACAAGCCTAAATGAATATAGTAAGAAAAGAACAGAGCTGACAGTTTTCACACTTTGCTGATGCTGTATTTTGTACATATTAGTAGAGTAGTATACACATATTTACACATAAATAGATATATCTTAGAGGTACATGTTCAAGTTTTTTACTGATAAGGCTACCTGATCAAAAAACATCTGCTACATTGCCCGTTAACCTTTGGACAGATCACCGCCTTCATGCCTCCCCTGCTCGGATTCCTGTAACGGCTCCCTGCCGTCGGCAGAAGTCGAGACTTCTGGTGAAGTAGTAAAGGCTTTGTGTAATCGCACCGTAATCTATATTTTCCCAAGTATTTTCATGTCAGAAATATGACCTATGTTTGTCTTTGCCGTGTGCCCGTGTATCTGCCAGGACCTGTGCCTTGTGTCCGCCCGGCTCGCGCCTGTTCATCCTTCTAAACTCACATCCCAGTGCAATTTGTCACCTCCTCTGCCATTCCCTTCCAGATCAGAGACAGGCATTCTCTCCTCCCTGCTCAACAGCACCATAGGGCACGTGTGAGTTCCAGCACTAATTATATTGCACTGGTGCTAAATGCCCGTATTCCAGAAGGGCAGTAGTTTTGTCTCCTTCATCTCTATGTCCCTTCAGTAGAGACGTAAGTGTGTGGAAGGGTGCGGGGGAAGGAAGGAAGGAAGGAAGCCAGCTGCCCTGTCCCCCAGATTGTTCTGCTCTTCCTTCTTGAGGAAGCGCTGGGCAAGGCAGTCAACAGGAGCCCGTCTTCGCTCACTGGTTTGGAGGCGACAGAACCAATGTGCAGGAACCAGAGAGATGAGGCTGAAGGCCACTGATGAGTGAACGCGAGGGGCTCCGGTCCTGCGTCTGTGTGCGCCCCCACGGCCGTTCCCCTGTGGGAGGCGGACTCGGGCGTTCTGCCTCTGGCCTCTGCGTCCAGCTGCAGGCCCGCCCGCCCATGAGGCGGGCGTCGGGAGACCAGAGCGGGTTGCAGGCGCTCTGCAGGCAGACATGCCGGCACCCACAACCCTGGGCCAGGCTCGTTGAATTGGCTCTCTGATCTCACTGGTCCAAGAGGACACTTTTTCATCCTTGGAGAAGAAAATGAAGAGGCTCAGAAAACTGGCAGTGTTTCTGCCATTTGTGCCCCTCTGTGGACGGTGGAAAACTGGGTGATTGTGTCCCCTAAGGCTCTTTCCATTGAGGGTGACCGGTGTCTTGGTCAGCTCAGGACTGACCCGCGGGTTCCTGTCGCCCCAGCGTGGGAATCAGTAGCGAGCACTGCGCCGTGCGGTCAGCCTGCGGTGGCTGCCCTGAGATGGAGCAGCCGGAACGCGTGCAGTGCCCTGCTGCTGCGGTGCTGTTCTCCCCGCTCCTCCTTCCACCGTTGGTCCAGGCGACCTCGTCGGCTGCCGTGCTGTGACCCCCATGTCTCCCAGATCCCTGTCTCCCCACATGTCTCACCTGGGGACCGGGTTCATGACCTGAAGAGACTGTTGGGTGTTCCCGCCACGGTGTGACGGAGCCCCTCCCAGACGGAGCACAGCCTCCCGCCTCCCTTGCCTTTGCCCTCAGCAGGTGGCACCGCCTCCTCCGGCTCCTGCAGTTCAGAACGGACCCTCATCCTCCATCTTTTCCTCCGGTGCCTTCCTCATCACAATGCTCCGACTTTCATAAAACACCTGCTGTTTCTTCAGTGTCCGGCGGTGCCAGCAACTTCTTACCTGTCGTCTGTCGTCCAAGTGCCTCTAAATCCAGATCCGTACCTTCCTCCAGTTCCCACAGCTTGTTCATTTTTATGAGTGTTGGATGGATTTTTAAATTTTCACCATTTCCATGCCAGAAGAGCCATTAACCTGGGCATCACTGGCCTCCTCCCTCAAACCCTCCCGTTGGCCATCGGGCCCCATTGCCTTGACCTCCTCATGTTACCCGCTCCTCCTTCCCAGCCCCTCTTCCACCGCCTTCCTCCCTTCACAATTTCTTATCTAGGCTCTTAATGGTAGTTTTTATTTGTCTGCCTTTATTTTCACTCTGCCTCATCCATTTCTTCCTCTGTGACGGCTGCTCATAATCTTCCTCAAATGTAAATGTGATCACATCACAGCCCAGCTTAATCAGTTCCATCGCCATCAAAATTAGGACCGAACTCCTTCCCTGGCACTGCAGGCGTGTGGTTTGGTGCTTGCTTATTCGGGAACACCCAAGGTACGCCCCTCACTCCAGCCCAGTGATTTGTAATTACCGGAAAGGCCAGGCATCCTTACACCTCGGTGCTCCTTGTCTGCTCAGGCGGCCGCCCCTCCCCCACCCTGACTGGTCCTCTAAGACGTCACCCTCCTTTCGAAGGCTCTTACCGGGCGGGCAGTGTCCTCCTCCTGCTCTGCCCGTGGTTATCCTCATGATGTCATTCCTCTCCAACGTCTTCCTGTTTAGACTGAACCGTTGAGGTCAGGTATTGTGTTTCCCCCCCTTTTCTTTTAATTATTGATTTTGGCAGAGTTCATTGGTTTGTCGTTCCGTGTATTCATTGGTTGTTTCTTGTATGCGCCCTGAATGGAGATCAAACCTGCAACCTTGGCATATTGGGATGATGCTCTAATCAGATACGCTAACAAGCCAGGGCCAAGAATTGTGTTTCTAATGTTAGTTTTGCATAAGGAAGGAAAGAGGAGGAAGAGAAGGAAGGGAAAAAGGGAATCAGTGAAGGAATTGACCTCCTGGTAGTGTATAAAAATTGCTAGGTATTTTAGCCTTTTATTACCTTTATTTAAATGGGAAAATAATTACTTCACCATCTGTATTAAATCTGCCCTGCCAAAAACCTGGCTAATGGTGTCACTCCCTGGAAGGGTTTATAGTGATTACTTAAAGTAACCCACAAGGTAAATGACCAATTTTACTCTCCTAAAGAGAGGGCTGTACTTTATTCGTTCCTCATTGCTTTTAAGTGTTAACTAAAATGCTGAATTAATTTCCAGGTTCACTCTGCCATATATTTATGTTGCTCTTTTGTCCTTGTGAAGCATTGGTGCATTTCTGTTCAGTGAATTTTTCGGAAAGCAGATGGGAGGGTTCACCGGACTCCGTAGTTCCTTCGGTTGCTGCAGACTCCCCTAAAGACACGGCTGATCCGGTCGTGTGTGGTCGTAGGCTTCATCTCCCCACAGCCCACTCAGTTCCTGTGCCAGTTGGAGAAAATTTCTAGGGAAAGGAAACACTCTTTCGTGGAAGATCCTCGATGATAGTACCTTGGTAATATTATAGAACAGTTCTTCCCGGGTAGGTAGCTCAGTTGGTGAGAGCGTCGTTCCGATGCACCAGGGTTGCACGTTCAATCCCCAGTCAGGACACATACAAAAATCAACCAATGAATAAGCGGAACAACAAATAGATGTGCCTCTCTCTCTCTCTCTCTCCCCATCTTCCTGTCTCTCTCCATCTTCCCCTCTCTCTCTCTCTCTCTCTCTCAAATCAGTAAATTAAAATGTATATATTATGACAGAACATGTTAAGAGATATAATCCAACAAATACTCTTATCCCCGTAACAGCTGCGTGGTCCTGAAATACTGCTCCTGGTGAACTGGCGGGGGTTTGCATCACAGCTGTGGGGGATCAGAGTGAGCGGAAGTGCATCTCAGCTCCTCTGTTTCTGCCCCGCAGTTACTTTTCAACTCTGCTCATCTCTTCCACCTCAGACATTTCAACCAGGGCTTTCAAAGGAAAACCACAGAACCTCACCACAGTTTGAAGCCACGAGCTTCTACACACACACACACACACACACGCACGCACACACGCACGCAGGCAGAACACATGCTGGCGAAAGGGGATAGATGGAGGTGATGGAGGCATTTTCACTGGGAGCCTCGTAGTCATCTGTGTTCTCCTTCTATCCTGAAGGTGCAGTAATATTTTTTATTAGCGCATAAGAGATTGCATAGCTTGTGAGGTTCGTTATACTGGCATTTTTACTGATAAAGTCGATAACATCATAATTGGCTAAATGATAAAACATCAATGAGTCTTGATACACCTAAGCCTGTTTCCTGTCTGGTACCCACCATCAGTATGTGTGTTTTAGCACAGCCAAAAAACTCTCTGAAAGAAATTGAAGATAAAAGGGGGGGTTCTGTTGGAAAAATCTCCCGTTTTGGGGAGGGGTTCTATTTTACAGGTCAGCTACTGGCAATAAATAATATATAATGACCCTATGCGAGCTGTTTCTTTGTTATTACACACGAGTATGGATTCTACCCGAGGCACTGTGGTAGTTAAGTAAAATTTTCTTTGGCTACTCAGACCAAGTTAATGCAAGGGAAAGTAGGTATTTTGTTAGATTTTAAGCAAACCTAGGTTGCCCACGTGAAGTGGCAAAAATCCGGGGCTGGACTTTCCTCTGGGAGAAGTGGGTCAGAATGTAACAGGAGTAGCCGGCGCGTCTTACGTATCGTAGTGAAAAGCGCGGGGAGCAGCTGCTTCTGCTGGACCGCAGGGCGAGCGTGTCTCATATCAGCATCACCGAGCTTTTTAAATGGAAGGACGGCAGCCCTCTCTCCGGTCCATGGTTTCACTTTCCGCAGTTTCAGTTACCTGCGGACAACTGTGGACCAAAGTATTAAATGGAAAATTCCAGAAATAAACCATTCATAGGTTGTAAATTGCGCATCGTTCTGAGTAGCGTGACGAACTCTCGTGCTGTCCTGCTCCGTCCGGCCCAGGAGGTGGGTCCTCCCTTTGCCCAGCGCACCCACAGTGGATCCCCCGACCCACGGTCGCTTCGTAGCCATCGGGGTTGTCAGACTGACTGCCACACTGTGAAAGTGCCTGTGTCCGAGTCCCCCTTGTTTTCCTCAGTAACGGCCCCCAAAGTGCAGGAGTAGAAATGCCGGCAGTTCAGATGCGCCAAAGAGAAACACAAAATGCTCCAAGTGAAAAGGTGTGTGTGGATAGGGGAATCTTAATATATACAGGGTTCCGTACCATCTGCAGTTACAGGCATCCACGGGGGGTCTTGGAACAGATCCTTAAGGATAAGGAGGGACTACTGTGTGCCATGTGATTTTTTAAATAATTAGCATTGTTATGGCTTGCAATTTAGATAAACACCTTTGAGTTTAATGTCCTCTCATGTTCTGAGGTTCTGATAACTTGCGGAGACTCCCCTGGCTATTGCAGAAGCCACTCAGACCCAAACCGTTTGCTCTTTCAAAGTCAGCCCTCAGCTTTCTGTCTGTCTCCCAGATTTGTAAATTCACTCACCAGCAAATTCTTTTCTGTTGGTTTTGAAGCTGGCATTTCACCCAGTTCTTTCTTTTTTTTTTTGCAGAACTTCCTTATGGCTGGGAGAAAATAGAGGACCCTCAGTACGGGACATACTATGTTGAGTGAGTTTGTTACCTCCGTTACTGTTCTCCCAAAGGTGGGCCTTTCACTGCACAGCTTTCGGGGATGCTGTGCACCGAGCTTCCTGCTGCTGCCGCCATCCACCGTCCACGGTTATCTGGTCACGGTTATCAGGGAGGGGGTGAGAGGCTGGGGCTTGAGCCTTTACTTCCCCAACTCCAGGCTTCCAGGAAGCTAGTGGGTAGTTGCTGGTGATGAGTAGCCGGAGACGTTACCCTCACTCCTGCAGCCTCTAAAGAGAAGGGCAGTGGACAGAGAACGTGAAACATGAACACTGAAGGTCACTTGCAATACAAAAGCTGCTTAGTTTTGAAAACAAGGAAAGAACTTGAAAGGCACAGTATCATAGGACCCAAAATTCTGAGGTGTGTGATTGAAAGTGTTTTCTCTTTAAGGAGTTCCTCCAGGAACACTTGGTAATTTGGGGGGATGAATGACAGCAGCTCCTTCCACAGCTGTTAGGGTTGCATTTAAACAGAGAGATGTTGGTGTGGACCACCAGACACCTGGCTTTGTCAGCCAGAGAAATGAAGGTAACCTGAGCACCTAATTTTTCCTTCCCTTTTCCTCATTTATGGAATCGCTACATTGTTATGATCATTGGGGTTGCTTGCCTTCCAAATGCTATAGATACAGTTTTGACCTTGGGCATCTAGTACCAGACAGTAATTGCATCAGAAATGTTACTGTTTCCCTGGAAACTAGAAGTCTAAGCCTACTTACTGCCTTCACAGTGAAGGCAAAATGATATTGTTACCTGGAACAAGTAGCAAACCTGAGAACCTTCTAGTTTTATGATCGCTTATTAGTTTGTTACCACGTGTTGGCACAAACAAATGCCAGTTCCTGGTATTCATCCTTAAAGTACTGCGGACGCCTGTTGTAGCTCTAGTCTTTACCCTAGTGAGCGGACTGTCCCTGGAATCATTTTGCTGAGAGAGATTTTGGGACATGCTTAGAAATCTAACTTGTACCCTAAGGAAATGACTCAGTGTGGCCCTTAAGTTTGTAACCTGTCAATGTCAGTATTTTGGTTCCTTTGACAGGCGATGCTAATTTTATTTCCATTGTGCTATTAAATATCTTGCTGATACTGTGATGTGAAAAGTATACGGCAGCTCTTTGGTTATTTTTCTCTAACACATATTTAGTTACAATAAAGAAGCAAACATTTTTGAAGTGCAAAGAATATTTGAAGGCCAACTAAAAGGGTTTTGTGAGATTTGTTTTTCTCCCCAGTCCTTTAGTCGATTTAAATTGGGCTTCAGTCAACTATTCTGTGCTACGGACACTTCTGAACATGTCTGAGATAATGATTCTCATTTTCCTATTGTCCATTCCAAATGAATTCGAACATGTGGTCAAGAGGTGAAAGTCATTTGCCTGTTACGGACTCTTGGGCTGAATGATTTGGTTCTCATTAAGCCAGGCTATCATAGTGCAGCAACTTCGGGGCAAACCCCAAAGTGACCTGCTCCCAGCTGTCACCGAGGTGCGTGAAATAGCTGACATTAGCAGTGGCGGCGACGGGATTCGGGCTGATTGTTCCCAGGACGCGCTCATTTTGCAGGCGGATAATTTATTAGATTAAGAAGGAGCAGGCTGTACTGGAGACGCACGAGTGTGGAGTTGGCCGGGCCGTGGAACGTGGCTGTGCTCCCAGGCGGGTTAGTTTTGGCACCGCGAGCACAGCCATCCGCAGCGAGTTTACTAATGGAGATAAAAAGCTGTTGCCGGAATGGCCACTCTTTGGCTCTCTCAGCTTGTCAAACCAGATGGCACCTCGATCGCTCTTGGCAGGCGCCTGCTGGTAGTAACGCCGGCTGCAACCGCGGTGTTTCTGTGCAGGTTTTGATTTCCGAGTCCGAGATTCTGGCATGGATTAATTTAGTTTTGAAAGTGAAATTGCTCCAAAAATTTAAGGGCAGGCCTTGCAGAAGAATGCCTATGTAAGGAACGTTGTCTTAATTGTATTGCACTAAATGTCTCGGCGCACTGCGGTAACCAGGGGGACATCTACGTCCGGTCCAGTATCTCAGACTCTTCCTGGAATAAGGGTTTTGTTTGCTGAGATGAATCGTTAAAACCCAGATGGCATACACAAAACTTTGAGCACAGATGAGATTCCAAACTACGCGCATGTATTGAGTCATGCTTGTTTGCTTCCTTCACTTAATTTTCCTGATAATCTTTAATCTCCTCTCTGCACATAGCTAGTTATACGGAAAACAAAATCTGTTACATCTTAACAATGTTGCAACTATAAGTAACTAAATGAAAAGGAGACTTTTTACTTTTTTGTTTTGTTTTGGGACAGCATTTCAATCCAGGTAGTTTAAGGTGGCAGGTGCAGTTCCTTCACTACAATCTTACATTCTTCTGTCAGAGAATTTTCAGGAACAGGATTCCTTGTTGCATATTTCTATTCTCTTCTCCCACACATTGCAAAGAGGATAAATACGAATTACTACTTTTTATGTTCTGATCTCTGGGAGGCAAAGTGAGTCATTCTAATTCTAGGTGACATTAAGAGTAAGCCAAGGTTCTTTCTAAACAGGTTTATTCTTGATTTTTTTTTGAAGTGTCACTTTCTAGTTGTATAATTTTTTTCAGGAATATGAAAATGTCAGTATTTAACGAGTAACTTTAGAAGTAGCACCTAGCTTAACACCAGTGATCTTCATTTTCACAGAAGGTTGAACAGTTAGTTGATCAGGCGCCGTTCGTAGTCAGAAGCAGGAGCTCACCTGAGTTTTTGTGAGCGGAGCTCTGAAAGCAGTAACTGCATTGGCCTCGGGGTCCTCAGGACCCTGAAGCGACAGAGACCTGGCAGCTGCTCCCTCCTCCACCACCGTTAATGTTCACAAACAGCAAGGGAATTGTGCAAGTTGTGTGACTGTTCTTGTGCAGGTTTTTTATCCTCGGCCCATGTGAAGACAGTCACAGTCTGGAAGGCTGCTGGCTCGGTGTTTTTCCGCGTTCAGTAACACCACTTTTTAAAAAACGGATTCAGCTGGAAACCGCCTGCCATCAGGCTGGATTACATGTGTGCTTCGGGAGTGCTAACTGTCATTCCCACAGCTTCCGCAGGAGCCCTGTTTGTGGTCCTGAGCCCCTCTAACAGCAGCTGCTTTCCTGCCCCGCCCCCTCTGCAGCACACCCTCCCGCCCCTGCGGTGCCGGCACTGGGGGCTGATCACTCACCTTCTCTGCATCCCTCTTCTCTGCGTTTCCCCACAGACTCAATTGGGAGTGTCCCCCCCCGAATCAGAGATACCCATTAAACTTACGTTGCAAATACATAACTCTTTTATTCATTATATAATTAGGAAGAAAGTAAAGTGCAAAGGAGTTCTGTAAGAATGTAATTTGCTAAAAGCAAACCTCTCTCTGATTTGCTGCTAAATTGATGTGGGCGAGTCGGGTGGAAAAGTAATAGTAAAATTCTAGAAGGCTTCTGTACCCAAGTCCCTTCCAAAGTGTTTTCATAGCTGCTTCATTTTAGAGAAACTTAACACCCTCCTACTGTTAACTACCTTTTTAAAAAATTGCTCAGTCATCAGTAGTTACGGTTGCATCAGCCATGAGGACTACTATGTTTTTTTATGCATTTTGACTAAAACTTGGTTTTTATTTTTATTTTTTTTAATTTGCATTTTAGTTTTTTCTTTTTTCTATCACCCTGCATTCATGAAGAAGCTGTAGTGATTGCGTCCATGGCTTTGACTTCTAGGCATCGTCTCTGGACTTTGCTTTAGTTGCCAAAAGCCCTTCCACTGCGACATGTCAGCTCCTTTTGTCCCCACGCCTAAGGATCCAGACTGTCCCCTACACTGCGGCGGTGGAACGGTCTGGCGGACAGTTTTGAAACAGTGTAACTCTTTCATCTCAAACTGAAATGCATGTTTTTCTACACTTTACAGTCACCTTAACCAGAAAACCCAGTTTGAAAATCCGGTGGAGGAAGCCAAAAGGAAAAAGCAGTCAGGACAGCCTGATGTGGGCTCTTCAAAACCAGGTAGGACTTTCTCCTAACCCGTGACACTTCCATGCTGACGGAATTCCAAGTGACTTGGAGCTCCTCACTGGGGCTCCGAAACCCGGCAGAGCGTGTCTCATTTCTGTTGCTGTGCAGATGGGTCAGATCGCAGCCCCACACTGGAATGTTTTGAGAACACCGATGTTTTTCTCGTGCCGTGTGAGCCGTTGGGAGAAGGGCCTGGGAGCTTTGATACGGGTGGGGGATTTAAAGATTGGTCTGATTCCTGATGCTTAAGGCCAGGCCAGTATTAGCTCTCTCATTCATTATGAGTGTCTCCCAAGTTAATTGCTTAGGTCTGTTATCATCAACCATTCCAGAGTCTTCATTAACTGATATGAAGAAATACTAAATAAGTCCATCATATTATTTGCCTCTCAAATGGGATGGTATTAATAATACTGGGGTCATTTAGGGAAACATTTTAAAACTCAATGGGATCTGAGATTTTGGGGAGCCTAGCTATGTGTGTTTTGAAAAAAATGCCCAGCAGTTTCTTACCTTCTGTTCTTCCCTCCTTGTCTCCGCCCCTCCTCCATCTGTCATTAACAACCACCTTAGCGGCTTGTGCGGTCGCATTGTAGCGACTGGGTAGACTCCCCACCTCTGTTGCCCACGAGAGAAACTGTTCTTTCTTGCAGCTACTCTTCAAGAACCTAGTCTCCTCTCTTAAGTTTTGCATTTGATTTAGCAAATATTTTTAGTTTAACAAATCTTTTTGAGCACCTACCAGATGCCCCGTGCCTTGCCAGGAATATGGTATTGAAAAACAATTAGATAGGTCTAGCCCCCAACGGTTGACAATCTCATGTAGGAAACAAATGGTCACAACATTGGATGACAGGTGGCATCTGGGAACAGCGGTTAAATGTGCGTGGGTGGGCAGCTTGAACCCCAGCTGTGCGACTTGGGGTGAGTTCCCTAAACTGTGCCTCTGTGTTCCTCGTCTGAAAAATAGGGGTAATACTATTCTTACCTCCTAAGGTGATTTGGAGTTGCAAATTAATACAAGCAAAGTGCTTACAGTGTATCTGCAAATGGTGACCGATAACTGTTGCCTTCCGTTACCATTAATAGAGACTTACAAGGGGCTGTGGCTCCATAAAGCTGGGAGTACTCAGCACTGCTTTGGTGGAGAAAGCCACGGGGTGCCCATCACTTCTGACCCGGGTCTCGAGGTGTCAGGAAAAGTTAAATCAGAAAGACAGAAATTTTAGAGGACGTGAAAGTTCACAGCAACATCATCCATTGTAGCCACAAGGTGGAAACAGCCCCAGTGTCCATCAGCTGACATGGATGAATGGAGTGAGATCTGTCCGTGCAGCGGAGCGCGCTCGGCAGGTGCAAGGGTAGAGCACTAATGCACTGCGACACAAACAACCCTCAGAAACATTTCGGAGAGTGAGAGGGGCCACTCAGAAAACTCATGTTGTGTGGTCCGATTCGTGTAAAAATCCAGACCGGGCAGATCTGGAGACAGTTGGATGAGTGGTCACCCAAGATTAGGTGTGAGTTCAGGTTGGGAAGGAAGTGCGGTGACTGCTCGTGGGCCTGCGCATCTCTTGTCTGAGGGAGGAGAGCTTTTCCTAGAATTAGATTACGGTGACGATCGAACAGCACTCACTTGTCTACTGTACGTGGCTGAATTCTGTCATATGTGAGTTATATCTCAACAGAACTGTTAAAAAATGTTTGGCAGAACATGTTAAACCATCTTTTTAAAAGTTAACTTAAACAGTGCTTTGGAAATTATAAATCTGTCTGCTTTGGTCCTCTCGGGGTGTTCAGAAGCGCCCTGATGGCAGCCATCGGGGCGGGGGCGGGGGACAGGAAAGGAGGTGTCCTCTGCAAGTGTGGACCACCCTCAGTTCTGAGACCGTCTGAGGAAGTCGCTCAGAACAGGCTTATCAGTGGAGCTGTGCTTTTTTTCGTCCTGAAACAGCCACTGAACGTAAGCGAAAGAAACAGGAAGCTCCTTCCTGTGTTTAGGATTCTCTCCTCCCGTCCGATGTCAGCGCAAGGCCACAGAAAGCCCGGGCTGTCCTTACGAGAAGCTCTGCAAGCAGCCTCTCTCCCAGGTGTGTGACGGTTGTGTCCACCTTCCCGGCACCGAGTGCACACCCGGCCGAGTGGATGCCTGGTCAAGGGAAGGGCACCTCGGAGTGGGCGTCGCCGACCTCCAGGAGTTTAATAGTCAGGTTGCACCTCCCGTTTTGAGTCCAGACAAGTGACCCCTGGGGAGAAAGTAGGTACAAACAAGGCGGTGAGGAGGAGGGAAAAGTAGGTGCTTTTACCTTTCACATAACATGGAAGGATCCTAGAAAAGAGAAATGACTCACCAAGTGTTTTTAGTGATTTACTAGTAGTTTATGAGTTTAATTTCTAACTGTTCCATAACATTAGATTCTCTCTGATGTTCTCTTCTTTCTGGTTCGTTGTGTTAAGTTACATAGACTACCTTAAAAATTGCCTTCGAGGGCCGTAGGCATGGTCATGGTTTTCATTCTCAAAGCCGTTTCTCGTTTGGGCCCAGACATGGGAAAGTCCCACTTCACCCGAGACCCGTCCCAGCTGAAAGGCGTCCTCGTTCGAGCGGCGCTGAAGAAAAGCGCCATGGGCTTCGGGTTCACCATCATCGGCGGGGACAGGCCCGACGAGTTCCTGCAGGTGAAGAACGTGCTGAGAGACGGGCCTGCCGCTCAGGACGGCAAGATCGCACCAGGTGAGCCGCTTTTCGGAACGGCTTGAAGAACGGTGATGCTGTGATAAAAATCAGAGTGGGAGCGCGCACACACACACACACACACACACACACACAGGGTGCGGCGGAAGTAAGGCCTGCCTGGGTGTGGTTGGTCAGGTAATCATATGGGTGTGATAATGTATAGTTTTCATTTGATCATTTCACCTAAAATGTCATATGGTGTGCTTGGGCGTGATGTTGTTGTGTTACAGAATTACATGCTTATGATTTTATAATAAAAGATTTTGTAATAAAAGGGGGCATTATTTGTGCCAGACCCTGTATATCTGCATATGTAATAAATATATGTGTATACATATTCTGGATATTACATACCATCCCCATTAGCATTTGGGGCAGTACTTCATTAAAAATGATTCAAGCATCTTTAAATTTCTGTAGCAAAAATATACGACTTAGTATATAGTAAATTTTATAAATATCAATATGTAAGCATATAGTATATTAACTATATAATTTATATAGAGAAAAGGAACTAAATTATACAAATGAAGGAGATTTCTGTGTTAAAATAGCTTATCCTTTAAATTAGGTACATATTAGTTTTGAGGCAGGGCTGTCTTTACAAATAAGTGGAAACAGAGAAAAGGTATTAAGTTTATTAATTTTTGAATAATTTATATAATATTGAGTTAACCCTTTGGCTCTACTAAGCTAAGGATTTCTGAACCATCTCAGAAAACTATTTGATTGTTTGGTTTTATTCAGTTATGCGGGTACTTTTGGAGCTACCCGACATTGACCTCTAATCTTCTTTGAAAGATGACCCATTGTTATCTTGATAGTAGCACCAAACAAATTGTCCCCCAGTTTTCTCCCAAGTTTTTTTCATTTTTTTCCTTAGTCTCACTGATGGTGAATAAAATTAAGCAACTATATGGAGAATGATGGACACACGTATTACCATTTTTACAGAGCTGTACCCACTGGTCTTTTCTGTAGTTTTCCTAACTTCATACTTTCTAGGAATTGGCACATGGCCGACAGTGTTTATAGCAGAGGGGAAGTTCAAGGCTGGCTACAGGTTCCGAAGGTGGTTTAAACACTTTTCTCCAGAAGGGTTTTAGTATTCCACTGAGGTTGCCTCTCGCGCCGTTGGCTAGACGTCTCTGGGCCTCTGTCATCTCACCTGCCCTGTGAACGCAGCCTGCGTTTGGACAGTTCCAAAGTCATCGTACTTTTCATGGTGGATATCGGCCGGTTTCCAGTCAGGGTGGGGGATCTTTCAAATTCTGCTTCCCCGTGTAGGTGACGGGAACTTAAACTTAATCAAAAGTTATATTTATAAAAATCATTATCTTAGCCCTCCTCTATTACATTATAAAATAAACTCTAGAGATTAAAATTAATAAGGTTTTTTAAAAGTTCTCAGTTTTTGAACTTTTTGAACATTTTGTCCATGGCACATATCTTGTATCTATTATGTATGTTGTCGAGATTTTATAATATTCAGATTTGTCTAAAATTACCTTATTTGCATAGCAATCCAATACTTCCGTGAAAATTCTGGGACTTTAACCAGGGGAGGAAGAGTCAAAACTTTGTTTCTGATGAGTCTAATTTCTGTATCTTAGGTTTGAAAACAAATTTCCACAGACTAATGTTTTTTTTAAAAACATGTTGATTTTTCTAAAGCTCACATGAAATCAGAACAAATTAAAGTACCTCTATTTGGCAGTAATCTTTTAATTAGTTACATTCAAATGAAAGCAGCAAATGGGTGAGACAGCAGAGGACAAATTGTAAAAGTTAAGGCTGCGTTCGAAAAGCACAGCTGCTGAATGTCCAGTGGCAGCGGTTGTAAAAATGTCAACATGGGGCAGCCGAGCTCACTTCCACAAGATTAGTTTCGCTGACTTTTCAGTGTCTTAATATATCCTTTGCTTGTGTCGGATTTTGTGTTCCTTGTTTCTCCTTGTGAAATCTGAATTACAACAAGTTGAAACTCTAGAAAAGAAGGATGCCGAAAGAAAATATATTCATAACAACGCTATTCCAATCTTTAGCCCTACATTATGAATTTTTAATCACATCCTAGTGGCTTCTTCTAAGTGAAGAAACAAGGTGGTATTTGAAGATCGCCTCTCGTGCAGGGAGCCGGTGGGAGTTACTCACTCCTCTGCTGTGTACCGAGCGGCTGCTGCAATGCACCTCGCTGGTGCGGCATGTAGGTGGGGCACAGAGAAGGGACTAACGATGATAATGCGAATTTGCGCTTATTTGTGGTATGAGTCCCTTGAGTTTGAGGTCATAACCCTTTGCTACAAAGATAATTAAGATTTATCCTCTTACATATTTTTCCTAGAGAGGAGTCACAGGGGAGAGCCACATGTCTGTATTCAAACCCAGCAGTTAATGAACAGGAAGAGGTTTCCAGAATTCAAATTTAGACGCTAAATTTAAGTTATTTCTGTGTCCCCTGACAACAAAAAAATGAACTTGTCCGGTGGTTTTAATTATCATTACCGCGGTTATCTGTTACCAGGTGACGTCATTGTAGATATCAATGGCAGCTGTGTCCTTGGTCACACCCACGCAGATGTTGTCCAGATGTTTCAGTTGGTGCCCGTCAATCAGTACGTGAACCTCACCTTGTGTCGTGGTTACCCACTGCCGGATGACAGCGAAGACCCCGTTGTGGACATGGTGGCCGCTACCCCCGTCATCAACGGGCAGTCGACAGCCAAGGGAGAGACTGGCGGGAACACTCAGGATTTTAAGTCGGGAGCCATGGTCCTGGACCAGAACGGAAAGTCAGGACACCCCCTGGCCAGTGACCGTCTCAACGGGCCATCAGATCCGAGCGAGCAGAGAGCGTCCACGGCGTCGTCCGGCAGCTCCCAGCCTGACCTGGTGACTGTGCCCCTGGTGAAGGGCCCTAAAGGCTTCGGGTTTGCCATCGCCGACAGCCCCACTGGGCAGAAGGTGAAAATGATACTGGACAGCCAGTGGTGCCCGGGCCTACGGAAGGGGGATGTGATTAAGGAAATCTACCATCAGAACGTGCAGAGTTTGTCCCACCTGCAAGTGGTGGAGGTGCTGAAGCAGTTCCCGGTGGGGGCCGACGTGCCCTTGCTCATCCTCAGAGGAGGTGAGTGAACAAACGCACCGCAGGGCGAAGGCGTCGCCGTTCACGCATGTCTGTCTGTCTCTTGTCCCTCCTCACGGGTTATGGTGTCTTTTCCCCGCAGGCCTAACTGGTCCGTAGTGGGCATTTCTGGAAGGTTCTGTCAGCTTCCATGAGCAGTAGCTCTTGCAGAAGATTCCTTAGTTATTAATAGTTTCACTCATACATATGTGATGGATTTCTTTTCCTCTGTATTTTAAAAATCCGAGTTATGTCTTTAATGATAGGAGAGAGGCACACTGTGAAGTCAGTCGTGTTACTTCACATGAAATGCATCCTCTTACTTGCGTCTTCTCTGTTGATGACAACGGTGGAAATGGACTCTTTCCACCACTGGTCCCTCGGCAGGACCTCCGTGCCGCACCGAAGACGTTTGGGAGAGCCAGCCCCTCTGTGAAGAGCAGAGTGTGGGAGGGGGTGCTAATCCGTTCTGCAGGAGGGATCCTGATAACCTGTGCTCGGAAAGCTGCTATCTTAAGCTCCGGTCCCTATCAGCAGATGTTAATTAAACCCCACAGTGCTCCAGTGAGAGAAATATAATCTTTATTTTCCAAGGTCATCAGCTGGCATGAACTGCTCCCAGACGTTATCAGTTCAGGTCCAGGGACTGATCCCAAAGTTTGCATTTTAATAGGCTCTCCTAAGTCCGTGCCTATGAACGACTAGTACTTTAATGAATAAAATCTGGCTCTTCACTGATTCATCTCTCTGGCTTTTAGTTTTCATTTTCGAGTAGTTCGGCTTCATTGCGTTATTTTTGTTTTTGTTTTTTCTCGTTCTCATTTCTCTGAACTGTTTTTGTTTCTTCTCTGCCAGTCGGTGGCCTGTGCTCAGAGGGAGGGCTGGAGGGTTCTCCAGAGTTTGCGCAGATGAGACGGGGGCCAGTGCGTGGTGTCAGGTTGGATGTCAGTTTCTGACATCCCTGGGTGTCTTGCTCCCTGGGTGTCCTGTGGTGTAGGGAGATAATGTTGAGTTTTGGTGGCCTTATCTGTAAAATGGTAGTAACATTCATGCCTTAGGATTGTCATAAAAATGAAATAATTCATAATGCCTGGCACATAGGAGGTGTCAGAGAATTTACTAGCCTGCCGAAGGTCGAAGCTAGTTTATCTTAAATGTTAACAGTATTTGTAGTCTGGAAATGCTTCCTCTGTTTTTAAAATTTGGCTTATTTTTTTAAGGTCCTCCTTCACCAACGAAAACTACCAAAACGGTGAGTATACAGTGGCCCTCAAATGCTTCTTCCCAACACACCCAAAGGGATGCCCCAGCCCCTGTGTAAGGACCACTCCCTGCAGCCTCGACTGGCCCGGCCAGGAGAAGTAGGAGCCAAGCTGCCCCAGGCTTGTGTCAGACACTCAGAGGGAAGCGAGGGAGTTAGAAAAAGCCCCCTAGAGAGGAGATGTGCTCCCCTGGCCCAGTGTGCCCATTGGAGGGATATGAGACCTGAACTACCAACAGTCCTGACCTCTAGACCAGCGATTTTCAACTGACATGCCGCAAGAGTTTGTAAAACATGCAATACCTGACCATTTAGTCAGGGGCACTGACCTCTTTTCCCTTAGATTGTCCAAAAAAAAAAAAGATGACAATAGTCAGTACAACAATAGCTGACTGGTGTGACTGAATCAAAATCAAACCTATTTTTTTGTCAGATTAACAAAAAGTATAGTTTTTGGTGTGCCGCAGAATTTTAGTACTGAGTCTACGTGTGCCACAAGATGAGAAAGATTGAAAATCGCCGCTCTGAACAGTAAAAGTGGGCACACTGACGTGCCCACACAGGAGCCCTCGCTCCGTGTGAGAGAGGAAGCTCACATCTGCGTCGTGGTGCCCGGCGGACAGAGACCGTGAATACCCCCACTTAGACGACCTTCTCACGTTTAGGACTAGACAGGACTTGCGAGAGAATCGCAGCCTTCTGTGCCCAGGGCGCTGGTCGTCCAGGTGACAGGCTGTCGGAGGTGCAACAGCGTTTTTGCTGGCGTTCTTCTGAATAACTGCGCAGCCAACTGAGGGACGTGGAGAGAGAATAAGACCAGAGGAGGAGGAGGAGGCGCCGGATGAACGATGCTGGTGGAGAGACTGTGTGGGATGTCCACATGCCACGTCTCAAGCCGCCATAGTTACCTGGACGTGGGCAAACGGTGAGAAATCCTGCATCGATCTACTTTGCTCGAGTTGGCGTCTGTCGTCTCACACCTGAGGAACGTTGTGCATGACCCTAAACCACCCGTGACGAAAGGGAAGACCGTCGCGTGTAAGATGGATAAATTCTTTCTAGCCCACCAAATGGGATCCTCTGCAAACTGGTCACTTTACGGACCCAAAGGAAAGAAACACTGCACTTGTAGAGATTGGTCCACTTAGGTCCAGTGTGGACAGAACTTTTTTTCCAGTGCAGTTCAAATTGCACTGTAGTTTTCTACATTTCTCTGGTTCCTCGGCTAACCGTTCTTCCCTCCTGCACCCCCTTATCAATTTCATTGTGGATGCAATGCGGCATGGTGACCCCAGTGCTTCCGAGTGGACGGAAGTCCCCGCTGACCCGTGCTGCTCCCAGAATCCCAGCACGGGCAGGGCAAAGGGGAGGAGGCTGCTCCCATCTCCCCGCCATCTGCCTGGGTCTGGGTCAGCGAAGGGTCCCCTCCGGCCCCTCCCTGCTCTCAGGCCACTGGCTGCTGCTGCTGCGTCCCAGTCAGCGTGAATTGTTTTATCACACACATCTATCATCCCCTTCTCCCCACCGTAGTTCAGGGCTGCGAGCTGTTCTCAAAACCCTATTTTTTTCAGGCTGTTTGTTGGATTTCATTTTTAAGATGTTCTGAAAGAACTCTGTTTGCTTGGATGTTACTTTGCTCAAGTGCCATCTGAACAAGAAAACTGCAAAAATATGCTCTGTTTCCCCTCATCTGATTGGCTGGCAGCAGTGCCCATCTCCCCGACACACTTGGCTCGGCCATGCAGGTCTCCCCGACCCAAACTAGAGCAACGCTTCCTGCTGCGTTTGCTCAGAAGAATATTCTCCGGACCATCCCCATGGGGGGCAGATTCAGGGAGTGGGGAGGTGGGGCTTCCTGGGGATCTTCTCTCCGCCTGCCTCCCTGTTGCTCCACTTAGAAGCACTGCCATGTGTTGCATCGCTACTCATCTTCTCAAAGGGGACTTGTGTCTTGCTTTTGGAGAGCTGGGCAAGGGGGCTCAGAGGACTAATTAAGGCCTTTCTCTTGATATCACCCGAAGCCCTTTCTAGTTTCAGTTAAACGTGTTTTAGCCAGACACGGTAACAACAGACGCCTGCTCCCCTGCAGCGCCCCAGCTCTGCCTCCGGAATCAGTGACGTACAGTGTAGACAAGCGTTTTATGAACTAATCAACCATCTGGTTTCTTTAAATACTAAGTAAGGCCCTTTTCCATTTCAGAAAACAGATAAAAAGGAGCATTCGGGAAGTTTGGAGGCCATAAACGAGCCCGTCCCCCAGCCCATGCCTTTTCCGCCCAGCATTATCAGGTCAGGGTCCCCGAAACTGGATCCTTCCGAGGTCTACTTGAAGTCCAAGACTTTATATGAAGATAAACGTAAGTAGTTGTGTGATATTTCAGGAGAGCATGTGACTAAACTTGAATTTTTTTTGAACTGGGGCCTGCCCATCTTTCAAAGCCATGTTTAAAACTTATCCCTTCATTCCCATTTCATATGACTCCAGGCTTCTTCCGTGTATGTTCAGCGTTCATTCATTCATTCATTCGCTCATTCATTTTTTTCAAAAACGTGTATTAAGTGCCTACTATCTACCCAACATCGAAGTCAGTAATGGGAATAGAGAGATCAATAAATAGGTTGCATGGGCACTGCACCCAAAAAGATGATTCGACCTCAATGGAAAAAACAAATATGTAATCAAATAAGTGTGCAGATAGGTACCCATAAGCCCAGCTGGTGCAGTAACAGACGGGCAGACCGCAGGAAGTGAGTCCAGAGGACCGGGTAGCAGGAGTGGCGGGCACTGCTTCATACGGGAAGTTGGGTTTTAGCCACATCTTCAAAGACAAAGAAGTGTTTGCAGGACAGTTAGGAGGGAAAGAAAGAAGGAATAGCATTTGCACCTTGGCCTTGCGTGGTCTGGGTGCTGCAAGAGGGTCAGTGTGGCCGGGCGTGGTTGTCAGGGGAACCCAGAGGGCAGGGGCCCGTGGTGGAGGCCGGTGTTGGCCAGAGGAGGTGGGCAGACACCTTTAACTCTAGGGGTGATGCCGTCGGTCTGTGCTTCGGAGAGATGTTCGGCCTAGAATGGAGGCCAATGAGTCAGAGGGCTCTGCAGTGTGAGGGGGAAACCGCACAGCAGGCTCCTGCAGAGCCCGGCTGAGGCACAGTGAGGGGGGGAGCACCCCGGGCACAGGCTTGGGTCCACACGGGCTGCTTTACTAGGGTAATCCTTTCCAGAGGAAAGTTGCAGACTGAAATAGGCTTAATTTCCTTAATGTATTTGTTTTTTAGAGATTTGAATCTACCTTGGAAGAGATGTACCCAGGGGGAAATATTCTATATAATTGACTTCATGGTTATTTAGCCAATTGCAGACCTTTATCTTGATCGTCCCAAGCCACGTTTAAGGAAGATGAAAACCAGGCATAAGCACAGCAAAGCAATAATTTAAATTAGTGTAACTATGGAGACTTCAAACTTCCATTCACGTCCTGATACATTCTTTTTTTTAATATATTTAACTAATTATGCTATTACAGTTGTTCTATTTCCCCCTTCATTCCCCTCCACCCTGCACACCCCCTCCCCCACCATTCCCCCCCTTTAGTTCATGAACACGTGTCTCAAGTTCTTTAGATTCTATATTTCCCATACTATTCTTGCCCTCCCCCTCTATTTTCTACCTACCGTCTATGCTAATTATTTTCTGTACCTTTTCCCCCCTTCTCCTTCTCCCACTCCCCTGTTGCTAACTCTCCATGTGATCCCCATTTCTATGGTTCTGCTCCTGATCTAGCTCTCCTCTTAGTTTGCTTTTGTTTTAGGTGTGGTTGTTACTAACTGTGAGTTTGCTGTCCTTTCACTGTTCATCTTTTTTATCTTCTTTTTCTTAGGTAAGTCCCTTTAACATTTCATATAATAAGGGCTTGGTGATGATGAACTCCTTGAATTTGGTCTTATCTGAGAAGCACTTTATCTGTCCTTCCATTCTAAATGAAAACTTTGCTGGGTAGAGCAATCTTGGTTGTAGGTCTTTGGATTTCATGACTTGGAATACTTCTTTCCAGCCCCTTCTTGCCTGTAAGGTCTCTTTTGAGAAATCAGCTGACAGTCTGATGGGAACTCCTTTGTAGGTGACTGTCCCCTTAGCTCTTGCTGCTTCTAGGATTCTCTCCTTCATTTTAATCTTGGCTAATGTAATGATGATGTGCCTTGGTGTGTTCCTTCTTGGGTCCAACTTCTTTGGGACTCTCTGAGCTTCCTGGATTTCCTGGAAATCTGTTGGGGAAATTCTCCTTTATTATTTGTTCCAATAAGTTTTCCACTCGTGGCTGTTCCTCTTCCCCTTCTGGCAACCCTATAATTCTGATGTTGGAACGTTTAAAGATGTCCTGAAGGTTCCTAAGCTTCTCATTTTTTTGAATTCTTGTTTCTTCATCCTTTTCTGTTTGGTCATTTTTTCCCTCCTTCTGGTCCACTCCTTTGATTTGAGTCCCAGTTTCCTTTCCATTACTATTGGTTTCCTGTGCAATTCCCTTCATTTCAATTAGTTTTGCCTTCATATGTTCCTCTAATTTGTGACTAAAATCAACCAGTTCTGTGAGCATCCTGATCACCAGTGTTTTGAACTGTGCATCTGAAAGTTTGGCTATTTCTTCATCCTTAGATTTATGGGCTCTGGGGCTCTCAGTTGTTCATGAGCCATGTTTTTATCTGTTTGTGCCTGTTATGTATGAGGAGTGGAGCCTTAGTTGTTCACCAGGGCGGGGCCACCCAGGTCGCTGGTTTGTGACTCTGTATGTGGGGGCAGGGTCAGAGAGGGACAATGGCGGTCCCCTCTGCCGCTTCCCGCCGCTGGGGCCTGCACGGTCTGTCTCACTGCTCCCTCCTTCACCAGTTTATCTGTGCATGAATGTGTAACCGTGGTCAGCCCTCAGTGAGTCTACTGCCTTGCGCATTCAGTGGGTCCGCCCACTACTCCACACCTGGGATCTGCCCACGGCTGCTGGCGCACCTGGGTCGCATGCCCAAGTCAGTCCAGTGGATCTTTCCTGCCCAACCCCATTCTGCTGCTGGCTCTGCCCCTCTTACTGGTTTGGCTGAAGGGTTCGTTGTTGTCAGACTTCCGTATAGTTTAATTTTCTGTGGTTTGGCTGCATTTTTGTTGCTAAAACTTTGTTGTTTTTAAACTTGGTTGTGTGAGAAGGTACAGTGCTTCCACCTACTCCTCCATCTTGGCGGAAGTCTGATACATTCTTAAACTTGGTATAAACTAGTCCATCCCTTTGGGCCTCACCCATAAAATAATCGAGTTGAACTCATGAGTCCTTTTATCTCTAAAGGTCTCTCTTTTCTCTTTCTAGAAAATACTTCTTACTTATAAGTAACATTAATGTTTTCTCAGAGATAAACTTTTAGCTATAAAGTAGCTTATCCTGATTTAATATTCTGACAAATCCCCCTTCGTGGGGCGGGACAGAGAGGGGTGGGGGCTGGACCGTAGAGTTGGAGCTGACTCTCAGCCTCTGCTGTCTCCCTCCTGCGCGACACTGGCTCCTCAGGTTCCCCAGCTAGAAAATGGGGCTAAGAACAGGTGTTAGCTGTTACTTAACTTTCTTTTAAAATAATATCATTTTGCAAAATGAGGCTCAGGAAATAGCTCATGTGGAATGCTTTTCCGAAACAAAGGTATTAGGTCAGGAGTAGAGTTAAGGCATCTTATGGGCTCTCTTCTTCCAGTATCTGCCCGAGTTCACTGAGATAATTCGCACCTATCAAATATCACACTTAAGTGAGATAGTTCCGAATTTAATATGTAGTATTGATTTGAGGGCATGAGGAGTTAATGGCAGGGTAATGCTGCCATTAACACTGCTGTGGACATGAGGGTAAATATTCCTAAAGCATTCTCGGCACAGTTTTGTTTGGAGCTCAAAACAAAGATTTATGATTGGTTTGTGGTGATATATGCTTATGTAAATTTTTGCATCTCAGAAAGTTCTAAGAATGTAGTTTATTGATCTCTACAATATTATCCTACTAAATATTGAATTTTGTTTTATTTTAATGCTTGTAAAGTAAACCAAAATATTTGTTCATTTTAAAAACCATTTTTCTGGTTTTTCCCTAGCGCCAAACACCAAAGATCTGGACGTTTTTCTTCGGAAGCAGGAATCGGGGTTTGGCTTCAGGGTGCTGGGCGGAGACGGACCTGACCAATCTGTGAGTTTAAACTCTTTGGGCTTCAGCTGCTCCCGGTCAAGCTTTTAAGTGGCAGTTTGACAGAATTTGGTTTTCGTTGTTTTTTGTTTTGTTTTTTTAAATTTTGTTTTCTCTAACAGTTTCATTATTAAGAGGAGAACTGTTCTTTCTTTGGAGTCGTGGTCCCTCAGTTAACTTGGAGCCCCTGAGGCTAACTCGGGGGGTGCAGACTGGACATGTCCGTTACTAGTTGGGCAGGAATTCATTTCTCTGTGTGCTTAACACTTATTTAAAATTTTTACTTCCTTTTGCCTTCATTAAACAGGTTTTAAGACATTTTTCTTTCCTGAGGAACCTATGATTCAAAATCCTATTTACCGCAGTCACTCCATCGTCTGATCTTCTGTAAACTCTTGTCATGAGCCACGAATACTGTGTCGCCCAATCCATGTCATTCACCGCATTATTAATGGGTTGACATTTTTATGCTCTGTATTCTGCGTGCCATTTCATCTGTTACCTATGAGACTAGAAGAATATAAAATAATCGTGTTTCTGTCCAGAAAGCATGAGGGCGATGCTTGCAAAGCATTTAAAATCTAGAATTTCATTTATATGTGATTCTCACTCCCATCAAGTTAGAGAGCAAATGTAGTGGGTATTATTTTTAAGTTTTGCCCTTTGTTTGAATGACAGAAATAATGCAGTTTGTAGAATTTAAGAATATATTTAAGTTGGGTTTTAGCGAAATGTAATATCAAGAATGACAACATTATTATCCTGCCGGCAAGTTAGATGAGTAACAATCACCTTTCCAAAAGATAGGTGTTCTGCTTCTGAACAGGGCCTCTCATGTCCACGGCGTAAGCGTGCACCAGCGAGCCGCGTGGGGTGCGGCTGACGTGGTTTCCCCTCTGCAGGCCAGACACAAGGAACCCAGATTGTTTCCGAAGGGCACCGGAGTGCCGTTCCACTGCTTCCTGTTTGGGCGGCACTCAGTGGTCACTTAGACATTTTCAGAATTTTCTCAAACAACTTGAGAGAGAACTTTGTCTTAAATGCCAGGTTTTAGCAGCTCTGAAACCAGCTCCAACATTCAGGATGCCTAATTACAGGATTTTTTTTAATCCTCACCCGAGAATATGTTTATTGATCATAGAGAAAGAAACATCGATCGGTGGCCTCCTACAGACGCCCCGACTGGGGATCAAACCCGCAACCCGGGCATTTGCCCTGACTGGGAATCAGACCCTCACCCACGTGGGTATGAGGGACAACCCTCCAGCCAACTGAGCCCCCTGGCCAGGGCTCATGATGGGATTTTAATTGCTGGCCAGAGGAATGATCCAGACATGTTCACCGAGATGCAAGTGACCCTTGGGACACTCTGTTCCCTAAGCATGTTGACCGCTTTGAGATTGAAGAGCCAGAAACATTTCTGTTTTATCTGCTGAACTTGCGCTGGTGGCTGGACATGATCGCAGTCTTGTAAGAATCACCCAGCTGCCGTGACAAGTTTTCCCGATGGCAGTAAACCTGCCCTTCCTTTAATACCCCACAGAAGTGCGTTTTCTGAGTTTAACGTTCTTGTGTAGTTGCGGTGATGGTGTACTCTTTTACAGTTACTGAACAGCCTCGTGGTCCCCACTCCTTTGTCCTCACCTCAGAGGACCCAGAAGGGGTGACGTAGTGTGGTTATCTGCAGAGCCGTTCTGGAGAATGGTCCCGTTCTAAGATGCCCCCCAAGGCGTGACTGTCCCCGTGGCCACACAGCGGAAGTCCGTGGGTGTGCACAGGACTGAGCCAGGGAGTCCAAGACGTAGCAGTTCAGGATCTGAGCGGGTCCCTGCAGACCCGTAGAGCGAGCAACCTGTGCTTTGTCGCCTGTCAGATATACATCGGGGCCATCATCCCCCTGGGCGCAGCTGAGAAGGACGGCCGGCTGCGTGCAGCGGACGAGCTGATGTGCATCGACGGGGTCCCCGTCAAGGGGAAGTCACACAAGCAAGTGCTGGACCTGATGACGACCGCCGCCCGCAACGGCCACGTGCTGCTCACCGTGCGGAGGAAGATCTTCTGTGGCGGTAGGCAGCCCCCCCCCCACCCCCCGCACGCTCCGCTGCGTCACCAAAGAGACCTTCTGTGTGGTTCTGCGGGTTGTTTTGCGTGTTTCGTGTCTAGCCGTGTGTGAGGCAGCTGGTCTGGTGTGGCCCAGGGCCTCATTGTGGGAGGACTTGTAAGGTCAGAAGGATTCCGAGATAGTACTACTGCTGTCAAAAGAGAGGAATTGGGGTCTTCCGCATCAAGATTGTGGTCGTGGTTGACGAATTTACCAGGTTCGGTCTGTTTTGTGAAAAGCAAACACAGTCCTTTGGTCGTCCTGTGTGTCACAGTAGGTCTGTATCAGAAGGTTTTGGGTCCTGGTGGAATCCCAACCATTCAGCGGGCAGAATGTTTCTACCTGAGAGGTTGTGATATAATTTAATTTAACATTTAGCGCTGACTGTGTCCTGGGCAGACGGATGGTTTTACTGAGCCTTGACAACGCCAAGCTGTGAATACTGCCGTGACGCAGCATCACAGTGACACGGGGAGATGGGGACACAGACGGGGAGACACGTGACTGGGCAGTCGTGGGGCCGGGATTAGAACAGGTGTTTCACAAAGACTTGGGGTCCAAATTGTACCCTCAGATACAAATCTCTCTTACATTGTGCTCATCAATAGTTTTGTGAGTATAAAACGGGAATTTTGGGAAGTGACTTCTTGCCACTTAAAGTCCGACAAAGCCGCTCATCTGTAGCACAAGACGGAAGCCCCTGAGGGCAGGCATTTGTCCGTTCAGTCACCGTCTGTTGACTTGACGACTGTTTGCATCACTCTTGGAAAGTGAGGCCCTGCTCTGATTGCAGCGTCCTGGGTAAAGCCTGGCCTCTCTTCTGAAAGACCGGGCGTTTGGAGGTGCACACAGATCCATTAACGCGGCGTCGCCTCCCTTCAGTTGTGCTGGAGTCCGAGGTGGCGGCGCACGGCACAGAAACATGGTAAAAACGGGTGTTCGACACCGGAGGCCGGCTGTCTCTGGGATGGCATCCCGAGACGTTTCACACTCATCTGCTGTCACTGCAGATGTTTAGCTAGTTCGTTCCAACCTGCATGGCACTAAAAAATCCGTTATTTTTTATTAACAATTGGGTATCAGTGGCTTTTTGCCGAGATTCAGAACTGGTCTCAGAAATCAGACAGACGTTGAGCCAGAACAGATGCTGCGTGTGTGCTCGTCAGTGGCAGCGTGTTGTGGTGGTTAACGATGATTTATATCGACTTAGGGCACAAAATTTACCTTTTAAGAGTCAGTTAGGATTAACTTGTAGTGTTATTCCTCAAATCGTGACATTATCCTTGGAGGAGGAGGTGCAGGCTAACTGGCCATTTGTGGGGATCCGGGCAGCCCCGACCTCTGCTAAGGGAGGTCGCCGTCCCTGCGGACAGCTTGTTCTGTGCCTGCGAACGGGCCGATGGCGTCAGTCTGCAGCTCTAACCCCACTGTGTGAGGCGAACCCCAAACCCCGAACCCCGGGTTGTGGCCCTCCCCCTGCGGCAGGCAGCCCCACTGTCCTGGTGCCGCCATGTCCCAGACGGCATGGCCTGCGCTCAGTTACAGTGGGAGTTGACTTTAAAAGGAAGTTCACTGTGTCATTCCTCATCGTCACCTGTTGTTAAAATCACTGGTCAGGGCTGAAAGCTGTTCTGGAATTCAGGCAGTGTCTTGAAGAACATTTCCTACTGTCGGATTTCGAGGACGCTTCCAAAACCCCGCTTTGCCATGAGAGCGCACTGTGCGTCTTTCCCCTCGCTTCTGCCTCGGGCTTTGAAGGCACTAGAGAGACGGCCGCCCCGTCTGCACTCGCTCCCGTCCGGAGCGCCCGTGGGTGGGGGCACGCGACTCTTCTATGTTCTTGTTAGAAACTGAGTATTTTTGTGAGAGGCTCAGCACAAAATGACTTTAGTTATCAAAAATTACGATGTGCCGGCAATGCCAAGTTCGGTCATGTTTATTGTAGAGAAACAGCCCGAGGAGGACAGCTCCCCAGCCCTCGTTCCAACACAGAACGGGTCTCCCCACCTGAGCCGACCGGAGGCGGTGGCCCGGCCTGCGTCCCAGGAGGCCTATGACGTCGTCCTACAGCGGAAGGAAAAGGAAGGGTTCGGCTTCGTCATCCTCACCTCCAAAAACAAACCGCCCCCGGGAGGTAAGGGCGGCTGCGTCCCGTGGCCACAGCCCAGGAATTCAGTTTTCTGAGTCTCCCACTGGAGTGTATGAAACGGAGCAGGAATTGTGTGTGAATGGCCTTAGAGACTTCACTTTTTATGAATGATGAATGTTTTCTTTGTTTTCCAAATCAGGTAATCTGACCCAAACCTCCTAGACTTTGGGTTTGTATATCATCTCAGGTGCCAGAAAAGAAGTGTGAGCAGCTGAGTTTGCATCAAGATTATCTTTGGCCTTGGCTGATGTGGCTCAGTGGGTTGGGCGTGGTCCCACAAACCAAAAGTTGCTGGTTTGATTCCCAGTCGGGGCACATGCTTCAGCTGCAGGCCCGGCCTTTCTTTCAGGCAAGAGGCAACCTATTGATGTTTCTCTCACACATTGATGTTTCCGTTCCTCTCTTTCTTCCTCCCTTCCCTCTCTCTCAAAATAAATAAATAAAATTTTTTTAAAAAGATTATCTTTGACAGTATATCGAAGACAGGATCTAGTTGTTAATGAAAGAACAGTGCTGAATTTTTTTTAATATAGGGACACAAGTATTTTTTAGGAGAAATTGTGTACGCAGAAATTAATTAAGTGGTAGAAGTAGTTTATTTTTAAAATTTTTCTTTTTTTAGATTTTATTTATTTTTAGAGAGGGGGAAGGGAAGGAGAAAGAGGGAAAGAAACATCAATGTGTGATTGCCTCTTGCATGCCCCCTACTGGGGACCTGGCCTGCAACCCAAGCATGTGCCCTGCCTGGGAATCGAACTGGTGACTGACCCTTTGTTTGCAGGCCTGAGCTCAATCCACTGAGCCCCACCAGCCGGGTAGAAGTAGTTTAATAATTGCCATATTCCAGCTCTAAAGTGACCTTCTTGAATAATAAGCATTCTTCCCTTTTATTTATGACTCATCGAAAGGTAAAAATTTTGTCAGAACACTTAAAAATTAATCTAAATATCCTAAACCTGGTTTAACAGAATATTCTCATGTGCAAAGAAAGGATGAATATGTACGTGTTCCCTCAACAAAGAGAATTACCTCTAGTATATCAGGTCTGTTAGGATTCAACAAATTAAATATTTGTCTGGAACTTAGCGGTTCTAAGAAATAATTATCTCTAAATACAATTATAAAACCCAAATAAATATGAGAACCAGCAAACACTTATGTTTCACGCGTGCCCAGTAACTTATTTTTCTAAGGCACACGGAGCCCTGAAAACGCCTCCTGCCCTGCCAGTGGGTTTGGTCATTTCCTGGGCAGGGAGACCCGCCCCTGGAAGATGTGATGGCCAGTCGTGAAATCTTAGCAAGCAAAGCAGGCGGTTCCAGGACAGTGCTGGGAGCCAAACGAATTTGCACAAATCTCGCTAAAGTGGAATGCAAGTGTGTAGAGCAAGAAGCCTGGGACCTGCGTGAGCTGCGTCTCTGGGACCAGGTCACTGCTCACCGCCGCTGCTTTCCGTTTTCCATAAGCAGTTGCTATGGTAACACTGGGAGCTGGAACTGCCGCCGATGCTGTGAGGGTGATTATGTGTCCTGTCTCAGAAAAATGAAAGAAAGAGCTTTTAGGTGGATTTCACGTTGTATCGTTAGAAATAAGAATCTCCCCAAACTCCCATTTCTAGATCATCACGTTCTCATTCTAATGCTGTACAAGAATCTGAGACTTTCAGATTCAGCAAAAAAAGGTGAAGAGATTGTTACTCAGTATGACAGATGCTAAGCACTTTTTATACTGAAGATATTCCTTTTCTAGTACTATAAAAATTAGGGGAGAGTGCCCTGGCTAGCATGGCTCAGTGGATTGAGCACCAGCCTGAGAAACAAAGGGTTGCTGGTTCGATTCCCAGTCAGGGCACATGCCTGGGTTGCAGGCTAGGTCTCCAGTAGGGGGCGCACAAGAGGCAACCATGTACTCATATTTCTTTTTCCTTCCCTTCCTCTCTCTAAAAATAAAAATCTTTTAAAAAATTATTTTAAAAGTTAGAGTCCATGTTCACCATTTAACTAAGCGATTTAGAGGAATTCAGTAAAATAAGTTGCATTACTTAAACATGTTTAACATCTTTATATTTAAAAATTATATTACATATTATATATTCAATACACTCTTATTTGTATACATTATAGTAGTTTATATTTAACAGTTCATGGTTCCCACTTACTTGTTTAAACCATCTCTCACTGTTGTGATGGTCCCAGCACGGTAGGTGTCTGTACGAGACAGTCCGTCTCTCTAGATGCTGGGCTGTGTGACCAGACCGGCTTGGGTTGGAGCCCAGCTGACGTCTCGTAATAGCCGTCTGACACTGGGCACACCACTGACCCTGCAAGAGCTCCGGTGCCCTCTGTAAATGAGGGTGGTGGTGCCACTTCTGTCTCTCCCGAGTCTGAGGGTTGCAGGAGAGAATGTGTTGAGTTCTTAGCCTGGACCCGCAAGAAACGTGAGCCGCCGGTGTCTGCTGCCGCTGTCAGCGTCGTTATTTATGAAACCGTTTGTCACTGTCCCTTGATCTTTTTTTAAAAGAAACTTTAAAAAGTGTATTAATGAGATGGGAAAGAAAGCCCAATTAAAATGTAAGATCCAGGCAGTGGCTAATGTGTGGCAGGAAATGAGTGTTTGCAGCTCATTAATTATCAGCTTGAATGGTAAATTAGGCCGAGGTTGGCAATGAATTTTAGATAAAGCACTCGAGATGTTCAGTCATGGCCCAGAACCAGAATTGATAATTTCACAAAATGCTAGTTAACAGCTTCACAAAACGCTGAGCCCTGCTAGCGCTCTTCTTGGAGCTCCATTCATCTCCTACAGATGGGAGAAAGGGCTGGGGCGGGGGGTGTGTGGGGGAGAGCTGGGCGGAGGAGCTTTGGTTCGGAAAAGAGTGATGGCAGCATCGGTGTGAAGCAGGGACCTGTGTCAGAGCAGATTCTGCTCCACGGACCTTGTTTTGGCAGAGAAAGGTATCCCACTCCGTACAGATTATTTTTCCTTCTGATCCATGTGCTTCCCAGTGACATTTGTCACTAATACCAGTTATGAAATCCTGAGAGTCCCTGCCATTTTTCAGAGACCGGGGCCCAGCGCCCTTGGGCCCAGTTGGAGTAAGTGCTGAATGAATGGCGTGCTCAGGAAAGACCTGAAGACAAAGAGGACTTGGCTAGTTTTTGCTTTGCCAGGACTTGAGAGGTTTTCATGTTTCTCTTTCTTATCACATACTTTTCAGTTCTGGTTGCAAAGGATTTCTTTGAGAAGGAGGCATTTTCAGTTACTGCCCTTTCTTTCCCTGAAACGCAGTGTTTTAAAAAGCACCACAGTGATCTTGGCCGCTGGGCAGGCCAGTCTGTGAAACACAGTGAGACTGGAGGTGAAGGAAGCCAGGTGAACCGACAAACCCAAGGCAGGACTTCGACTCTCCCTTAGCTGTGTACGCTCAGGGGTTACCTTGGAAACAGTCCAGCTGGAGCATGTTCGGAAGCTGCCTTTCCACTGGTCTGTTTGCTGTTTCCAGCCATCCTGCCGGTCCTGCTTTAAATGCCGACAAGGACCGAGACTCTCACCACCCCTCCCCCAGAAGGCCAGCCCTGCAGGGGGTCCTTCCCTGCCAGCTGCTTCCGACCACACGCTCACCTGGTGAGGACGGAGCCACGGAGCCTCCAGAGATTCACTCAGTCTGACGGTCTCCCCAGTCTGAACAGACCCCTTCCCGTGGGCCAAGGGGCTGAATAATTTTCTTCTCAGGGGATCTGGAATGAACACTGTACGAGTAAATCTTTTCCAAGGAGAGTCACTGAGGCATTGATTTGGGAAGTCACCACGGGGCCACCGAGTGAGTCACCGGGCTTCTGATGGGGCACCTGTTGTGCAGGCAGTGACTCAGCTCCCGCACCTGGCCCTGACCCCACAAACCACCCCCCCCCCGCCCCCTGGCACTTTCCTAATTACTTTGTTTGTAAGGAAAGTGGCATAATGAGTGCTCGAGATGATTCAGAGCTAAAAGGCCCTTGCTTCCAACCTCGACTTCCTCGCCTTTAAGATAAAATCTCTCTGTGTGTAATCCTGGAAGAGCAGGAAACAGCGGTCCGGGACAGGAAGCAGGGCCAGCAACAACTTCAGTTCCAAACACGGGTCTAGAAAAGTGTCCCTCGCACACACCAAGGCCCAGACAGCTGCAGTAAGGAGCCCATCTCACTGGGGCAGCGAACACGGTCACTGTGCCATTTAAAACATTAACCGTCCCCGTTCAAAACAGTCAGTGGGGCCGCGGGGCCTTGGAAGTTCACCGGCCCAGGGAAGGGGAGTCTCGAGAACACACACAGATGCCTTTTTGCAAGTGGTGAGAGGCATTCGGACGAGGCCCCGGAGAACTCATTTTAAGCCATGACAATGGCAGCGTGCTCAGTGGTCAGGGAAGCCTTCAACGATACAGACGAGGGGCTCCTCACCGAACCGCACAGAGGCACAGAGGGCCTAGGCCCAGCTTGGGACCTTCAGGCCAGTGTGTCTCAGTCGGTTGGAGTGTCGTCCCATAACTGAAAGGTTGCTGGTTCGATTCCCAGTCGGGGCACATGCCTGGGTTGTGATCTTTGATCCAGGCACATTCAATCCCCAGTCAGGGTGTGAACAGGAGACAACTGATTGAAGTTTCTCTCTCACATGGATGTTTTTCTCTCTCCCTTCCTCTCTCTCTAAAAAGCAATGAAAAATGTCCTTGGGTGAAGAGTTTAAAACAAACAAACAAAAAAAGATCTAAAGGCCTAAATAAAAGGAATTAACTTTGCTTTAGAACTAAATAGGATTCATGTGAACATCAGTCAGACTTTCACTGTACCTGGATTTCTGGCAGAACATCTGAGCCCTAAACTTGAGTTTGAACTGCATTTATGCACAAAGTTCCTGCTGGGAGTAAATGCCCCTTTGATAAGACCGAAGATGGTCTCATTGTAGCAGTTTCTAAAATAGACCAAAATGCACCCTGACTGGTGTGGCTCAGTGGGATGAGCGTCAGCCCACACACTGAAAGGTCGCTGGTTCGATTCCCAGTCAGGGCACATGCCTGGGTTGTGGGCCAGATCCCGGCTGGACAGGCAAGAGGCAACCAGTTGGGGTTCCTCTCCCACGTCGAGGTTTGCTCCCTTCTCTCTCCCCTCCCTCCACTCTCTCTAAGAATAAGTAAGTAAGTAAGTAAGTAAATAAATAAATAAAATCTTTAGAAAGTCAGATAGCCAAACTGTGATGCAGCCGGGTGTCCAGCAGCAGACCAGAAACATCAGGTGAGCGGGTCAGTTGTCCTCGGTAGCGGTGAGGCCGGCAGTCTCGGCAGGATGACAGGGTGGCAGCGTGAAAGTGGAGCCGGGTCACAGGAAAGAGCGGAGCGGCGCCTCTGCCGCCGTCGCAGCCCCGCAGCGAGGGTTTGCGGGCAGAGCAGAAGGCCGTCCGTGCGCAGCGGCTGCCCTGGGTCGCGGTGCGCACCTGCGGTCCTGTCTTGCCATGTTTGAAAAGGCTTTCCTTTGATGTTGTGTGAAATTTTTAACTAATGATGATGCTAAATCCAGTAGTAACAGATTTCTTAAATAACTGAAGAACCCGGGATGTTTTTCTCACAGTCATCCCCCACAAAATCGGCCGAGTCATAGAGGGAAGCCCCGCCGACCGCTGCGGGAAGCTCAAGGTCGGAGACCTCATCTCCGCGGTGAATGGGCAGTCCATCGTCGACCTGTCCCACGATGGCATCGTGCAGCTGATCAAGGATGCCGGCGTCACCGTCACCCTGACGGTCATTCCCGAAGACGGTAAGGGCCCGGCGACCTGCCTGCCCAGGCGATCCGACAGACACCGAGCCTGTGGCGGGTGGCGGCTTCCTCTGGCTCAGCCACAGTCGCTGCAGCGACAGAGCCGTGGCTGTGCCCTGGAGGGTCGCCTTCTTGCCTTTTCTGCTTAATGGATGCAGAAGTTTATTATAAAGTTGTCAGTAGCTCGAGAAAAATAATCCGGCCGGGATTATTTTTGGTGGCCATGTGTTTATGAGCTGCATAGGCAAGCCCCCAGAAGTGAAAGAGGTTGCTAAAACTTTTCAGATTCTATTCCTTTTAAAATAATGTCTGAAGTCTCTGCTCCAGTAAGAGAAGATCCTCAGAAGAGGTCAGAGTGAGTAGTGCAGGTCCTTCATGGCCGACCCCTGTCACCATGTCCTTGCCTTGCATGGGCTGTGCTCTGGGCAGCTGCCTCACGGACTGATGGACGGACAGACAGACGGATGGGAGGGAGGGCATCTGCAGGAGCGCTGGTAAACAGGGCATGAAATGCATTTCGTGTCTTGCTTTGCTTCAAAGCTGCCTTTTGATCATTAAGAATTCCTAATTGGGAACCACTTTCAATAGCCCCTGTTCATAGTCTTTGTTTATAATTACAAGGTAACCATTACATAACGCTCATCGCATTTGTCCTGGTTTGTCCCGATTTTGTAAAACTGAGTAGAAGCCCAGAACAGCAGAATTAGGAGGATCAGTCTTGCCTGTTAAATTGCTTGTACTGCAGTGCGTCTTCATGTCCCATCCCCCACCCCCAGGATCCTCTAATCCTGTCAGTCCTTTAATTCTTTCAATTCTCATTCTTCCTCTCTCTTCTCTTCCTACTGCTCCAGGTCATACATTTTGTTCCAAGGTAGTAGGTAAACCTGCTTCCTGTCCAGGATCCTGCCTGGACAGGCGTCCATCCGCCTGCTGCCCGCGCCGAGGCGTCTCCAGTTCTAGGACCCTGCGACGCCCCCGCCTCGCTCCCTTCCCTCCTCCTGCCTGCCCCCCCACTGCCCAGATCTGACCCGACTGCTCTGCTTCCTTCTGAACCCTCCCCAGTAGGCGCTGCACACTCTCGGCACAGAAAGTTGTTTTTCTGCTTTTGCTCCAACCTGCCTTTTAAGTTTGCCCCCAGTGTCCTCCCCAAACCCCCTTCTGGGCTAGACCTCGAGTTGGGCCCCCTCCCCTCCATCCCATGGCTATTTCTGCAGGTCCTTGAGCATTACTAACATATAATGCTCCTGCTTTTAAAGGGGATTATCTGCTTTTTGAAGACAAAGAAATTACCAATTGCCCACGAAACTTGGTGCTCAGTTAATGTTTTTGAGTGAAGGAATGAGTGAGCGAATGAATGAACAAGGTAAGAGTCGGGTGCTCGTCCGCTCTGTGCCCACACCTGGCAGGGGCGGGACCAGCCCGGAGGCCAGGCTCTGGCAACACTCAGGGGCCCTGATTAGTGCATCAGCCACTTAGCATTTCCTCCCTTTGGTCTTTCAGTTGTGGAGTGGGATTAATGGTGTCAGTTTCTGGGTCGTGGTGAAGGTTAAAGGTGAAAGTGTGTGTAATGGGCACACACACCCGAAGGTGCTCCCCCGATGATAGCCGTCATCACCTGGCTCCATCTCTGCACAGCCAGCTCCCGCATTCAGGTCCCGGCGTAAATCTCACTGCCTGAGGAATTAATCGTGGGATTTAGTAAACACTGTGTGGGTGATAGTGCCTTTAAATGCTTTAAATCTATTAATTCAGTTAGTGCTCACACGAACTCTGGGTGGGCTCCATTATCTTCCCATTCTGTAGATGAGGAAACTGAGCCCCAGAGCAGTTAGACAGCTTGGCGACAGAGCCAGTGTTTGAACCAGGCAGTCCGGCCCCCAGGCGTCACTGCTGTGCCTTCCCAACCAGTTTCTGAAACAGCCCTGGGCCCCGTGGCCCTGCCCCCTCACCTGCTTTACCCCTTTTCCTCGCACTGATCTTGCACTGAGATTATGTAACTACTTGTTTATGGTCATCTCCCCGCCACCATGTAAAGTCCTAAGGCTCTTGACCTTGGATACTTTGAGATGCTGGTGCTGAACCCCTCAGATCTAATACAAGGTTAGGCACATAGCGAGTGCTCAGTAAAACTTTTTTTCAGTGAGGAATTAGTGTCACTAAGTGTGACTTGGGTCAGATTCCTTTATCTCAGTTTCTTTACCATGATCTCCATAGCCCGCTTTTTAGCCTTAAATTTGTTCTGTGACCCACAAAGAGAAGCCGGCCCAGTGCCCCAGGAAATGGCACTTCGGGGATGTTCACAGATGGATGTGCCCATCACTTGTATCACTGTGCATGGCGCGCAGTAGTGATGGGACTGCTGGAAGGCATGGGTGCAGCTGGCGGGGGGCAGACCAGGGTTTCTCAGACCATCTTACAGAAAGGACCAGTGGTTTTGTCCAGCCTGTCAGACAGCATTTTCGTGAGACACAATAAAAATTAAATGAAAAAGTAAGAACAAAGACATAAAATTACTGTCAAATTGTAAAATTTTCAAAGTGCTTGCTCTCAGTACTGTACATGTGGGCCACACATTGAGACTGATAAAGTCCAGTTGCAGGAAGACCATTTCTGTCAGTGTTTGGTTTGGTTCTGTTTTCAGAATTACCCCTTATCACTGATGGTGTATTCTCCAAGAGGTTGTCTGAAATCGCTCATTTTTCTTTAACGAGTGTTTTATGTGTGAGCTCAGCCTCTTAAAACTATGATCGCATTTCAGTGATTATACCTTATTTTATTATACTCCTTCAGTTTTATTAATCAACGGAAGCATTCAGACTCTCTTATTCTCTCAGAAAAAAAATTATGAAGTATCTCCTCTCCATAAAAATCCGAATCATGGTGTTTGTAAGTCTTCTCTCGTCGTGCTCGGTATGAAATCCACCAACCGCAGTGGCGCCAAACGAATGCTCACAGCTCGAGCGTCTGTGCTGCGACCACTCGAGCGTTGGCTTCCACCTGGAACCGCTTTCTGTGACAAGTGAAGACCGTTCACTGGAGAAGGAGAGCTTGTTCCCTTCATTCTCCTGTTCTCCTTCTGCTGGGCAGCGTTTCCTGTCTGCGCCATTGGTGCCTAATTTGCAAAGAAAATGTTTAACCAGGTCCCCGAGCCAGGCGTCCTGTCTGGTACAAAAGTCTCAGACATATCCGTGACTTGGGGACTCTGTTTCGTGGCCCTGCCCGGCGTTCAACGTGAGCTGTTTCTTCTTTTCTCTCCATCCCATTTTTTTTCCCACTGTTGTGAGTAATGCTGCCGTGACTGTCAGTGCACAGGGTTTTCTACAGATGCGTGTTTTCGATCCACCTGGGAGTGGCGAGTCAGGCTGACTCTGTGTGACAGTCGAGGAACTAACTGTCTTCCACTCTGCACCGTTCTCTGTTCCCACCAGCGTGCAGAGGCTTCGGATCTCTCCATGTCCTCGCCAGCGTGGCTTTTCCGTTTTGTTTTTTATTCTGGGCATCCTTGTGCGTGTGAAGTGGTCCCTCAGTGGTTCCTATTTGAAGTTCCCCGAGGACTGATGCTGTCGGGTGGCCTCGCCGCACTTTCCGCCGTTTGTGCGTCGTCGTTGGGGGAGGGTCTGCTCAGCCTGTGCCCGCTTTGTCGGCTTGTCTTTTTGTTGGATTATGAGGCTTTTCATGTTCTGATACAAAGTCCTCAGTGGATGTACATGTATCTTTGGTTGCTTGTGCTTTGGTATCATGGCCTCATGTGTTTTTTGAGATTTATCCCTGGTGCTGGGCAAACTTAATCGATTGCTTGACAGTTCTTTATCTTCTATATTGTATATTTACTCATCACCTATGACTGGTCCCCCCCGCCCTGCATCCCCCCATCTTTGACAGTCTATGGATTTGAGCATCTCCTCAGATGCTTGTTTTGAGGTTTTTTTTCTTCTTGTGAATTTCCTCTTCATATCCTTACTCTTTATTCTTGTGGGATTTCTGTCTTTTTCTTGTTGATATGTAGCTCTTCCTTGTTAATTATGTAGGCATTAGTCTAAATTAATTTAGAAAGCACAAATAACCTCCCGTCATCTGTTAACTTTTGACATGATGCCCTTCATTATACAGAGATTTTTAATTTAGATGTAATCAAGCATAATCCCATATAAAACTTTTACCTTATGGCTTGTGCCATGGAAGTTGAAGGTAAGTTACCCTTCCCCGCCCAGCGGCAGAGCTTCTCTCTGCCGCCACCATCTGTTAGATTTGTAACTTTGCATTTTGCATTTAGGTCTTTACTCTGTCAGGAGCCTCCCTGTGATGTGTATGGTTTAGGAGGGACCCCGTTTAGTTTTTTTCCCATAGTGAGTGGTCTTTCTAGCACCAGCCGTCAGCAGTTGGTTTCCTTGTTCACCGTGGAGCCGTCTCTGCCTGTCAACTTCCCCTGAAACATGAGTCTCTTTCTCTTCTGTTGACTTTTCTGTTCTTGGGCTCATTTACAGCTAATATTTTAAACTGTGTGTGTGTATACTTTTAATATGTAACTCTGTGGTATATCCTAGTATCTGTTAAGGCAAGTCTTTCTGCAAACCCTCCCCCACTCCAAATAGACTGGATGCTGATGAAACCTTTTCATATAAACTTTTAGAGCAGTCATACTCCTCCAAAAAAGTTCAACTGCAGTTTTTATTGGAATATATTGAATATACAGTAGCTGTAGGGAAATTTATACATTTAAATATCGTCATCCTACCCTAGAGCATGGATGTCTCCAATTATTCAGATCATCTTTTATGGGAGGGGACCCCAAAAAAACTAGAATTATCTTCTGGATAATTCCAGAAGATACTTCAAGGGTGGGTGGGCCCCGTGTAGTACAGGCCTCCCCTGCCAGCTGAGTGTTCTAGGAACCCGTCTGTGTCAGTGTACCAGCCGATGTTGTTGTGAGAGGCTGCGTTCAACTGCAGTGAATCTTTTTTTGAAGACTCACGCATTTGCCCATTTCATGACGGGCGATCTGTGAGCACCCCTGCCCACACCGTGCTGCGTGTCCAGCAGTTTTTGACCAAAAACAGCGTGACCCCCACGCCCCGCCTGCCTCACCCCAAGCCACTTCCGTTTCCACGATGAAAAAAGTCCCGAAATGGAAATGTCTTGCTGGTGATGCAGAAGAGGTGAAACAAAAAAATAGCAAAAGCACTAAAAGGCATCAAAATTGACACATTCAAAAACTGTTTGGAGCAGTGGAAAAGTCTCGGGAGGTGTATGGCGTCAAATGGAGAGCACTTTGAAGGTGACTGAAATTTAAATATGTAAGAACAGAAGACTTTTTACAAGTAAATCCCAGTTTTGGGGGGTCCCCCTTTGACCTTTAGCAGAGTTTTGGAAAGCTCTCCCACAGGTGGTCTCAGTGCCGATGACGCCCGGCGCGCCGTGTGCCACTTACTGTAGAACTTCGGGAGTTTGTGTTCGTCTTCCAGTGATAACGCGCTTTTTCTTCAGCAGTTACAGAAACTCCCGAGAAAATTCCACTGTCATTGAGAACTAGCACTTCCCAACCCTTTGCTTTACTAGTTGAAGAAATTTCAGATAAAATTCAGAGAGAACAAAAGCCTGTTTGACATCTTGGAATAAATATTTAACTTTGAGATGTAGAACAGCTTTTAACACAAATAAAGTGAATGACTGAAACTGAAAGAACAGTGATGACAGAAAGTTTAACTTAACCTTGAGAGAACAATAAAGACCATGGAACTGAAAGAGTAGCACCAGCTGGCTGTGCCTCCCCCCCCAACACCACCCCCCCCCCCCCCCCCGCAGTGGCACCTCCCACCATCAGGTGGAGGGGAACTTGAAATTGATCAGCGTATTTTTACTGCCCTGTGGTTTCACTCCCCTTGATCTAGCCAGGCTAGTGAAGCCAAAAATTATCTGTGTTGGACTTGTGCAAAGGTACAGGAATCTCCCATTCATCTTGGCGGATGGAATTATTTCCATTCCCTTAAGGGTAGCTGTGCATTTCCAATGGCAGAGGAGATTTCAGCCCTAGAGTGAACTCTCAAGTCTAGAGGCGGGTAACCTGAAATGGACATACCCAGTAAGCAAAGGCGGAGGCCTTCCTGGGAACATGGAGGTAAGCGAGCGTGGTTCCTGCCATCCAGGAGCTCAGTCTCTGCACGGGTGGTAACTGCAGGGAAAACTGCACCTGCAGAGCCAGGTGGCATCTCACCGAGAGGGGCCATTCCAAACGGAGATGAAGCGGAAAGGCAGGAGTGCCCAGGTGACAAGTTCAAACTGTATCTGATGAGCAGTAGAAAGCTAACAGATTTTTAAGCATGGCAGTGGTAATGTTTCCATTTATGTCTGGAGTCCAGGAAGCAGAATGGAGATGAGCTTGGGGCAAGGTGACCGGTGAGGAGGCTGGCATAGGTAACCTGATAAGCTGATCAGGAAAATAACATTTGTGGTGGTAATATGAACACAGCCCCCAGAGAGGAAGTTCATACTCCTCTCTTCTGGGACACGGCTTTAAAGAGGGAAGACGACCCTTGGATGAGCTGCATCGGCGCCCAGCACCAAAACCCAGGCGGACGCAAGCCCAGGAGCGGGACCGCATGCCTCCCCCTCCTGTTCCCGCTTTCTGCAGAGCTCCCTCTAGCCCAGTTGCAAGAAGGTGTTAAATATAATTTAATCTGTGTTTTTAGGCCCAAGAACTTTGAAGAGAAACTTAATCCAAGCCATAAAGTAGTGACACATGTCGTAAGGCCTGAAGTCTCAGCTTCCTCAGTAGAAGCTGCTTCCTAAACACGTCCCTGGTCTTTAACACTGGCTTTGACCTCGTCTTATTCCGAGACTCAGTTCCTGTCAGTTTCTACGTGTCCTAATCTAAAAATGGCACCCGCAGCAAGCATTTTAGCTAAGTGAGGTAAATAATTCAGAACGTACACTTGAAGAGAAATACAGCCCCAAGGAGGAGTTTACCATTTTGATGATGATGCTAACAATGACAATTATAATGGAAATGTTTCCATCGTGAATGTGTTCTCATCGTGTGCTTTTGTAAGCTGACTGCTCACAGTGACCCCACAAGGTGGCCCCGACTCCCTTTCCGCAGACGAGAGGATGAGAAGCGCAGAGCCTGCCACTCGTTGGTTCAGGCGCGCACAGCCAGTGAACGAGGGCGTCAGGTGGAAGCCCCGGCAAGCAGAGCTCCTGGTCCCAGGCCCAGCTGTGCCCCCGCTCTCTGGCATCTCGCGTACCCGGCGTTTGCGGTTGGACAGGACAAGACATGGAAAGTGCCAGTGTCAGAAACACGAGTCTGGCCGCCTGAGTCTCAAAACCTCCCCTGCCCTGTGGTCTGGCCCTCGGTGCTGTGCTTCGTGTCCCCATCTGCCGTCAGGAAGCAGCACATGGGAGCTGTTGCAAAAGACACGGAAACACACATCATGTTTCTTTCACCTACATTTGTGCTGTTAGGAAACAGAAGCAGGAAGTCTTTACAAACATTTGTCATCACTTGGGGTGATTTTTTGTAAGCTGCTTGTTGGGTTCAGCCTCAGGTGAGGTGACTGCTCCCACACTGAAGAGGCAGGTTCAGGGGCATGAGTGGGATTTGCTGGAGGGCCCCCAGCCAGTGTTCCTGAGACCTGTCACCTCGTGGTTCACAGTGATGGGGCGTGTGCCTGGTTTTGCTCTTCAGGGTGTTCATTCCTCGTCGTCTGGGCGACCCAAGGAAAGCGGGGAGGGAAAGAGTGTGGAGTAATAAGCACAGGACTGCTCTTCTCGAACCTAAGCATCAATCAAAAGACAGGGCAGGAGGCGGGGACGTTCCCCTTCCAGGCAGCCGAGGGCAGAGCTCGTGCTGCGGACGCTGAAGTCAGGGCACAGCAACCATTTGTTAGCGTCTCATTTTCAGAGACCCGCTCGGCCTCCCTAGTTTTAGGCACAGATTCTCATTTCTGCTGTTCTCTTATTCCAACAGAGCATCATGGCCCGCCATCGGGAACGAACTCGGCCAGGCAGAGCCCGGCCCTGCAGCACAGGCCCGTGGGACAGTCGCAGGCCAACCACACGCCTGGGGACAGGTAGGCTGTGCTTCTCCGGCGTTGGCGGTTTTCTCTCATCTCCCCACTCCTCACCCCCACGGCCCCCACTCCCACCCCGGGTGATGCAGAAGACAGCCGATGAGGTCGAATGAGGACGCTTGTGCACGCTTTCCACCTTCAGCCGCCTTCCCAGTCCCCTCCCGCCTGCGTGCCCCGAGCACCCGCGAGCAGCCCCTCCATCCCATCACCTTTGCCCTCTGGGCGGGGCTTGGAAAGAAGCCACAGCCCAGAGACTGCTGCCCTCTCAGACAACCTGAGCAGAGCAGAGGAGCATTGGTACCTATTTCTCTCTTTTGTTGAAAATCGGGTTTCTAGAAATTCAACACAGCCTCTCTCCACGGGCGCTGGTGCCGCACGAGTGCCACGGTCGGCTAGTGCGACCTCTACTGCCCGATGGAGATGCCTGGAGGTGCTGCCCGACTGGGGTCCTGCTGGGGGCACGCCCGGTTCGCCTCACCTGTCTGGGTCTGGAGCGTCTGCGACACTTCGTCAGGGGGAGAATGGCCAGGCCCAGCCTTTCAGAGAAATGAAATCGACCTGCCCTTCCTTTTAGCCTGTCTTTCACGTGCTCGGTTCAGGGAGGGCCCTGGTTTCTCTCTTGCAGAAGTGCCCTGGAAAGCGAGCTGGGGAAAGATGGCCCCGCTTCCCACCGACACTCGTGGTCCGACCACAGGCACCTCGCTCAGCTGGACACCGCGGTGATCTCCGTGGTTGGCGGGCGGCACAGCCAGGTACGAACACCCCACAGGCAGGCTGTGGTTTTTAACTGGTGAGTCACTGACACTGGTGAAGCTTTACTGCAAATTAGGTCAATTTGTTTCTGAAATTAATCACTCTTGAGGACCTACTGTGTGTGTGTGGTGTTCCGTTAGCCCCCGGGGAGGGCATGCAGAGTAACAGAAAAGGTTGCCCCGCAGCTGCGGACTCAGAGCACTGCCTCGGTCCATCAGAGCAGGGCTGGGGTCTTCGGGCTGTGTGTCCCACACGGCCGGCTGCCCAGGAGAATCGGTCACAATGCAAAGGAGGCACGTCCCAAACTCTGTTCTCCTGTTGTACTGATGACCCACTGGCAGAGAAGACGTGCAGTCTACAGAGTTCGGCCACATTTACAAAAATCGCCCAGCCCTCAACCAGAGGCCCATTCCTTCCCTACGATCCACAGATGCCTACTGAGGATATGAATGGTACCCCCAGCTATAAAAGCAGTCGTCTCTCACGCCACAGAGCCAGCAGGCCATGACCTCGTTTTCTTTGCTCTTCCCTCCAGAGCCTGGGCTGCTACCCGGTGGAGCTGGAGAGGGGCCCCCGGGGCTTCGGGTTCAGCCTCCGCGGGGGCAAGGAGTACAACATGGGGCTGTTCATCCTGCGCCTGGCGGAGGACGGGCCCGCCCTCAAGGACGGCAGGATTCACGTGAGTGGGCTCCTGCCTTCACCCTCTGGTCCTGGCTGCAGAATGGGAACTCGTGAAAATCGTTGGTGGAGGGGAATGCGGAAGCTCTCGGATCTGAGAAACGAGACCTCCCGCTGCGGAAACGTGCGAGGCAGACGCTCAGCGGGCCCCCTCCGACGTCCCGTCCCCTCTCCGCCTGCTGTGCTGCACCCCGTTCCGTCCCCACCATCCAGCACCTTCACCTCCAACACGGTGCCCTGTGGGGATTGGTTCAAAGACTAGACTAGATGGAGAATATGTCTAGATAATGAGTTATTTTCAATATTGAAGATTAACTCCCAGAAGTTAATGCTGAGTTATAGGACTTGGGTAATACGAAACAATGTAATTCACTCAAACAAACAAAAAAACATTAACTTGGAATACAGATGGGAAAGGTGTTGAGAGTCATTGAGAGGATTTTTAATTTAGCGAGTCTTAGGCTGATCCTTCAATCTGCTTAAAACTCAGGGTGGAGAAAATACGGTCCTCAGCCACGTGGTGAGAGGTTCGCTGAGTGGGGAAAGTTCACAGGAAGGAGCAGGTCAGACTGAAGGGCTTCCCGTGGAGCGGACTTGGGTTGGAAGACACAGCGAGGCCGCGCTCTGCCGGCCCCACGAGACCCGGGAGGGAGGTGCCCTCGTCCCCACCCACGGATTAAAACCTGGCCGCCTGCTGGGTTTGCTCAGCCGCTGATGGTGATGGCCAGAGCGTGACCCAGGCCCCTTGGGGTCCGCGGACACCGCACAGGTCGGGAGGCAACACGAGCAACGGGGTGGAAACGCTGTTTTGTGGACGTTTTACAAACCGTGAGACTGCCTTAGAGGGACCTAAACTTCCTCTTTCCCTTCCGCTTCTCCTGTTCTCGTTTTTCAGCCTTTCATCTCTCTCCTCCCTCTGTCCCCACAGTTTTTGTTTGTTATACAAACCTGAACATGAAGTTGTCCTATTTACCAAAAGATATATAAGTTCCCCATCTTATTCTTACCACATTTAAAAATTCGGAAGTAACAAGTAACAAAGTTGTAGAAGACTGTTTACGTCTCCCTCTCAGAGGTGCCGTTTCTACCCTTAGCTTTGTGTCCCCGAGGCCAGGGCCTGTCCCTCCGCACACTCGTTTTAAAGTTAAACAAAAACGACACCTGGTGGCAAATCTGTTCAATTACAAGTTTTATTGTATATTTGTTGTGCTAAAACCTAAGTATGCATGTTTAGACGGTAAATTTAAGCCAAAGAACGTGATTGAAATTAGTTAATTTCGATCATGCTTTACAAGACATACCTGAAGTAGGCTTCCAATACTAATTGTCTCTAAATTATCAGGATTATATATCTAGCGCTAATTTGTCATCTGTAGTTCCTCACAAAAATGATTTTTTTCAGTCACTTAAGGGAAATCTGGGTATAAGGGCTTTTTAAAAAAAAGCGTTTATTTTCCCCATTCTATTATCATCTTTGTAAAGATTTCCAGTTTATACGTTAAATCCACCAATCTTGTTTGATATCCTCCATTTCTTCGAGATGCTCTTTTTTTCATAACTATGCAACAAAACGCACTATTTAGTTCACTTGAAATTTTTTACCTTGTACAGACAGTCTACAGTTAAATTTAATTCATACCAATGCACTTAAAAATTTTGGGGGAAAACCAGAAAATAGCTAACCTCAAAGCTAGCATTTCTGGTCGGTGGGTCATGTCCCATCTCACTGAACCGTCCTCAGGACCCCACGACCCCGGGAGGGAGGGACAGACAGCACACCCCAGGAGCCCAGGGTCCTACCACTGTACTCGGGTGGACACAGGCTCATCCCACCCACCTGCGTTAGACAATCACTGCGCCCTCTTCTGGACAGAGCCCGTGAGTGTGTGTAAATGTTTGAGCTACTTTTTAGAATTTCGGTAATTTTCTATTCAGTTTTGTTTTGAAGCCACACCTTTCCGTTGCTTGTCACCTTGAACTATGTTCTCAAATCTGGAATCAAATCACTACCATCATTGTCTTTAATCAGGCCCTTTGCAAAAATACTTGACTCATCCATACTTTGTCTTTTAAAATAATAGACCACATACCTAGGAAATAGCAGTGGTACTGAGGTGTCTTCTTCTAATCACTAGTTTTTTATATATATTTTTAGGAAAATTGCTTTACACTAAAGTAAAGGAGTAAGGATTCATATTACTATACTGTCCAGGATGAATTTTTTCAGCATTTTAATCTATGAATATTTCGTTTGGTTCTTGATTTCAAGACATCCCGCCCCGCCCCTGCTTCCCAGTCACACACAATTGTCCCGGGGAGGGTTTCTGCAGTAAGTAAAGCTGCACCTCTCTTCCCGTGGCCGTCATCTGTCCACATCTCACTCTAGCCTGACAGCACCGCGTACAAGTGAAATACTTTACACATCAGAGAGGCGCTCGGCAACACTGGGGGGCCCTGGAGTTGACAAAAGCAAAACCGATGGCAGACACGTGGTCCCACGCTGTTCCCGTGCATGTCCCCTGTCTAGGTGGGCGACCAGATTGTGGAAATCAACGGAGAACCCACCCAAGGCATCACACACACCCGCGCAATCGAGCTCATCCAGGCCGGTGGAAATAAAGTTCTTCTTCTTTTGAGGCCAGGAACTGGCTTGATACCTGATCACGGTAAGTAGCTCCCCTGTCGCCACCAAGAAGTGAAGAGAGATTATTAGGGAGGGGTCAGCAGAAGGGAAAGGGATATCTCACTGGAGGGGATGTTTTTCTAGCTATGTCAAAAGTAAACACCAGAATCTAAGGCCACTTACGCAGCATACTTTTTATTAGTTAAAAATAATGTAACAGAATGTGTGGCTGCAGGCAGGACTTTTGCTGGAATGGAATATGTTGAGCTAATTTCAATACAAAACCCAGTTGGTTTTGCAGAGAAATGTGCCTGTACAAAACAAGGACATGAGAGGCAAATGAATTAAATGCATGAAAAACATGTGAAATTTCTTCAGTTTTTCATATAGTAAGATACGCTTCTCTTAGCGAGTCGAGTAAGAACGTCAGGCCTCTGCGAGCGCCCGTGAGCAGCGGTGCCGCAGCCCCTGCCTGTACTGACCTTGCCGGGTTCCCTGTGCGTTTCTGAACTACCCCGGGGCTGGAAATCGCTGTGTTCACACTGAGTGCACTAGTCTAGAAAGAAGGTGTCACGCCACTTAGTGCCGGCCCCCTTCAGCCTGTAATTCTCTGACTGCGTCCCTTCACCACCTGCTTGTAAATCACCCATTCCCAGTGATGTCTTTGCTAACCGCGCTGTGATTTTTTTTTTTTAACACAGTCCTAGGCTTTTTCTCTTCCTCCTTCAGGTTTGGCTCCTTCCGGTCTGTGCTCCTACGTGAAACCTGAGCAGCATTAAGGCTTTCAGGGCTTTTCTTGGTCTTTCCTTAAAAAGACTTGGTAAATTTGCATGTCTTGTCAATCACCTCCTTCTCTTTTTTCTTTTAATTAAAAATGATGCTATTAAATACATCTAATTCTATCTCCTGCACTTTTCCATTTCCTTTTGACATTAAATTTGACCGCTTAAAGCAAGACAATTATTTACTAGTGCCCATGAACCTCGTTCTGGTCAACAGAGGCTGGTCTCCTTTATGCGTGAGTCTGGCATGTCCTTAAGCTCTATCCTCCAATAAGAGCTCAATTAGTAAGCTTCTTGGACCAGGTAATTTGGTCTAATTTTAAGTTTTACTGGGCTTTACTACTTATAAAGAATTGACACACCATCTATTACTAATTGTACATAAGTAATTAGAAAAATGAATACTGTTATTTTATGCATAAATAACCTCCCCGTGATGTACAAATATAGCTGTATGCATCTGCCTTTATAGAGAGATACTTAGACTAAACTATAAGATGCTCATACTGTTGAAGCAATCAGTACAATTACAATGGCTGTCAAAGCTTAAAACTTAACAATGTTCCACCCAAAACCCCTCTCCTTAGGTCGCCGGGATAGCCCTCAGCCTTCATCTTCAAACGTGATTTATGACGAACAGCCGCCGTTCCCCCCACCTTCTCATTCTGCGTCCAAGTGCGAGGAGCCCTGCGCGCCAGGAGCTGAGGGAGCCTTCACCAGGGCACAGGTGTGTGAAAAGGCAGAAGAGTTCAAGGACATGGGGCCCGAGAAGAGAAGCACTTTACATCAGTCTGACATGAAGCACCAGCCTCTTCTCCAGAAAAGTGGGAGTAGCAGGGATGCCCCCAGCAGTCACGGGCACAGCGACAAGAAACACCTCTTAAAAGCAGAAAATGGTGTTGCCCGCAGAGGCAGGTCTGCTAGTCCCAGAAAGCCAGCCAGTCGCTATGCAGAGGAACCTCCCCAACAGACGCCCAGTCCTCTCAGAAACGACCCCACGAGAAGGCCCAGAGAGCGATCGCCCAGCCCCAGGCAAGGGGAGACTCAGAGCTGCCCGGGCAGTGCCGGGGTGGCCTCGGGCCAGGGTCACACCCGGAGGGGACGCTCCGCCAGCCCAAAGAAGCAGCAGAGAACGGAAGGGCGACAAGACCGACCCAACGCTGCAGCCAAAGCCCTGGAGTTGGGGGGCCGACGGGCGGGGGGCCGTGCTCGCGAGGGCGCTGAGCAGGTCGTAGATGGGAAAGAACGATCGGGTGGCGGCAGGACAGACACGAAGCAGAGTCCGCGGCCTCCGGAGGAGAAAAGCAAGCGAATGGATGAAAAGCCCGCGGCTAGTAATGTTACGAACAGAGTGGTACCTGAAAGTGAAAGGGGAAAGAGAGCCCCCTTAGGAGAGACACGTACGGAGAGGATGGCCCCGAACAGACTCGAGGACGACAGAGGAGGAGAGGCAGCCGACAGGAACCGAGAGGGCGGCGGCGCCAGGCCGGAGCGCGGCTCCCCGGCCAGGAAGCCGCCCATAACCCCGGGGCCCTGGAAGGTGCCCGGCGCCAGCAGAGCCTCGGGCGTGACTGGGGTGGCGGAGAAACGGCTGTGAGCCCCAGCCTGAAACCACGAAAAACAGGCTGTAATCTCTCCTTCCGAAAAAGCGGCGTTTCCCCCCAGAAATTCAGAAACACACGTGAGTACATTTTGCTCTGATCATCAAGGCTGCACGAAGGGCCTCGCGTTTGCTGAGCAGCCCTGTCCCCACGGCCGCCCGCCATCACACTCCTCGGACGCACCGGCTGGCCCTCCGGTGTCGGAAATGAAGGACGTCGGTATTAACAGTGTGGTCACAACGGACTGTCTGTGCCAAGGTCTCTGCTGTGTCCTGTCTGTTGTACCCTCCCCGCCCGGCTGTTTCCACAGTAACGAGAAAATGACGTTCGGCTTGGAAGTCGATATTCTCAGTAGCATGTTGCATGTTTACAGAGAGAACCGAGTCCCCGCAGGAGGAGACGAACTCGTCCCCAAGGAGGGCGGGCCCCCTCCCGCAGCCCCAGACGATGCCCCGTTTAAAGCCACACCCCAGACCTCTCCGCTCTGGAGAAAAACAGGGAGTCAAATATCGACAGTCGCGGTTTTGTGTTTTAACTCAGCTGGGCAAGGTATAACTGTTAAAGAGCTTACTTAGCAACTGAGTGTTGGCAACGGAGGAAGTACAATTCGTTAAGCAATTACGCGTTCGCCCCTGTGGGGGGACCCAGCCCCTAAGTCCTCAGAGCAGCTCGTGTGGAAACAGTGCGTGTTGCTGTTTGAAGAAAAACTACCCAATTTCTGGCTATTTTGGTGGTACCTGCTAAGTCATTAGTTATTACTACGTCTTTTAAGAGCCAAAATATTATACAGGTTGTGTGAGGGACTTACTTGTGTGACCAGTTTCACAGTCCACCGCCTGAGCAAGGACCGGCTCCTCTGGTCGCAGGGGACGCAGACCCCTGTGAGGCCAGGCACGGTGACAGACGGCACCTGCTGAATCTTACAAAAGGGAGACCACTGGAATGTGACTGGAGTTTAAGAGGCTGCAACTACACACAAAATATACTTTAAAGAAAACATCAGCGATAAAGGGTAATTTTGGAAAAGATACTGGGAGAAAGCAGCAGCCTTCCTCTGACTGAACCCTTGGTCCCGTCAGCAGTGGGGGTCTCCGAGTGCCTTTATCAGAGTCACGTGGAAGGGGAGACAGTATTTCACTCCACAGAACAGACGCAGATTGCTAGTCCCCTGACGACCATTCAGTAGCATCTAGAAATCCAGGAACTTCTCAGACTGGTTCAGGGAGCACTGGAACACACTCGTTCCGTCACCCGGGCCCTTCCTCTCGAGTCTGACCGTGAAACTCGCTCCTGGGAACCTGGATCGGCCCCTGTAGATACAGACGAGCCTCTCAGAGCGAGCCCCCCGCTGCCCCGTCCTGTGCTTTCCCACCTGTAACTACTTGAATACAGCAAAATTAGAAGGCTTGATAAACGCTATGAGTTTAGTACCACAGAAGTGATTTATTTTCCCTATAGACCGCAATTAGTGATGAAAATCCTATTTTTATTGTTAACTGTGACACAACTTTACTGTCATATGTTGTCAGTCTGATGTGGCTCTTTCCAAGTAACCTGTCACTGTCTCGATTAAATCCTGACTTAGCAACGCGGCCTTGGAACGCTGAGCAGACACGGATGTCCTGGTTGTAAATGTTTGTACATTGTACAGCACCTTTATACACACACTCGAGTTCTGATTAGAGAGAGAGATCTGTAAATTGCTCGTTATTTTTTATATAGATATTAAAAAAAACAAAAACCAGTTCATGGCCTGCATTTCTTTTACAGTTAGGCTCGCTCTGTCTGGAGCTGGTCCTCCTGATGACAGGGGTCCCTCCCAGTGACAGCCCTGCAGTCAAGAAAACTCCCACGGTGAGAAGCTCACCCAGAGAGTCGTCCTCTCCTCGGTGGACGTTTAACTCAAACCGATCTCAAGCTTAATGTTCTATGAATTGTGTACCTTTCATTGTAAAAAAAAAAAAATAGCTTTGCATAAGAATTCACTCCCCCCCGCCATCCTTCCTTCTTCTGCTGTCAGGGAGATACGAGGGCGCGTCGTAGGGAAACGCAGCTCTAACACTAGACATCTCGCGGGGGCGCAGGGAAGCCCAGACACCGCAGGGCCACAGAGATCTGCTACGTCAGACTGAAACTTCACCTTGTGCTTCAGCCATTCTAGTCACTGCAGCTTACACTTAATTTAAGAATGAAGTGTTCTGATTTTTCATTTCATTCTTGGTATGAATATGCCTAAAACCTATTTTAAGACAATGGTTTATTTCCCACTTTAAGTCCCACCATTGCATGAACTCAACACTAAGAGGGAAAACCCAAGCCTCCAAGCAGAGGTTTATCACAGCAGAGGCTGCGGAAAGTGGCAGCGGTTCTGTGGTGTCCGGGTGTTGATTTCACTGATCGCAGTGGCTGGGAAGTTCTGGGAAGCCATCAACTCTGTCCCACCTGAGAGAGCTCAGACTAAGCTGCTATCACCTTACCTTCTAACCAAGTCCCGTCAAATGCTGTGGGTCACGTAGCCTTTGAACAGAGTCAACTATTTCCGAAGTCCTAGACGCAGAAAAGCACTAGGCTTTGTACTTTTTCACAAGACTATCTATCTCGGTTATTTCCTTCTTTAATAGTAAGATATTCTCGTGCAGAAAAAGCCAAATGCTCTTAAACCTGTGGACACGGGAATTTCACGTTTAATAGGCCGATACTCTAAGAGAGCTGGACTTTAAGAAAGCCAGCACTCAACCGTGTGACGGTCTAAGGACTTCACGAAGGCGTGTTTCAGGGGAAGCGTGGCCCAGTGTGTCCTGACTGCGGACCACGGGAATTAAGACAGTTCAGTCATGGACGTGACGTCCAGACACATCAGGGCACCTTCTCAGGTCTCTGGTGTGCTCTGGGGCCTGTGAACTGTCTGCTGGTCCTGCTGCTGAGGGGGATCAGCGGCACAGTGGCTTGTTTTGGCACGCCGTGATTCCTACATGAAATCGGTAATCTTGGCTGTCGTGAGCAGATCGGCTCGAGACAGTCACCGACTTGGGTCGGTTCTCCACGCTGCTGTGCAAGCATGAAGCCTCGGGACGTGTCAGGAGGGACCAGAGGCTTACGGAGAGAGAATGCTACCTACTGAGCACAACCGTCCACACACGCACCAAAACACAAAGCACAGTCAAGTGCTGTAATTCAGCCTGATCTAGAGAGTCCTGGGCGGGGGGTGTCTATTTCACAATGCCTCCATCAAAATCAAGCAGAACTACTGACACAGGAATCAATAAACCACCACTTGTTACCTTGACTAAGCCCCAGTCCATGGTGGGAGGGTCTGGCAGAATCTCTTCTCATCAGTGAGACGGACACTCCGTTACTCCAGACAGGCGCCAACAACTGCAAAGGCAAAGCATCACTTTAAATCACTAAACTAGCCAATAGGCATACAGAGGAGATTAGTAAGTTTACTTCTTGATGATTCCAGATCGTACATTATGTCTGAAAGTGAGACCAACCCATTTGGTCCATTATGAGCAGGCAGATCTAAAAAAAACTGCACAAATGAATTTCATTAATTTGAGAGGTTATTTTTACAGTGCTTAGGTCCACTTACCTCTAAATGGAATTAACCAAAAATAAAAACAGACCCATCCGCTTATGCTGTGTGTGACAAACTGGAAATGACGGTTTTTCTACATGTCCCTGACAGTCAAGCAGATCACACCCCAATCAGGTAAGCACTGCGGTTATTCCACTTTTCAGTGTTCAGACTGCACACGGGCCATAGTGTGTACGTTCAGGAAATCTGAGGTTACACCTTGAGGCGACTTCAGGATGGATAACTTTTCCCAACACAAGTTAGAAAATTAAGTGAACAGGTATCATTTCTACCCTTCTACGGTTATCACTGTTCCAATTAAATGTACGAATAGCCTGTTCTACTTCTGTTTTACATTTTGGTTTAATAGCTCAGTAACAGGTAAACATTCTCAAGGTACATTACATCGCATTCCTTTTGGGGGATCAATACAAAACCCCAAATTCCTAGAATCATGCAGATACAGATGAAGCCCTGAGGACGGAAGAATCAGTTAAACTCTTCCATCCTAACAGAAAAAAATTGCACCAAAGTCTGTTTTCATTTATTCTGGATTTATATCGAGCACCTACACGAAGTCAGGTACTTACCGTTCTGCATTCTGAGGACCTAGGCGTGAACAGCAGCAAAAGTGCCTGCCTTACGGGGCTTACGTTCTAGTGGGGATGGACAGAAACAGCCAAAAATGAGTAAAAACAGACAGGCTGGGACAGGCACCATGGCACGCACGCCCTGTGTAAGGGGTCACAGGACACGGTGCAGAACAGCCTGACCCCCAGCTATCAGAGAAGGCCCCATGGAAGAGCCGAAAGCGGAAAACCCAGCCAGGCGAGAGCCTAGCAAACCATATGCAAGAAATAACACAGCGCAGCAGAGGGAGCCGGCGTGGTGGGAAGGTACTAAGAGGGTGACGCTGGACAGGGAGGCAGGCTTGCTAATGAGCAGCCTCGGCAGCCACCACAAGGACAGCCAGGAAGGGTTTCAGTGGGACGAGCATAATCAGTTCCTTAGTGTTAAGCTCATTCACATGGCTGTGGAGAACTGAATGGGAGGCAAGAATGGGAAGGGCACAGGGGTCTGGGATCGCAGCCCAGGAGCCGTGGAAGGCAGAGCTGAGGACGTGGGGGTGGCAGGTGTGGAGGGAAGGAGAGGCACCGAGGATAAACCCTAAGCCTTTGGCCTGAACAACTGGGGGAACTTGGTTCCATTTTCTGAGCCGAGAAAAACATGTGTTCTTCTGCTTCAAACAACCAAACATACCTGAGAAATGAGTTTTAGATGCTGGACAACAGGCAGTACAGGAAAGGGGGGTAAATGGAGCCCTAGGCCTCCCCCAGTTTCCTGCGCTGACGCAGCTCCCAGGCTGCGAGGAAGGACAAAACCCAAACCAAACCACCGGGTCTTGCTAGGTTGGGGACAAGAGTCAGGAATTCGTGGGCCAGGCCAGCGGCGGTCTGCAGGGCAGAGCACCAGAGGGAGCTGCAGAGCGCACTCCAAAAATGTGCCAGGGGCTTGTCGAAGTCTTAGCTCCTGATCAGCATGAGGACCTACTCGAGAACAGGGAAAGAACGGCCAGAAGGGAGCGGGCAGAGGGCTCTTGACGCGGGAGCGGTGTCTGTCCCCACTGTCGATTTGGAGAAACCTCATAGTGAAGAGGGCAGGACACTTGGGAGGACACCACTTCCCCAGTGGAGGGAAGCAGCCCTGGGCTAAAGGCTGCTCTGACGAGGCCTAAAAGACGTGAAACGATCAAAGGGTTTCCAAGCAGCTGCATTCCAGCACAGTGCACACACACACAGCCCCAAGACCAACAACGTGAAGGTCACATGCATGCAGAGGAGGAGGAAGATAAGACCCAAAACGGGGGTGGAGGGAAGTCAATGAGCACCAAACCCAGGAAGTTAAAGATTAACGCTGCGGAGGCCAGCGTGACGGCAGAGCGAGAAGAACAGTTCCTCCCCCTCGGTTCACAACAGCAGCTGGACGAAGGAGCCCCCACTCACCACACGAAAGTGCCTGGGAGACCCACACATTGGAGCACTCAGATTGTAAGAGGGGCTAAAGCAGTGGTCCCCTTGGAAAAGCAGTTCCCTCCCCATCCCCATCCCCATCCCCAGAGACCCCAGTAGGGGGGGCTAGGAAGCTTCAAACAGTAAAGCAATACCAACAGCCTTTGCTGGTGGGGAGCAGACCCACAAAACTTGCCCCCTCTTGCCCCCCACCCTGGCAACCAGCTGGAGGCAGTAACAACACCTCCAAAACCCCAGCAGGGCCAGTGACCATTAGTGAAAAGGAGGTGGCCCTGGGAGCTAGCAAAACTGGTTCTCCAGCACCTGCCACATACCCCCCACCACAGTGGCAGTGCCCCACAACCAAGGGGTGTGAGTCACAGAGGGGACACCCACCATCCCCGGGTGAACGCAGCACTTTCCTTAACCGGGTGATGCTGCTCCACCCACCGCAATCCCAGAGTCGCAGAAGCGCAGGGAGGAGAAAACAGAAACCCGCGCTGTGCTGTAACACCAGAAGCGCACCCTACGCCAGCCTGCTAAGGGCAAAATGGTACCTGAACGAGAAAGCAGCTCACCACCTCATGCACGGAAATAGTCCATGAAACACCATTAACGTCCACGGTACCAGGCAGCACAGAAAAAAAATGGAAGGTCTCCGGGAGCCAAGTTCAACGCCAGTGACTTAAATGACGGAGGTTCAGGACTGCAGCCGTGAAGACCCTCAAGGAGCAGAGAGCTCAGGACAGCAGCGCAGCGAGCTCAGCAAGGAAATCTTCGACCCGGAGGCGCACTCCACAGAAGAGACTGAAATTACAGACAGAGCTAAACAAGTTCTGGAGCTGAAACAGCGGGTGAGGTGAGGGATGCAGGAGAGTGCAAAGGACGAGATCAGACCTGCCAGAAGACAGCACCAGTGCGTGCCAGGCCAGCAACCTAGAACTGACCCAGGAGGGAGACAGGAGAGAAGTAGCAGTTTTTAGAAAATGGAAGCACTCCACAAGAATACCTGACTCCACCAGGAAGAGCAACGTGGGGGTGGCGGGTGCACCGGAGGGAGAGGAGGGGAGGGGACAGAGAGCCCACTCAAAGGAATAGCGGATGAGAACGTCCCAAGCCTCCGGAAAGCACTGGAGTCTGGAACGGAGACGGCTGGCAGAGCATGTAGTCGCACGATGAAAGAACCTCCTCCAAAGACAGCACAGCAAAACCGTCAAGACTCACCTTCAAAGGAAACCCCATTAGCTTACCATCCAATTTTTCTAATTGCAAACACAAGACAAGAGAGTGGAAGGAAATACTGAAAACATTGAAAGAGAGGAAGCATCGAGCCGAGGACAACATATCGAGCAAAGCCGACCTTTAGTTGGGAAGGAGAAATAAAGGCTTCCCCAGACCGAGAGGTGAAGGACTGACCACGACAGGCCTGCATGACCGGAGACAATGAAAGGAGCCAAACCCGAATGAGATGCCCGACAGACACGGGAACTGCGCGTCCACGTCGGGTCAGGGAGTCACACAATGGTAACCGAGCTTAGGTGGGGGGAGGGCCTTAAAACTAAGTGTAACTACAGCAATTTGGTAATGAGTCATAACATGGAAAGAGAATTTGTGACGACAGCATCACAAAGGGGGAGGAGGAACAGGACCGCGTGTGTGCAGGTGGGCAGAGAGCAGCAGCCAGAGAGGAAGGGCCGCTGCATCGGCGACCCATAGGCCACGTGCCCAGTTTTCAAAACAGTTTTACCTGAACACACGCGCAGGTGATAGCTGTTTTAAAGCCTGTTTACGTCTGTTACAAATGTATTGTGCTACACAAGACAGAGAAAAGAAATCGCATGTTAAGGAAGGACACGAAAGACATAAAAAATAATCGAACTTCCGTAGGTGAAAATGCATTGAGTAGGACTGACAGCAAATTAGTGCAGAAAACAGTGAAGTGGGGGGCACAGAACAGAAGCATCCAAAATCAGAGGGAGGAAGAAACTAGAAGCCGTGGGGCCACCGCGAGCGGCCTGACCCGTGACACTTCCCACAAGTCCCAGAAGGCGGTAGGTGAACGTAGGGAAGAGAAGACTTTTTTTAAGGAAGACAAAACTGTTCCAATTTGAGAAAACTATAAACTCAGATCCTATAAGCACCACAAACCTCAAGAGCACACACAGGAAACTGCACCAGCACGCGTTGTAAACTGCACGAATTCACTGACGAAAGCCTCACAGCAGCCGGAAACGTTGAACCCAGACACAAGAACGACAGCAGCCCTCCGCTGGAAACCATGCACATCACCATCCTTAAAACGAGCACTTTATACTCAGCAAAACTACATTCCAAATGTATCAAAAATCTCAACAGGGAGAGCCTGCACACCTCACTAAACAGACCGGATTTTTCCTCTTCAAAGTCACAGCCATTAATGAAGTCGAGATGGTGAGACTTTTCAGAAAAGGCACCTTGGCGTTTTGAGGCCGGACTGGGCGTGGGGGCCCAGGGTTCCATGCAGACGTCAGAGCAGAAACCTGCTTTCAAAAACGGCGCTGACGAGCGGGGGCTGACGGATTAGAACGACTTCTGGGAGACTGTTCCTCCAATTCTCGGTGCTTACGTGTCAGGTGTGAGGGACGCGGAGTTGGGAGTCATCCCCAGTTCCTCGCCTGCCCACCTCCCGGGTGGGGCGAGAGTGGGTTGACAGTTGTGAGTACAAGAAACAGTTAATTCTGCACTATGATTTATTAATTACGGTATTATTTTCCATATGAACAACTCTTTTCCCCCACCCTGTATAATTTTAGCCACCTGAAAAATAATTTTAAACAATTACTATCAAAATTAACAGAAACGACACACAAGAGTATACCATTTTTGATACTGCATTTGAACTAAAGAAGCCACAGTCTCAGCAGAAACTGCAAATTAAAAATAGAACAGCGTGTTGTGTAGGGGAAAGAGGCACCGGTCCTCGTCTGAGACCTGCGCGGACAGCAGCCGCGGGTCTGAGAGCACCCACTGCTCCTCCTGGAAACGGCAGAGGCTCGAGTTCTCGGAGCCGCTGCTGAGACAGGCCCGTGCCCTGGCAGAGCAGTGCCTTCCAAAGGCTAAGTCACTGTAATGGGGTTTTACCTTTAAAAACATACATGAAACAAGCCAGGCGGTGAAAGAAATACCGTATGATCTCACCTGTAAGTAGAACCTAATCAACAAAACAAGCAAAATGGAACCAGAAACTCTAAAACAAAGAACTGACAGTAACCAGGGGGGAGGGAGGAGGGGGGAGGGGGTCATGGGGGAAAACGGGGGAAGGGCCATCGAGGAACAAGTACAAAGGACACACAGACAAAGCCAAAGGGGGAAGGTTTGAGGGTGGGAAGCAGGGATGGGTGGGGCGGGGGCCACGGAGAGATGCAAATGGAGACAACTGTACCTGAACAATGATAAAACCGTATCTATATAATTCTATATGTAAAATTACACATATGACTCGGACCGCATTTGGAATGGCCGTGTATTGTTGGTAATCCACTTCCAGTTCAGCAGCCTTGCTTCCTAGGTTTCCATCTTCATGGTTAGGAATCTGTCAGTGAAAGATGTTTAAAGGGTTTTAAGGAGCAACAACAAATGCTCACTGCGGGCCCACTAAGTGCTAAGTACCTACCACGACAGCCTCTCTGATCACCCTATCAGGTGCTTCCTATCCCCACTTAACAAGCAGGAGAACTGAGATACAAGGTTGGGAACTTGCCCCAGATTAGGAAGCTGGTCAGCAGAACCAACGGTACGAACCCAGAAGTGTCTGCCTCCACCCCTGGTCTCTCGAGAAACTCATCTTTAAACCTCAGAACGCTTCCTGCCCATTAGGACACGTGGGACATTGGTTCCGCCTGGGCACAGGCAGACCACGGGGACACTGGGTTCGGCTCCGGGCCACCACGATAAGGCGAGCTGTGATCTTCCTGCTCGCAGAGGGTCTTGCCTTTGATTTGTTAAAAAAGCAACATCTGTGAAGCGCAATCAAGCAAAGTACGATAAAACAAGGTATGCCTGTGTATACTTGTATATATAATAACTATTTCTAACATTTAAAAATTCACAAAATCTTATTAAAATGTTCAGGTTTTCAATTTGCCTCAATAGCTGCCGCAACACAGGTAACTTGAAAACCAAGAATTCTACGTAGGCTGCCCGAGTTTTCATTAACATGCGTGTACGCCTGCACGTGTGACGGGGTAACAGGGGGCATTGGTAAGAGGAGCTAAAGCATATCCAAAAGGCCCGGTGTGGCTCAGACGGGCACCACGGACCAGAAACTGTACTGAGGGCTGGGCCCAAGAAGCTGCATCGGGGACAAGCCGTCAGGGCTTCCCCCGCGCTGTGACTGGGACGGCGCGGACGGTCCCCACGGAAACCGGACGAGCACAGCGAGCTCACGGGTATTCGGTTTGCTCATGCTCAGTGACATGGCCGTCCACACGCCTGCCTCCTTCACCAACGACTGCAGTTACCAAATTAACCTCCGATTTATCACCTAACTAAAAATTTATCCAGAGTTTAACAGAAACCCAGTTTGGAGTGTTTTTTTTTTTAAGCGACAAAAAGAAAAAGCCTAGAAACTAACGTTCTCCAATAAAGTTCTTTTATTTGAGTTCAACTTAAAATAGCTTAAGTTTGAGCTCTCTGCTAGAGAAACGCCACGGCCACCCACTCCCCGTCACAGAAGAGTGAATTTTAAAGCAGATTCGCGTCACACTCTGGGCTTCTACCATCGTACCCAAAACACTGTTTCCGTAAGTGTGACTGTCACAGCACCGAAATGTCCAGAACGAATCCCTAACTTAGAACGTTGTTCCCGTGTCACCGGGCCACAGCTCCCGTCTCCTGCCCACACCCACTGTTGGAAAACCGGGGGAACAGCCCGCACGCCCCCAACCGGCTGGGTCCCTCGGAGAACCCCGTCCGTCTGTCTGCGGGCTCAGGCAGGGGGCGGGCCCCACAAGGGCACACGGAGCCGGTCTCGGGGGTCTCACTGGTCTCACGGGTCTCAGGGTCCTCGGTCAGCTGGCTCCTCCTGGCTGAGCACTGACACAGCCAAGGGGGTGGGTCCAGATGCGTGGCTCCGCTCAGGACTTGATTTTCCACAGCTGAGAAAAGAAAATCACCAGAACGAGTCAGTCTGACACAACAGGTGGGGTTTGTGAGTGTGATCACATGACCGTGACCCACGCGCCCTTTAATGAGATGAGACGCTCTGGCCACAGCCGCAGAGAAAAAGCACGAGATTTTCAGGGCCGAAAGTGACAGATTACAATTCGTGGGTTTGGGCTTTTCATTCGTTCTGACTCTGGACATGTCCCCAGATCAGAGGAGACCCTCGCTCAGCCCACCCCATTAATCTGACATGAGATTCAAACCTGGTTTTTTGGTGCAACTCTAAGAGCACAGAATATTGTAAAAGGAGACGACCTCGGCCAAGAAGCCTGTGGGCCACCAATCCAAACGCCTTTCTTTACTTTGAGAGTTTTACTTCCACGCCAGACACACACACACACAGTGAAGAATGAAGGTAATTAACTATTCTATACAGTAGTTTTCAACACGAAGCCTGATGCTACAGAGTGGCAGCCACACTTACTCGTATATTAAACCCTAGAAGGTCACTTATGACGCCTGAGACAGCAGAAAGGATAACTACTCGGGTGATGTTGTAGATTAAGGGGTTCATTGTCAGCCCATAGAGTCGAAACGGTGTGTCCAGCTCCTGCGAAAACATGAAAGAACCAAGTGGAGATGCGCGGTTTCTCAGTCTCGGCAATTCTGGGCTGTCACCTTGAAGTCTCGGCCGGGGGGCTGCTTGTGGCTGTGCCTTCCCGTCACGCTCAGCAGCTGCCTTCGGAAGGGCTGTGGGGTCGCCCACTTTCTCATTAGCTACGTCTTTCAAAGCACAGTCGGGCAATACGTTGTGATTTTTTAAATCACGTAATTAAAGAAATCAAGTATCTTCAGACATCAAGCATCACCCGAAGCTGGGTAACAAATGGGAAATTTTTTCTTACGGAGTCGTGAACCCAAACCTACGAAAGGTGACATTTCGAACCTACTCAGCATAGGTGTGTCTGTCACTAGGGTCTTCCCAGAAAGTAAAGCACTGACTTAGTTTCAATGGCAGTAAGAGCGTCACAGGGTGTCACTTACTTTCAACAGTTTGGTGGACAGTTTTAACACATTGTTTACCAGAGTGAGCTGTTCTTTCTTATTTGGCTTTTTTTCCATCTTAAGATATAAGTTAATCTGAGGGAAGGAACAGAGATTAAGATAAATGTCAAAGAAAAAGACACATATACTGCAGTAATTTGGCCGATTTCAAGAGTCCCGTTTTTAAGTCAAGTGAATTGTGAAATTCCGGCGGCTACTCCACAGAGCACAGGCCACGCCCAGCCCCCACCCCCGACAGTCCCATTCGGCAAAGACAGTCCATTTTGTGAAGAAAGGAAGCGATACAGCGATTTAAATATCAAAACTATGAAACTCTTAATATTAATTATAACAACATGTAAACTCCTTGAGTTCAAAAACAGTATCTTATCCATCTTGGTGTCCCTGAAATAATCCAATATCTTCATTAAAGATTTATGGAATGGAAGAAGATTGCTGCTTTTGAAAAGAACTAATCTTTATTTTTTTCCCTTCTAGGAAGAATTCTCCACTATAATTCTAAAGCAAAAAATAAAGAACTAATGATGTCAAATGCTTTTATTGAAACTTATGGATAAACATAGATTTTCTAAAAGATTTACTACTCTGTATTTATAAGAAGCATTTCTCAATCTTAACAGCCACTCACATACTAAAGAACAAGTGTTTTCCAAACACTGAATGCATTTTATGGCCGATACAGGAGAAATTCAAGAAGCTTATTAAATATACTTAAATGACAAGCACTTGTCATTTACTTCTTAATGCAGAATATGAGTAACAGTATGCTTTATGCCCATCAATGAGATAACCTTTATAGTATACAATGTCTTTTCAATCCACTGCATCGTAATTCGGATGATCCTGAGAGTAGGTGGGGAAGGTACTGCGCTCATTTTACAAGAAGGAGACAATTACCGAGTGACTTCTAAGGTCATATAGCAAGAAAGCAACAGACCCTCAGCTCAACCCTGAATCCCGTTAGGCCACCCCTAAGCAATGGACGGAACTGGCGAGGCCATGGCAGTACCTGTTCGGTAAGTAATATTGAAACGTTGCTGTATTTCTTATTGGTTTCAGACCCCAACGAGGCCAGGCGCAGGAGAAAAAGTAGTAAAGCTGTTTCCCAGATCAAAAACTCCCAATTATAAGCATCGTTCAGGAAAGTTTTATGTCCTTGGAGAACCTACACAAAGGACCAAAAAGAAGTGAAGTTTTTCATTTGCCTTAAAATTTCTAATTACTCCTTTATGCCAGCTATTTAAAAACACTGACAAGATAGCAATATTTTAATACTCAAAAGCGGAAGAGTTTACACTCATAAGGCATTATATCTATTTGGTCAGTCATTATGGCTCCACATTTACTAGTTTTCCTGGGCATGACAGGGTCCTGAAGTAACAAAGGAGGAAAACAACACAGTAAGGAAAAGACGACCAAGGCCTTTCTAGCCTCTTTAACCACCGTGTGCCCACACGCAGTTACATGGAGACCATTTTCCAAAGTACTGAGTTTGCTAACGACTGGACAGGTCCCGGAGACGCCTGGCCCATCTCGCTGAAACGACTGGAAAACCCTGGGAATGGGCTCTCACTCCACCTTAGGGTCTGCAGAGCCACAGCAGCTGCCAGTTAGCAAGGGTTATGGGTCAAGTTTCCTGGTGAAAGTTTTTGGTTTTTTGAATTTTTTTTGCAATTGATTCAAAAGCAAAGTCCATGCAAGTCCAAGGTAAAATGGAGTTTATTGAAAAATACACAGAGAATGCTCACAGAGACCAAATGCAGGCGTTTTGAAAAACAAGAAGTCACCAACAGCTGCCTCCCCCCAGGGCCATCTGGGCTCCCACCCCCACTCCTCTCAGCTGACTCCACTTCTTCCAGGACCGTTGTTTATGGCTCCCCCGACTCTGAGACTCTGACTTCTCCCAGGCCTGGTCTGTTGCAGCACGCTGCTGCCCCATCGGTCCCTACTGACCTTTCTTAGGTCCACCACTGAGATCTCAGATTTTCAGTTCTAATTTCCAAGAGGGAATATGTTTATTAGCTTAGTCAGGGCCAGGTGTTCACCCCTGCCAGTAAGAACTCGGGGAGGGAATTAACAACTGGCAGCAACCGAGGCCCATCTGCTCAGCAGGGGATACGGTTTCCTGTGCAGCAACGGATAACACAGAAACCACGGCCACACTGCTATGAAGCCAACAAAGGAAAACTTAAAACCAGCCAGAGAAAAACAGCACTACTTCTAAAAGAGCAGTCATAAGAACAACAACTGATTTCTCAAGATAAACCATGGAAATCAGAAGGTAATAGAATCCTGCAAGTGCTGAGAGTAACTGGCAGCCTAGACATCTACACCTGGTGACAAGAGCCTTCAAACATGAAAGTGACAAAAGACATTTTCAAACAAAAACAGAGAGAATTTACCACCAGCAGATTCTTAAGTAGAAGGAAAATAACACAAAGAAAAACACAGAAACACAAGAACTAATGAAAAGAGTAAATATGTAGATAAATATAAATAAATGACTCTAATGCACATTAGTAAGTACATCTGGGGGTTTAAGAACTATGTAAAATTTGAATGAAGAACAGTAATAACACACAGTGCTGATGGAAGATTGAATATAAAACTGATCACAGGCAGGACAATAAAGCCAGCCTCCACAAATACTCAAGGGACCAGAAACATTCAGAGCACGTTCTCTGAGCACAGAAGAATTAAGTTTAAACTCAGTAAACAGGAAAGTATAAGACAAGCCTGTGACTCCTTTAATAAAGGAAGCACAGAAGTGCGAGGAGGAGGAAGGAGTGGGAGAAGGAAGAGATGACAAAGGGGCCTGTCAAGAGCTCAAAGGAAGGGCCTCCCACTGGCCCAAACCTGCCACCATGAGGGTGCAAGGGTTTAACCGCCGGTCAGAAATGGCCGGCTAAAATGACAGTGGCCTTGGAGTCAAAGGGCTGCCGGATCACCTTTATTCTCATTACAAAGTCAGGAAAATTAACAGGCATTCAAAAGAGCCAAAGAAATGCGGACCCCCCGTCAAAAATATACGAGCTCAAGTGCAGGCAGCTGGTGCAGACGGACACGAGGTTTACCTGGGCACAGCAGATGAAGGCGATGGAGAGTGTCAGCAGGAAAACCGAAGACACCACCACGTCCACGGAGCGCTGCGGGCCCCGCCTCTGCGGCGAGACACGCGGGTGCACGGGTTAGGGAGCGTGAGGGGGCGGCATGGCCCTCACACCACCAACGCTCTGACTCCCACCAAACTCGTATTATTTTTTTCTTTTGTCTTTCAACATTAGTATTAAACAGCTACACGAAGCTTCTGACGTAGGGTTTTAACAACAACTTTAATTAAGCACTGAAATCCATGCTGTTCCAAATTAAGAGCATGACTGATTTGCTGACATATTCTCAGCTGGATTATTTCCCCAAAATGTCAGGAAAAGATGCAATATTCAATTTACCGCTCTGCTCTAAGAATTTAAACTTTCTTTTCCCTTTCTAAGCTCTATTCACTTGACACCCGCCAGCCTGCAGACGTACCATTTCCAAGCTGGCGCAGGGCCGGCCCGCCGCCCACGGAGACAGCCCGCCCGGCACACAGAGCCCACTGCCCACCGCCCCTGCCGTGGGGAACATCGGGGAGCGTGTTTTCTGCACACTCTCGCACGTACTCTACTGTTAATCAGATACAACTCACCTTTAGAAAGGAACGCAGTGATAACCATATCTTAATGTTCTCTACCTTTTTAAGTCTGAAATGAGGTATTTCATATTTTCTAGCTTTCCTGGCAGAAGTAATATGGCTGAAGAGTTTTGCAAATAAAAATCTCTAGAGAAGGTTAGAAAAGAAAAATCACAAAGGGAAATGTACATATGTGTCTGCGTATTTATATATTTGTAAAAAAAACATGCCCGGCATATAAAAATTGTTAAAGGGATGAAATTCTAATCAGTGATCACTAAGACGGTGAAAGACTCTGCTGACAGTTCATCAGTCTGCTGCTCCCAAACTGCGTGACAAGGTGACCTGCTTCCTGACACCTGCCACGCTCTGGACCTTCGTGAGTCCCCAACTTCAAAAACAAATGTTTATACAGAAATGTCGTTTTTTCCCAAATTGCATTTCCATTCAAAACCCTGGGTTTTTTTGCACGCATCCCCAATATATGAGGTCCTCCATCCCAAACTCACACCGAATTGCGATCATTTTAATTCTCACTTCGCCATTTTTCACAGAATCGTTTTACTGAGACTTACTACACGTGCAGGACTAGACAGCAGCAAGGCACACCGGGGTGCAGGTACCAAGCAGTCGGCTAGACTCACTCACTGGCTGAGCCCCTCACTCTAAGCACGGGCTCAGCAAACCTTCAGATTCTACGAAATCACTGTGAATAATCCATAGCATAAATGTTCATAAATACTCAATTTCCACTTCTCCATCCTTCATGGTACACGTTAACTTTTTGAGAAAGCACAAATCAAGAGCACAAAAATAATTCAGTGAAGTAGATATAAAAGCAGAGGTAACAAATTTTAATTTTCTACTAACCTGTTTATATGTTCTCTCTGCCACACACATCATGAAAAAAAACATCCACGTGAGACACAATCGTTCAAAAAAATTAATTATAGACAAAATAATAACAGGCGTAACCGGTGGCGCCCCGCAAAAGAGAGTCAAGATCTCCTCGGTTGAGATGGACTTCAGCTGGTCAAAGCTCTTCTCACGGAAAAGTCGATGTAAAAACGGAAAAAATGCTAACCCAACGGTGACGACATTTCCCAGCATCTGATAACCGACTCCTTGCTGATACGCATTAACCTGGGAATTAATTCGAAACGTCCATCATTATGGCACAGCTGAAGGGAGTTATGTAGCAGCTTTATCAAATTCTACTTAGAAAATTAAAAACTAAATCTCTAAATCTAAAAGTACAAATAAAAATGATATACAGCCCTGGCTGGTGTGGCTCAGTGGATTGAGTGCTGGCCTATGAACCAAAGGGTTGCCAGTTCGATTCCCAGTTAGGCACATGCCTGGGATTCAGGCCAGATCCCAGTAAGGGGTACATGAGAGGCAACCACACACTGATGTTTCTCTCCCTGTCTTTCTCCCTCTTTTCCCTTCTCTAAAAAAAGATGCAGAGATTTATGACTCTTAGATCTTATTAACAATTAGGCTTTCAAGAAATAAGGAGTATTTGTCGAATGTACCTGAACAACTGATCGTGCTCATAGAAACCTTTGTAATAACCACCAAAAAATGCTACCACCTAAAGACTGACTATAAAATTAAAAATAAAGCCCTGACTGGTGTGGCTCAGTTGGTTAGAGTGTTGTCCCACAGACCAAAAGGCTGCAGGTTCGATTCCAGGTTGGGGTATGTGCCTGGGCTGTGGGCTCAGTCCCTGGTTGGGACGAGTGCAAGAAGCAATCAATCGATGTTTCTTTCTCACACTGATGTTTCATTCCCTCAACTTTCCCCCTCTCTTCCCCTCGCTCTGAAATCAATAAAGTAAAAAAGTAGTAAGAACTAAAAACACGAATTTGCTTCACAAGCAGAGTACAGTGTATTAGGCCCTACAAGATGCTGCCGGTCACTGAGCAGATCTTTTGAAAAGCCAGGAACACTGCCGCCTCACCCTGCTCATGATGACGCCGCTGATCTCCAGCACCGACATGTCCGCCTTTTTGCACTCGTTTCCCTCCCAGATTATCGCACTGACGCGGTCAGAGGCGGGGCTTGAGTTCTGAAGCCAGAATATGTGGTTCTGAGAAGAAAAACGAAACCATTTCTACCCACTGCTCTTTCCTCCACTCGATTTCCCCCCTTCCTCCTGCTCCCAGGCCTGTGCCCGGGTGCAGCCTCCCGTTCTGTTCTCTCCCTCACAAAGCTCATCGTGCCAACGACCACCTCGGGGAGGCTGGCTTCTGGTTCCGTTTTCTTTCCTAAGCCATTTTCCTCCGCGGAGAGACGCTAAATGTCTCCTACAGGGACAGCATTCCGTCATCTCCGAGGCTGCTTCCCTCTCTACATGCGTGGAAGCAGGGTAAGGTTGGTGCATTCGTCAGATGTTAAGAGGGAGAGTATTTCCAGAGGAACACAGCTCGACAGGGGCGGTAGGAAGTTACTTATGAAAGGTGCTTGACAGGCCTTCACTACCACGTGTCTGACTGAGCGGGCAGGCCCCCCTCCGTTCTAATCAGAGCCAGAAAAGCACCGAAAGCTCAAGGGGAGAAGGTCGCGGTGAAACGGCGCCCACTCTCCTCTGCCATCTCATGTCTCGTGCTTCAAGGAGCAAGAAGCTCAAGTCCCATCCCACCAGCACACTCCTCTCTGATCGCCACAAGCCTCAACCTGCCGTCTTCTGAAATTAAAGTCCTTATAGTCTACGTCAGACATATCAACAGCTAAATTACATGCTGCATTTTCATGTCCGTCAATAATTTCCCATATAGTAACCTTATGCCAACTGGACTCGAACTTTCTAACAAAGTTTCGTGTATACCCTTTCTACCACAATGCCTAGCATAATGCTGATGAGCACTTACTGCTTTGGCCGTTGAGTTGGCACAAAAATATTTATTGAGCACCTACTACATAACAACACGTGGTATGGATTCAGTGGTGAACGAGACAGATGTGGTGCTTGATGGGAAGGAGCTCACACCTGAGGAGCAGGGAAGGAATGGTCAGAGACGAGACCGTCTCAGGGCAAACCAGGGGAAAGGAGCGAACAGTCCAGAAGAAAACAAAAGCGAAGGGGGCGGCACCAGTCGGAAGCATCACTGGCAGCCGGGAGGAAGTGAAATGAAGGGGCAAGCCCAGGGAGGCTGCTGTGGCGACAGAGGGCCCTGTGCAGCCAGGACACCAGACTCCGGTAACACGCGGCAGAACCGAGAGGAAGCAATGACCAGGGAGAAACGTGGTGATGAGGGCGAGGCCATGAGGACCCCACTGTCTCTACCCGGGTGGCTGGTGGTGGCCTTCAGAAATACGGGGACAAAAAGAACAGGTCAGGTGTGGGGGCTGGGACGTGAAGAACTCCTATGAGATGGCGGGTTTCTCTTATCTGATTATTCTCACATACACCTGAAAGTGTACTGTAAACCCCAGAGGTGCGAAGGAGGTCAAGGTCATCATGCCGTGTGTAACCACAGAGGACTGAAGTAACTAAGGTGAAGCCTCGGATGCATGTAAAGAATATTTAGATTCTGGGGGGGGTGGGCTGGGATGGGAGTAAAAGACAGAAAACTGTACTTGAACAATAATTAAATAAAAATGCTTTAAAAAATTTTTAAAAGAATATTTAGATTCAAACTTTGGTAGCAAAAATGGAGAAAGCAGCTTAGAACTTTAGTGAGAAAATGGATGCTATTTCTGGTTAGTTTTAAAAAGTTGTACAGATTTAATAAAGCAGGATTTCTTTTTCATAAAACTACCCAAAAATCTAGAAAACTCAATAATAATTAAACAAACGTATACCCGTCACCCACTATCTGGAAGTCACCGTGGAACTATTTAGCCTGAAGAACAAAAAACTAAGCAGCACGACCAGGGTCAAGTGTTGGAAAGGCTGACGTGAGAAGCTGCTTATCCCTTCGCTCTGCCCGGCAGGGACACCACCTACAGGAGCGACACCTCCCGCCCCGCAGTGCCACACAGAGGCTCCGCTGGTCATCTGGTGGGGACAGAAACAGTGACGCTAACATGCACAGGGTACGTGCCCTGTGCCCGGCATTGTGCTAAGCACTTTTATATTATTCTCAGTAGATAAGACAATATTCTGAAGAAGCAGAGACCATTATCACCACGGGATGAAGGATAAAAAAAATCCTACAGGTGCAGAATGATTCCTGTATCAGCTAGAATGTTGAAATACCTCCTAAGGGATCTCCAGTTCCAGCCTATCCGATTTTATGATATTCATATAAAACCTAAAGTTAAAAGCAGCAACCGATGTATACATTACAGAAGCCGTGCCATTTCCTAGTAATTCATACACAGCAACGTGATGTCCCTAAAATAGAACACGAGGCTGATGCACCAAACAACCCTCCTCATGCAAGAGAAAAAGTATTATGAAAAAATTTGGCTTAAGGCAACTGTAGAGTACTTCCCCCGAGCTCTCGTCCCAACATCGATGCTCAATTCCCCCATCTCTAAATGAGGGGCGACGACAGCGCCCACCTAGTAGGGTTGTTACAAAGTTGAATGAGAATACGGAGTCCGGCACAGGGTAAGCTCACAATACACACTGGCTACTGCTCCCATCGCCTCTACAGACCTGCTGAAAAACATCCTCTTTGGGGTCGCGTTTGGTCCCTGAGTGAAGCGTGCTCACGTGGGCCCCCTCGCTGTCGCTGGTGACAGAGGACCTGCACTCTGGGCCGTGCAGCAGGTCGTCCCACAGCATGTCCTCGGTCTCCGAGTCGTGGCGGGTGCTTTCCGAGTCTCTCCTGGACACGTGCAGGCTCCGCGGGCCACCGCCGCTCACGCCACATCGAGAGCCCTGTAAACACAACAAAGAGGGTTTTCTCATTCACTTCTCAGAAACAGTCCTCTACCTGAAATAGATCACTTATCCGTGGCGATGGCCGGCAGGCTCTCGCAAGTCGGTCACTGTGTATTCACTTGTTCACAAGGCCACACAGAACAGGAACACATTTTAATATTTAAATGTTAAACCCTGCCGACTCGAACGAGCAGGACTTTAAAGCGACTCCCTCCTCAGGTCCACTTGGTAAGCTATACAGCTGTCTAACCTCAGTGCTGTGCACCGGAACTGATACAGTATCAAAGGTCAACTGTAACCGAAATTTTTTAAAAGTTTTTCTAAAGTCAAAGAAAGAATGTGCTGGCAAGTATATACATGATAGGCAGGTAGACAGAGATAAACCGACTGACAAAAGGGCTCTCTGCGAGAAGTCACTGCCAAAGCAGGTGCCCTGCAGGGGACGGTCCCTGGGTGCAGGCGGCTGAGCCTCCGTCCTGCCCTGCCCGGAGCTCCCCCTCTCTAAACACCGTGAGTGGGGCAGTAGGGCTGGTCACAGGCAGGGGCCCGGGCAGGCCCACGCTCGATCCACTGAGCCACACCAGCCAGGCGACGATACTCTTAAGGTTAGGTGACAATGTGGGGTGGGTAAAGGGGCCGACAGTGACGGTGGAAGACAACTGGACTTCGGGTGGCAGGCACACGACGCAATACACAGATCCTGCATCCTAGAGTATACGCTTGAAACCCACATAATCTCATTAACCAATGTCACCCCAATGATTTTAATGTAAAAATGAGATAAAATTTAAAATAATAATAATAATAAAAATGACAAGATCGTATGAAAAGAGTTCATTCTCTTTCCGGGACTGAGCATCACACAGAAGGGCTCAGACAGGTGAGCGGAGAGCCGGTGGCCAGAGCGGGGCGGGCGAATATAAACACCACCCGGACAGCCGGTCAGACAGGACAGGACAGGACGGGGCCCTCACACCGGAGACCACGCCCTGCGCAGCGACCCCTCCGCGGCCCCATTACCTGACCGAAGGCTGCCGATTCAAACTCCGATTCGGCCAGACTGTCCGAATCCCGCACAACGGGACACCACTTGGGAGCGCTCTTCATTACCTGCCAAAACCAAGGTAGTGAACAACAGCGGAACGTGTTAAACGCTACGGAACAACGCGATGACCTACAAGTTGGTGCCCAGGCTCTGAGGACCCGAAACAGAAGTCACCTGAGAGTTGACCTGCCGGGGAAGCAGGGGCTTCCTGCTCCTGACCTCGCAGCCGTTGTCGCTGGAGGCCCCCTCCACGCTCCGGCGCAGGATCATCGTCTGTGTCCGGGCCTCGCCGTCGTCCTCGCTCGACAGGTCGTCTGACATCCCATTGCCCACCCGCCTGAAAGCCTCCTACGAAGAGAACGGCAACTCCTTCGCAGGGGACAGCGCCAAATACGCCCGTAGGCGACACGCGCCAAAACGAGAAAGCACATAAAAACTCAAACAGTAAAATTCAACTAAACCAAACGGAACAAACCTACACAAGCACTCGATCTCAATAAAGGAAAACGCTGAACCTGAGACAAAACAGCCTAAACACTGAGGCAGTGCGCCGCGGAGGTGAGAGGCACAGGCGCCAGTCGAACTCTGAGTGGGGATCACCAGCCACCGTGGCTCGGTTTCCTCGTCTGAGGAGCAACACTAACAAAAGCACCTGTGTCACCGACGTGTTGAAGAAATGAAACGAGTTACTACATGTAAAGACTTAGAACAGTGCCCAGGTGCACTGATAACTCAAAAATACTAGCTTTTGGTAATTATGTAATGCCACAGTTTAACAAGAAAAAAATTTTCAAGGTGATAGAGGAGAAATGTAGTTCGTCTTAGACACAGAGCAGAATGCCTGTCCCTAGAAAGCAGTGTCCCACACCCCACCTCTCTGGACCGCGACACTGCGATCAACGGCACGTCCCAGCCGTGCTGTGGTGCTGGCTCAGCAGCTGGGGCCGTAACGACTGCTGGCCCCCGGAACTGGAAGGGTCGGCTTCAGTCTCCACGTGACCGCTCTCCTGTCACGTCCCGTGGGTTTACGTGTCCCTTCCTCGTTACGACAAATTAGACCAGCCCATTAGCATCTATTTCCTATCTCCAGTGGGGTCTGAGAATAGGGAAATTTTCATGGGAAAAGGGAGATTTCGATGTATTAACCTGTAGCCGTGGGAACCTTACCCTGCGGCCCTTTTCCCCATCGGAAAGCTTCCCCTTCTCTGCCGCTGGCCACGTTTTGATCTCCGGTCGACACTGCCTCCTCTTCATGATGGGGCGCAGGGCACTTGTGTCCCTGTTGGTTTCGGTCCCTTTGCTGCATATTTTTACTCTTTTACCCCTGTTTTTAAAAAGGAGAAAAAATACTGACTAGTATTCTGAAATTTACACTTTCCGTTAAATCGTTTTTCCCTGAGGAGCACAATATACAAGAAGATACCCGCTCAAAACAGGAATTTATAAAAAAATTATGTTTATGTTTAAACTTCAGTCGCCTTCACAGTACTCTCCACCTGATGTGATACACCTTTTGAGAGGTTTTCCCACTGTTCAGGTTTTGAATGCGTCAATATTGAGGCCTTTTAGTGCTTCTGTCGTTTTTTGTTTCACCTCTTCCACATCGGCAAAACATTTCCCTTTGAGGATTTTTTTTCATCCAGGGAAACAAAAGTTGCTCGGGGCAAGATCGTGTGAATAGGGAGGGTGGGGCACAAGGGTCATGTTATTTTTTATCAAAAACTGCTAAACACTCAGGACGGCATGGGCAGGTACACTCCTAAATCACCCACCATGAAATGGGCAAATGCACTGAAAGAGTCGTCAGGGGAAAAAAAAAATCACTGAAGCCGAACACAGCCTCTCACAACAACGCCAGCTGGTACACTGATGCAGATGGGCTCTTAGAACACCCACCTAGTGGGGGAAGGCTGCACTACACGGGACCCACCCTCCAGAAGATAATTCCGGGTATTTTTAGTCCCCTCTCATATTACTCTGAAAATCTAAAAAATTCAGAAAGCATACTGTTTTGATTTCTTGCTTGCTAAGGGTATAAAAAGGAAGAATAAAGTTATCTCTGGTCTCCAAAGACTCAGGTCAGTTCACTGAAAGGAAGCCCGTACTTTCCAGTTTTGCAAGGCAACAGGTTTGCAGTTTCTCCACTTCTCCCGCAAACACAATGCCAACCCCTGCCTCACTTTGCCTGCTTGTGGCACCTTGTGGAAGGTCCTCCCCTCTCCCCACAACTCTTGGCTCCTGCGTGACCCCTGCTGATAACCACACTGTGGAACCATCACTGCGTCTGCCGGGCCCCCAGTCAGCACGCAGTCTCCACCGTGTTCCCACGTCGCGGGGGCTGCAGCACCCCTGCTCCTTCCTGGTTGGCCCTAAAACCACGGAGAGTGGGGAGGCCCAGTGTCCAGCAGAACGCGTAGGGCGAAGAACTCACACACATCAACCAAGGAGTGGAAACGTATCTTTGGAGAAATACGTGAATATACTTCATCTTCAGAAAAGTAACTGTGAAAGAACTTTATTTTTGAGTCACACCCATGTGACAAATGAGTCTTTCCTGGAGTCGCACGAGTGCCGTGGCAGCCTGCAGATCTCCAAGGAGAGAGGATGTCTCAGACCAGCATCCCTTTCTGTCCCACAGGCCATCCGCCCAGCCTCCCCGCCTGCTGCCCATTTCGAAGGCAGTATCGGCCTTTACACTGAACAATAACTCATCCTTTTCAAGACCTTCTTTCCCTCATGATATTGGCTCACATGGTTTAAGATATTTGCCTTTTCAGAGTGCTTAGATTTCTGTAATCTTGTGGTCTAAACAGTCATTAAAGATCAAAACAGAGTGAACTGTTAGTGTGGATTACTGGATTTACAGGTAACAGGAAAGTGGACACATGCTGAGTAAGCAGTTCATTCCAGAGCCTTTAAAGAACCACACACACTGCGAAGGTGCTGTGCTTGCACTTGGTCCTCCGACAGCCTGATGGATGACACACTGTGTGAGCATGAATGTGGGCACAAAGTCGAGAACAACTCCAGCGTGAGACCTCCCACCTGTTGCCAAAGAGAGTGTCCCAGACGCCGCTAATGAAGGGTACGGATTCCACAGCTTCTACCCCTCTGGCTTTATCAGAGGAGTTATTTCCATTTTCTCGGCTCCCATCACCATTCACAGTTTTTCGTAGTTTTCTGTTAAAAGAAATATTTCAACAACTTCAGATTGTTTAAGAACTTTTCTATTTCTGCCCAAAATATCCCCTCCAGAAAATTATGCTCACAGACTACCACCTGAAATTAAGTGTAGTGAACTTCGTCTGACGAGGATAAATCTGCAGGAATGTGTCCAACGTCAGGGCAAAAGCAGGCTCCAGGTCAGGGACCTGCACCATCACGCCGTTCGATCACGAAGGACGAGAACGGCCACTCAAACGCTCCCGGGAGGGAGACCCGCACACACGCGACTAGGAGTCGGTTCAGTAACAAGAACAAGTCTTCTAACTCTGAATGTCAGAAACCCACCCATTCGGCACATTTAACCAGGAGAACACAAAATAGTAACTGGTCACACAGCGTTGATATCCCATGCAGTTAAAAGGTATTTCCTGTAAGTACCACAAAGACTCACACAACAGTGGATGCTCTCGGCAAACATTAAAATGACTTGAACTGAATTTTCAAGAAATCTTTTGGGGGGAAAAGGGTTTCTTTCAGAAATAATACTCAAAAATAAGAATAAATATGTTGAAATTCATTGCACCAGGTGAAAAAAGTCTTATTTAGTAACTGCTTAGGGGAACAGAAATCTACAGGTATTCTGAGGAAAAATAATACCAGATAAACGTAAGAAACCATCAACCGTTTCAGAACCCACATACAGCACATAACCAATATAAACATGACATGAATTCAATGGCCAGAGAAGTCAAATCAACCTTTATTAAAAGTTTAGAACACTTAGAAATCCATTCTTATTATGCACTATTGAGAAAAGGTAAATTTTTAGTAGCACTAACCCAATGTACTAAGATCCCTGTTTATAGTGAACTTTCACCAAATTTTGAGTAAGACTGAATTTTGAAGAATATTTTTTCAAAGTCAATATTTGATAAATTTTAATATAGAAATAATACAGGAATTTCCTTTAAGCCACTTCATGACACTAAAATGACAACTTTAGTCATTTTAAGCCACTAAATGACAAAATCCCAATGAGGATTATAAGTGTATGACGAAGTTTCTTAGCATCAGAGAGAAGACTAAAAAGCAAAGCCTTTTTTATTTTTAGCCAAAAAATAATATAAAACAGATACCAATCAAAACATTTTTATTACATGAACCAAAGATGTTTTGTTATCTACGGTGCTTCCTAGAAACTCCCAGCTCCGGTGCGAGCCCCCTCTCACCTCCGCCGCCGGCTTCCGTTGCTCCCTGACGGCCGGGCCACCTGGGTGGACACGATCTGACAGTGGACGGTCCCCATGAGCAGCATAAGGCACAAGGGCCCCAGCACCTCGCTCACGCTCACGATGGGCATCATCGAGTACAGCACGAGCGCCGTGACTGAAACAGGAGGGGTCACAGTCGGAGACGGGAGGGGCCCCTTCAAACTGATTCTGGGAGTCACGCAAATTATTTCTACCAAAAGTCCATTATTTTAAAAGCCCACACGGGAAAGCACGCAATTTCCTACAATACACTCTGCCTGCACACGAGCAGAGTAAAAACCTGGAGCCTTTTCTGGCAGCGCAGGGACAACCTGGGGGCAGGCACGCAGACTGCGCAGCAGAGCAGGCAGTCGGGACACCCCAGGGCGCACGGAAAACCTGGCACATACGACTTATCCCAACATGCAAGGCAGAAGTTCTTCTGTCATTCCTGCGGAAAATATTTAACATTCCCCTACAAGTGACCCAAGAAATGCGTATTAAAGGAGCAACATGTTTTTTGTATATCAAATGAGGTAATGATATTTCACATTATCACAATGTGGTAAGAGCCTGGTCAAACAGCCACTCCCACCTACTGCTTTCCCTTGACCTGTGTCACCAGCGGTGTCACATGCATGGTGGGTGAAAGCAGGGTTACGGTTGTGCGTTTGGAAAATACTGTAGCAATGGATCAATAACACCACAAGAATAAACTCTGTGCCTCTCACACTCACAGCTGGACACACACTTTGCCCCGCCCTGTATGTGCTAAAATCTTTAAAATGTTGACACTCTTTGATCTGTTAATTCTGTTTCAGAGAATAAGTGCTAAAGAAGGAATATAAAATGTGACAGATTTTGTTCATGATGTCATTATTGGGAGAAAAAATTCAGAACCAACCCACCTGTTGACAATGTGGAAACAGTTCCATAAATGATGGACCTGTACAATTTTATGTAATGGAATATTCAGCAACTATAAAAAGGAATTTATGGTAAATCCATATGACAGACTTACAACGATATTATGTAAGTTTTAAATGATGTTCCCATATAATGGATTACACAGGCATTAAAATGACAGTATGAAGACCCAATCACCACTAAGTAGAATGTAAAATCCAGTGCCTTCTCCACGAAGCACACCTGGAGTACTCAGTGGCCGCCCGTGGCTGAGGGTCCCTGCTGCTGTGAGTGACACGGAACACCGCCATCCTCACAGAACTCCTACTGGACGGCACTGTCATGACTTTAAAAATTAAACTTACAGATTTGTAAATTCCTAGATATAGTTTTCATGACTGTTCAAAACAACCAACACAAAGAAACCAAAATCACCCTAAATCCTTGCATCCACGCCCACCTTCATGACTCCTTGCTCTAACTCACGTCCTTTGGCACAGGCATACCCACGGCGCGCACTGCCCACTTTCAGAAAGCATTCCTGGTGGGCAGCGGCGATACAGTGGTACAGAGGACACACCTGCACGCCGTGAGCAGAGAAAAGCAACATCGGGTAGTCGCCTGGAATAGATAATTAAAGTAGCCCCTGCAAGAGTGACTGGGGAACACAGGACACTGCAGAAAGTCTAGACAGGACGGCCTCCCTCTGAACCTTCCAGCTCTCCTAAAGATGAGGAAGACAGCCAGCCACGGGAAAAGCTGTAAGATTGTTTCAAACAGACAGAACAGCTGTGCAGGAGGAACAGAGGCCGTGAGCCTGGAGTGAGCGAGGTGGAGAGAGGCCGGGCGTGACCTCTGAGAGCCTGGCAAGGAACGGGTCAGGCACTACAGGCCCTGGTAAAAGGTTTGGATTCCCAGGAAATGAGAAGTCGCTGAAGGGTTTTAAGCAGGAAAATGGCATCATGTGGTTTCTGTCCTAAAGGATTTCTCTACTCGCTGTGAAAAGAATGGCCGGGAGAGGCTCAGAGGAGACGCTACTCCAACGGCCGAGCGGAGGGAGGCTGGGGCTGCGGTGGCGGCTGGAGACAGACACACGGAGGGAGGCCTGCTTTGGGGGTGGAGCTCACAGACCCGCAGACAGAGTGGATGTGAGAGTTGATGGCTGGGAATAATAGACAATTTTTCACCAGAAAACTGGGTGGTTGATGAGAGGATTTAATGAAATGTGGGAAGTCCTAAAAAGCAGCAAACTTGTACCAAGAAAAAAGTTTGTGGGGGGAAAAAAAAAAACCCAGAGTTCCATTTTGGGTATGACTAAGGTGAAGGTACCTATTAAATCTCCACGGACATGTCAAGCACATGGCTATATTTACAAGTCTGAAGTTCACGGAGAGATCTGGCCTGAAGACACACATGTGAGGGTCATCAGGGTATCAATCATATGTAAAGCAACGGGACTTCACAGAGAAGGGAGTCTGGGGTCCGACCCTGGGGTTGGGTGCTCGAGTGCCCAACAGAAGACCAGACTGAGCAGCCTGGAGGGAAGGACTGCGAGGCAGCAGAGCCCCCCCACAGTGTTCGCGTTCCCTGAGTGCGACCTCCAAATGGCCCGCGGCCCTTCGTTTCTTTGTGAATCTAATCCAGTGAAAGGACAGCTGTAGGAACAGTAAGGCCTGGCCCTGGCTGGGTGGCTCGGTCGCAGCGTCATCCCGAACACCACGAGGCCGCGGGTCTGAGCCCCGTTTGGGATGCGTATGGGAGACAAACACTGGGTGTTTCTCACATCGGTGTTTTTCTCTCTCAACTCAGTAAGCATATCCTTGAGTGAGAATTTAAAGAAAAAACAGTAAGGTCTATACTATCTAATAGCAAAAGCAGCAAAAAGAAGCGGTCATAACCTGTTCCAACGTCTCCAATTACCTTGCATGAGGTAAAGCAGTAGCAGCCAAACAAAGATTCTTACAGAGGTCACCTGAATCCACCAACTGCTGAACAATGGGAAAAACACAACTCGAACAAGCCCCTTCCGGGTCAGAGATGTCCAGGGAATTTCCGGTTTGGCTTTGGCAAATGTCGAGCCTTGAAATATACAATAAAACAAAACGTCAGACACTCCCACACAGTACAGACTGACACCCATTTGTAACTCTATTCAAAGCAGTGAGAGCAAAATCAGCCCGCAGCCTGTCCAGGTTTAAAAAAAACCCTCTTGGATGTAATCATTTCTTGTCTCAATCATGACGGCAAAAGCTAAAGCCAGCCAGGCTCACCTGAACGTTATACAATGCAGCCATGCTTTCTTAGTTCCAAGTTCATCCCTCCCTCTTGACCCTGATGGAAACCATCCGAACTCCACACAGCACTAAAGCACAGTGGGGATGCCTAGGCCTGAACGATGAAGAAGGAAGATTACTTCTGCAAGGTTAAGTTCGTGATCACATAAGGACCATGTCTGGAAGTAATCTTTAATACCACCATAAAATAACATGCATGAGAAACAGGGCGAATTTGGAACTCACCTCTGATCAAGTCAACGTCAATCAGGTCTGGCTTTATGTGACCCATCTTTTTTGGTTTGTTTTTGAAGCCCTTGGATGAAACAGAACAAAAACAGAAATAAAGAAAAAAAGCCCTTTTAAATATGAAAAGTAAACATGTTTCTATTTCTCTATTACAGCTGACTCCCTCTTACTGGGCATGCTTAATCCTAATGCTCCTTAAAGGAACTTGTGACTAACATTTATTTTGCTTTAGTTTTTAGTTTTATCAAACAAGGCACACACACTTTTATCGCTTTTAAAAATGATCACACAGTGCCAAAATATCAGTCAGGGGAAAGCCGTGGATTCCCCGAACCCATCTCTTCTCCAAGTTTCATTCATTAAAAACAAATAACTTGCATCTGATTTTAGTTGTCTCTCTCGACACTTACTTCCATACATCTAAATAATACGTCTATACCACTATTTTTTAACGTATGATTTTAGAAATCATCCTAACATTGCGGGGAAGGCAGAAGTAGGTTTACTGTTATGAGTATGCGAACAGTTTATTCTTATAATATTATATTATCTTCCATACAAACAACTGTAAACCTACTTCTGCCCCACCTCATGGTGTGAGAATTTAACTATTTCACCGCACATCCCCATACCCTCACTTCTACCCCCAAAACATACATCCTCCCAACAGAGTAATACTGACTTTTTGGTAAATCAGTAATCAGTGCTTATAGTATTATCACCACGAAGTATCATTCCCTGTGAGCTATATTTTATATTCGTCCATATATTCTATGAGGTCAAAATATTTACCATTTTTGAAATACTAAATGTGAAAAAATTAAGTTCTTTTCCTAAAAAAAAAAACAAAAACAAAAAAAACAATCTCCTAGGAACCCCTTCCCAGAACCCTCCGTCCCCCCACTCCGCGAGAACCAGCTGCGCTCGGGCCAGCTGCGCAGCCGTGATCGATCCCAGGGTTCCCTCTGCGGTCACCCCGACGAGTCCCTCCGCCCTTCTCTGCGGCCAATCCCCATTCCCTAAGTCCCATGTCTTCCGGGAGCACATCCTTCGGGAGAAAGGGGTCAAAAAAGGTAATTTTTAAAATTCTTGCATACCTGAAAATGAATTCATTCTACCCTCATATCTTTTTTGAAAATAGATCATTTTTATTGCTTTCTTCCCACACCATAATGTTCCCCCCCATACCCTCTCCCACCCCCACCACCACAACCACCACCACAGTGTTGTCTGAGCCCACGGGTCCTTTGTCTCTTTTTGATCAAAAGTTACAGCAGATCCAGAATTCCAAGTTGTTCATAATTTTCCCTCAGGAATTAAGACATTGTCCCGTTGTTTATTGGCGTCCAATGCCGCTACTGCAAATGTCCGCGCCACTCTGATTCTGGTCCTTTGCCGGCGAAGTGCTTCCTTCCCGATCTTCACGGTATTCACGGTGCTCCTTGGAACGGATAAAGACCTTGATAACGACGTGCCTTGATGGGAGTCCTTTACTGTGACTTGTGATGGGAATCTCCCCTATATCAGAATTCACATCTTTCAGTTTAAGGAAGTTTTCTTAAAATTTATTTTTGTATTTCTGCCCTTGCAACACTTAACTTTTCTCTCATATTTGGTTTTTTTGTTGTTTGTTTGTTCTATTTTCTGGAAATGTCCTCAAATGCTTCCATAAATTTTTCATTTTGATTTTGGGGTTTTTTTTTCCTATTCTTTCATGCTGAAGGATTTCTCAAATATCTAGTAATCACTGGCTACCCATTTCTACATTCAAATGTTCATTGAAGTAGTAATGATGAGTGCCCCAGAATGTAAATTACCTATCAACAGCTATTGGAAATTCCTCAACAGCAGCAGAACGGATTCATAACTGTGATGTTCTACTGAATAAACTACAATTATGTAACATGACTGAAACTCACAAACCTGATACTGAACTAAAGGCATCAGACTCGGCCATGACCCCACTGCACAAGACACTGCGATTCACCACCAACTGCGACCCTCTGAACACCCAGGGGCCCACCAGCACTAAATACTGTCACACACACACACACACACAAATCAGACTAAAAGTGTATGTGGTGCATAACTTCACTTACGTACAGGAAAGGCAAAATCAATCTGAGCGCTAGCAGCAGGGAACCGGTTCCCCCCATGGGGGTGGAGACCAGCCATGCTTGTGAGGGGGGCTTCCTGGGGGCTCACCTACGTTCCGTCTCTTCATCTGAGCTACGTGGATGTGTTCAGTGTGTGAAAATTTCTCAAGCTGTACACTTTCAATTCTGTTATACAGGTGTGTAAGTATATAGGCATATGCATATTTACTGTGTTTTACTGGAATAAAAAACTGAAAACTCACTGAAAGCCCTGTGTGAGTGTGGCTTACAGATCTGGGGCATCCCGTCAGGGTCATCGTCAGGGTCACCGTGCAGGAAGCTGAAGGGAATCACCAAATGTCAACACCTGGAGGCCTTTTTTTTTCCTGTGACCGTTCACATTCACAGAATCATCAATTATCGAGATCTGGAGATATTTTTTTCAGAGATCATTCAAAATAATCCTCCATCCCCATTTGCAGATGACATGACACTACACAGAAAACACTCAAGAATACACCAAAAATTAAGAGAATAAAATAATTCAGAAAAGTAGCAGGATACAAAATTAATACAGAGCAATGAACAATCAGGAGAAATTAAGGAAACAACTGCACTTACAATTACATCAAAAAGAATAAATGGGATTTCTGGTCAAGATGGTAATGTAGGTCAAAGCTGTGCTCACCTCCCCCACAACCACATAAAATTACAACTAATTTACAGAACCTGAGAACCATCTGAAGTCTAGCTGAGCAGAATGCCTATAACTAAGGATATACAGAAAAGCCTCGTGGAGACTGGTAGGAAGGGTGGAAATGCTGAAAGGGGCAAGTCCCACACCCGCCTGTGGCAGCTTAGAGATGGGATGGGTATCTTGGCTAAGAAGGTCCCCTCTTGAGGAGCAAGGGGTCTCAGCCACATATGGGGGTCCCCAGCCCAGAGTTTCACTGCCAGGAAGTGAAGTAAGTCCCCATTACATGTGGCTATGAAAACCAGTGGGGACTGCATCTGAGAGGAAAGGCTGCCAGAGGATTTGGCACTGTGGGCTTTAAGGGACAACGTGCAGACTCACCAACTCACTGCCCGGAGGCTCCAGTGCAGAGGCAGCACCTTGAAAAGAGCCAAGGATATAAGGGGAGGAGCGAAACCAACTAGCTTCAGGGTAAGGGCTAAAGAGGCAAAAGTCGGGGCACCTCGCTCCAGGCAGAGAAGCGCTGGCAGATGCCAGTGTTCTTTTGTTAAGCTCCTTACAGCAATCCCACGTGCAAGGCAGGTGCCACCTCTGAGCTCTGAATTAACCTGGCTAACATAGTTCACCCTGCGCTGCTGATCCCGAGATCCAGCCCTGCCCAGCTCACAAGCTGAGCCTGAACCTATTCCAGCAGCTCCCCCACAGGCAGCGGCCTGCCTCGGCCTGAGCTGCAACTTTCCTCAAATCTCTCAAAGGTCCACAAACCCCAAACATGCAGCGACTGGCTTCAGCATGCCCTGTGCCTCTTGCTGAGCTATTCCAGGCCTGGTACAAGCAGTGACTGCTCTCAACTGTACTGTAACTCCCACCAGGCAGCCCCAAGCCTGGCACAAGCAGTGGCCAGTCTTGACTTGGAACAGAGCTTCAAATAAGCAGCCACCAATGTGGCACAAGTAGCAGCTTGCTCTGGCTGCAGCTCATAACAGGTGCCCATCAAAGAATCCCAGGGCAACACTAGTGGCAGCCAACTTCCATTCGCAGAAGAGACTCTCCCAAGCACTTCCAAGCCCACCACAAGCAGCATCTGGGATCGCTTTGTAGCTCCTACCAGACAGCCCCAAGCCTGGCACAAGCAGTGGCTGACCTTGACCTTCATGACAGTCCGCCCACAAGAGGATCCAGAACCAACACACCCGGCAGCCAGCTTGAGACCACACCAGAGCACCCCCCAACAAGCTCCACAAACGACACACCCAAAGGGCAGACTCGGCTGGCACCGGACCCTGCTGCGGCAGCTCCCATTGGCCGCCACACTACAGCTCATCCAATGTGGACATGGTCAGCTCGCTCACCCAGTCAGCGTGAGGGTCGGTCCCACCCACCAATGTACCAACAAGCCATCGAGGCTCCACTACAACAGGAGAGCACACACGGTCAAGCACAGGGGACACGCCTGGAGCGCCCAGGTGCAAAAGGGGACTGTGCCACTGGCCGCACAGGACACCTGCTGCATGTGGCCACTCTGCCAAGACCAAGAGATGCAGCAGCTCTACCTACGACATAGAAACAAACACAGGGGGGCAGCCAAAGTGAGGAGACAAAGAAACATGGCCCAAAGGAAAGAAGATAAAAGTCCAGAAAAAGAACAAAACAAAATGGAGATAAGCAACCGCCCTGGCTGGTGTAGCTCAGTGGATTGAGCACAGGCCTGCGAACCAAAAGATCGAGGTTCAATTCCCCGTTAGGGCACATGCCTGGGTTGCAGGCCAGTTCCCAGCAGGAGCCAGTTCCCAGCAGGGGATGCACCAGAAGCAACCATACGTTGGTATTTCTCTCCTTCTCTCCTTCCCTTCCCTTCTAAAGATAAATAAATAAAAATTTAAACAAAACAAAATGGAGACAAGCAACCTACCAGATGCAGAATTCTAAACACTGGTTATAAGGATGCTCAATGAACTGAGGGGAAGAATACATTAACTCAGTGTGAACCCCAACCAAGAGACAGGAAACATAAAAATGGAGAGAGAAAACCTAAAAAAGAACCCGTCGGAAACGAAGAATACAATAACCAAAATGAAGAATACACCAGAGGGAATCAACCTCAATCAGATACAACAGAGGATCAAGCCAGCAATGTGAAAGACAAGGTAGCACCCAGTCATAACAGCAAACAGAATTTTAAAACTGAGGTTACTTTACGGGACCCCTGGGACAACGTCAAGAATACCAGTACTTACGTCACAGGGGTACCAGAGAAAAGAGAGAAAGGGATTGAAA